TCCCGGGTCCCGGGCCCCCCCCGGCCGGGCCGCGCGTGGGGGGGCGCTCGGCCCGCTACCGCGGGCCTCGCACCCCCCCTCGCGCGGCCCGGCATCGGCGGCACAATGCTCCGGCTATCCTAGGCTCTCTTAAGCTCTCCTTTGTTGACTGCTTTTTTAAAAAATAATTAAAAAGGGGGATGTGTGGGATTCGAACCTGGCCTCCTGGCCGTGTCATGTGATGTGTATGCACTGACCATGTTATGTGGTCCCCCTATTGCTCAGGCTAAGCTATCCCTTATCCAGGCTAGGCTGTCTCTCATCTTCACCTGGGCTAACCTCACTTGGCCATCTTTAGCTCAATCCAGTATAGTACCCAAGTATTTTTCCTTTCTCAGCCAATCAAGGAGCTTGCAGCTTTAGCTTAGTTAGCCAATCAAATCAATCTTTCATTGCCGTATATACCTGATCTACTATACACAAATAACTTTAGAGAAATAGCAGTCCAAACATTATAATTAGTATCATTAGATAGCCTCAATTGATGCGAAACTAATGGTCCAATTTGCATGATTATACGATGTGTTTTGAGTATTGTATTGCGTATTCGGAGCTTAATTGAAAAGACTTCATAGAAGTGCTTGTAAAGGGTGTCACGTGCTTCCCTCTCCAGACAAGGGCTATTTGATTCTACTATAACACAACAACGAAAAGGCCGATTCAAATGCAACTTGGATCATTGTTTTCGCATCAATTGAGGCTATTAAATGATACCAATTGTAATGTTTGAATTGCTGTTGTTGTAAAGTTATTTGAATGTGTATGAGAGAGTATAAGTATATTAAACTTAGATCATGTGACTTAGTGCACTAAAACACTAGCTGCATAATCTAAACTTACTAAATCCTTAGTCTCATACTAGTGCCAATCCTCCAGCCAATGAGGAGCCTGGATCTAAGTGTGCACAGACGAATTTCCTAATTAGGAAGGAGGTCTCAGCCCAACACAATATCCCTCCTAAAAGTCGGGCATATTGTTGTTAGCACATAGAAAAGGCAAATAGATATAATTATAAACAATTAATCGATCACGTTTTTATATCGAGGTAGTTATTGGTCGTGATATGTTAAAAGTACTTATATTAAGTACATAATATCGTAGGTGATTTATTAGTTCTATAATATCACAATAGGAGACTTCAAGTTGGGCGTAACATCCATAAACACTTATATCGCACATAAACAGACGTTATCATAATATTTATTTCGTAATAACCATAAGATACATTAACGCTTTTTACTTTTTACTTAAGAAACACAAACCCCTCTACCAATTTTGCGATTCAATGTCCCTCCGAACATGTATCTGGCCAGGAGTAGGAATATCTCTCGGGGGCTCTATCACAGGGTCGTGAGTACACTCCGTCGTGATCGCCAGGCCCTGGGTCGACCCTTGCAAGTCATTTGCGTATATCTTGACGTCGTACTGACTGTTGCTGGTGTCGATGTTCTTGTATCTCCGGCTACTGTGGCTCTCCTTGAGATTGCTCAACTTGTACTGGTTTGGGGGGTACCGCGAGCCCGACGAGTGCATCGTAACCTTGGTAATAACCGGCTTCACGTATCTCTGAAGTAGCGGCGCTAGGGTTGGTATGCTGGCAACAATCATGCCTAGCCACAGCTCGAGCAAGCTGATGAGCGCAATGTCTGTGGTATGGTACGATGCGTCGGGGTGCTCGATCGAGTCCTTCGTTGCAGCTAGTCGCCAGCACATGACGCCAATGGTGCTATTGCATGTTAATTGCGGTGGACTCGTTAGGAGATGTTCTAGATATGAACTTACACAAGACCAATGCTGAACATAACGCTGATAGCAATCTTGTTGCGCAGAGGCATTTTCAGCCCCCAAAGCCAAGGCATAGGCAATACGAAGATCGCCAGATCCACTACCAAGTTAAAGCTGATCGAGGTGAACTCTTGGTCTGACGTGTCTCGGCATGAGCCCCACGGTACCGGATTCCACAGTTGATCGATGGGTTTGCAAATGGTCATGAACACGGCAAGGAAAGCGACGAAATAGCACGCAACCACTGCCATGAGAGAGTACGACCAGTTCTTAAACGACCGTGTCGAGAATATTCTCGTGTAAAGCCATAGCACGGAGAATTTGATAGCGACAGTCCCCACGAGCCACGCAATGGAAGAGGGAAGGACGAGGATCTAATTCGTCTTGTTAGAAAGTGGACGTATCAGAGAGTTTATTGTAATTGGGTCATACCTTGGCCTGTATGGCAAGTTCCTCAGGAGTGAGATCGGCTTGAGGTTTACCGGCGCCGTTGTCAATAGCCCAGACGGCGACGCCTTCGAACGTAATTGTGCTTGCCTATTCATCATGCCGTTTAGAATTCGGCGTACGATGGCGATGAGACGGAAATTTAAACGCATAGGTAGATGACTTACAAAAGCGATAAGAACAAACAAGTCGTCGAGGTAGAACGACCGCCTCATCAACCTGGCTGCCCAGAGACGCAGCAGTAGAATCACACCGACGATAACGGTAAACGCTATCATCCATCTTAGAAGCGTCTCGCCTCGTGGGCCCCGGCCTGGCATTTTGAATACTATTCAGTGAGGACCAAATAGTGGTGATATTCGGTAATATTCAAACGCCACGGCGCCGTGGCACAAGGTGTGTGCAGTTGAGTGGCTCGGTATAATACAGATTCGACGACATCCAACGAGCCCGACTTCGAGAAAAGTAGGCAGAGCGCTTATTTTCAGATAGAAAAACATAAAAGATCGCCACATACACCTTACGGGGAGGCGGCAATCAAGGCATACACAATTGCTGTTTTAGCGCTGATTCATTCGTCTTCAGGTCAGCACCAGTAGACCAACTGCGGTCTTATGAGGGGTAAGTATATCAAGAACAAGACCGCTGTACTACTATATGTAGATTAGTGGTCAGATGGCCGGCACATCTCATGGTGGCTCTGCAGCATTGTGGAGTGTGCTGATGTATGTATATGCCAGGTATCTAAGCGGCGGAGCTGTTGGATCAAGGCCAAGGTCAAGGAATAGTTCTTCTGTGATGCAACGTCCGCAATACCCAATACGGCCGTAATGCCGTCCGCCAATCACTGGGTAGAATCCTTCCGCAGGTAGTCTTCTGCTTCTGAACAAGTAAGTTAGGACGATGTAGTATTCTCATAATGGTAGCAATGCTACTCCAGCACATGGTATCGTCTCGAAAAGGTTATCAAAGGAAGGGATTCCCAACGCATGTTAAATTAGAAGAATTCGTCTAGCAAACCCGTTGAAGCAGGCCGGTCACACTCTTCCATTCCCAGTTTCTGCAGTGTTTTTGTTATTGATTTAAGCGCTCGAGTGAAGAGTGATGGGAAACGCCTTGGAAAGTGATACAACGACGGTTTCAGAGGTCGAACTGAAGCCAACTTCGACCATTATACACGATGACTTTGGGTGGTTTTATGTTGTGCCCTACCTTGTATGGGAGTTCACACGGAGCAATTTTGCCACGTTCGTGATCCCGAACTCGACCTTTGGAATTTTGGGCGCTCTCGTACCTACATTTGCTACTGTAGGATCAAACGGGCCGCCTACGGCTCTCGAAGTTCTCCAACGATTTCCCACCGTCATCGCATTTAACTGGTACAACGTACTAGTTTTCGACCTCGGCAACCAGCGCTCAGCGGAATCGATCCAGGAGGATCTTCTAAATAAGCCGTGGCGGCCTATACCGACCGGGAAAGTTACCCCGGAACAAACCCGGAGAGCTTTACTTCTTTTCATCCCGATCTCACTATGGCTCAACTACAGCCTTGGAGTCTGGGAGCAAGGCGTCATGGTGCCTATTTTGAGTTACCTTTACAACGATTTGAGAGGCGGTGACGAGATCGTCCGGGACCTGATTATCGCGGTTGCGTACGGAGTTGCCCATAGCGCCTCTCTGAAGATTGCTATTGGCAATGACATCAGTCGAGAAGCATTTATATGGGTAGCCATAATTAGCGGTGTCATTCTGACTACGATGCAAGTTCAGGACCTGAAGGATCAAGCGGGGGATAGAACGCGAGGGCGTCGAACGGTGGTCCTGTTCATAGGAGAGTGGTTTTCGAGGACGTCCATCGCCTTCTTCGTGGCACTCTGGTCTCTCGTTTGCACTAGGTTCTGGCACCTCGGTCTATTGGCGTTCTCTTTACCAGGAATAATTGGAATCGTGGTTATCACCAGGGTTCTGCTTAAGCGAACGCCGGCGGAGGATTCTCAAACGTGGAAGTGGTGGTGCTTGTGGACGATAACTCTGTTTTCCTTGCCTGTGATTGCGATGACCGGTAGTTGATGTAACGGTTAGGAAGGTCACATACTAGGTCACAGACCGTAAAGGATGTGGAATGCGGGCCGGGGGTATGGATACTGTGGTCCCTTACCAGCCTTGTGGTTGGAACTAGATAAAGAATCTACCGTAAACTAGCCTTCTATCGGTAACGATCATGCAATTTTAGTAGTTTAAATGTCAAACAAGCTTTGTTGTTGCTCGGCTTCCTCTAGTGTATGTAGTCTGTAGATGCCAATCGCAAGTGCTGACGGTGGCTTATAAGAGGGTTACAATGCAGGATTTAGTAGCAAATGGGTGACGAATTACGATGAATAAGTATGTCAAACCAATATCTGGTTGGTTGGTTTGAGAATCGGAGTGAGGGCCATATTATCGGGCCATGAACCAGGGGACTATTGTACATAAGGTGCGTGGTACGGGGCAAGTAGTGGATAAAATAATTTGCATACCACTAACAATTTGTTAAGGGTTATATGGGGAAATTGGTGGGCCGGGGTAACAAATTGTTAGTGGTAGGTATGCAAATTATTTTGTCCACTACTTGCGGGGTCACAGTGGTACGTACCTACCTTAGGTACTTTATGTACTTACACTAGAGGTGCACGTGGTTTATGAAACTCGGTAAAGCACCGGAGTACCTTGCATGTATCTAATCTCATAGGTAGTGATGGAGCCTTATCTACATAATACCTATAATTACACTACTTCGCAATATGTGCCTTAGTTTAGGTTAGATACCCAATGTATGGATGTGGCGTGGGAACACAGCAGCGTTCCTTTAAAGTCGTAAAGCTTCAAATGTTAAACATACCCGAAGTTGAGGAGAATTGACCAGGAGGGGCTTTAACTCCGTCCCCCCCCCGGCCTACATCTCTACCAAGATTACAAGTACTTGTGCTGTCTACGTAAACTCGACGACCGCACCCTAAAGGGTGCTGCGCTTTAATTAAGGATTGGCCCTGTAATTCGGGATTGATCCGAAATACTTCCGAACAGGAGGGCTTCCCATATATTCTAAAAGTATTTTCAAACTTCCATCCATTTTCATAATATTTCGTGATATTATGAAAATATTGTTTCCTTTTCAGGATTTAATGAAGGTGGGAATAGCCTCTTATTCGCCGTAATCCTTGTACGCTATCCCCAATTACAGGGCTAATGCCTAATTAAAGCGCAGCACCCGAAGGGGGCGGTCGTCGAATGTATGAAGACAGCACAAGTACCTTGAACACTCAGCTTCCGGGCATCGTATCTTGATTAGGTAGTGCGGGAATATACATACTATGTATGTTGTCATGGATTCATGCCCGAGAGATAGTGTACAAGCAGCTCTGCTGTGCCGCTCAGCCTGCTTTGTCACCAAGGAAGATACCGAGGAAGATGTCCAGAATCTGGAATTAAATTACCTTCCCGGGTTGTTTTGCCCGTCAGCTCATGCATCTCACGTAGAGATCGGATCCGAGTCGGCCGCGAAGAGTCTAGATTTTCCCTGTGAATCACTCTTAAGCAAGCTCACATTGCCTGTCTCACCTACATGCACACATGTGCTTCCGTACTCTGCGGGCGTTAGGTTCGACTTGGCAAGATAGAGTAGTGTACGGTAGCACTAGACACACTCGACAGCGATGATCTTTCGCTCAGAGTTACTTCTGCTGTATTCCGCCTGCGCGGCGGCATTAGCCCTCCAGCCACACTCCTCGAATTCACTTCTATCCCGCGATGTTGAGGCTTCTGTAAACAGCTCGGAATGTCGCTGCTTCCCGGGCGATGCTTGTTGGCCATCCAGGTCAGAATGGAGCCAGTTCAACAAGACAATCAACGGCAAACTAGTTGCAACAGTTCCTCTGGCCAGCGTTTGCCATAATAGCGGATTTGGACGGTACGATGCTGATGCGTGCACAAAGCTCATATCCGTATGGGACTATCCTGTTACTCACTATGAGAGCTCGTCATCCCCTATGGCCCCCTTTTTCGCCAATATGAGCTGCGACCCCTATACACCGCCTGATGCCCAATGTGTAGTTGGCTCCTTAATTCAGTATGCCGTAAACGCCTCTTCGGCTCAGGACTACCAATCGACAATTGCTTTTGCGCAGCAGCACAATATCCGTCTGGTGATCCGTAACACCGGTCATGATTACTTTGGCAAGTCGACCGGTGCTGGTGGCTTAGCTATCTGGACACACCACTTAAAGGACATCACTGTTAGCGACTACTCCTCGCAGCATTACACTGGTACGGGATCATTCACCATAATTTTTAAGGGCAAATAACTAACAGTAACTATAGGCAAGGCGATTAAGGTTGGCGCCGGAGTGCAGAATGGTGAGGCTCAGCGTGTAGCACATGCGAACGGCCTCGTAATTGTCGGTGGCGACTCTTCAACTGTCGGGTTAGCTGGCGGATATTCGCAGGGTGGTGGTCATGGGCCCCTTGTATCCACATTAGGGCTCGCCGCCGACCAGACGCTCGAGTGGGAGATTGTGACCTCTACCGGGAAACACTTAATCGCTACCCCTTATGAAAACTCAGATTTATATTGGGCTCTTTCAGGGGGTGGCGGCGGCACCTACGCAGCCGTGCTGTCTTTAACCGTTAAGGCTCATCCGGATTTTGACCTTGTTTCTGTCGGCAACCTTACGTTCAATCTCGAAACTACGTCGGAGGCATTCTGGGATAGCTTTACAGTATTTCTCGGAAGCTTAACTAATATCACTGATGCCGGTGCCGTGTGCATCTGGATGCTCTCGAACACGAGCTTCACAATCCAGTCCGTAACGGCCCCAAACTTAAACCCTGAGCAATTAACAGCCTTGCTACAACCTACTATCGACCAGCTAGAAAGGGTGAAATTACCTTATCGTGAGTTCCCTTTTTAATCTATCCATGCCTATAGAGTTTCGTAATTGGTCTAACATTATCGATAGAGTATGCTGTTAAAGACTTCACCAACTTCCTTGATAGCTTCCATTCCATGAGCGCAGAACCCAATGTGACTCAAGCTAATATTGGTGGTCGTCTAATTCCACGCTCGCTATTATCGAATGACTCTGTAGCGACGCTCACCGACGCATTGAAGTTCGTAGTTGGTGAAGGCGCAATTCTGTCGGGACTTTCTGTTAATGTCAACCGCACGCCGAGTGCTCCGAATGCCGTGAATCCTGCTTGGCGTTCTACGGCTTTTAGTTCTGTCTTTGGCACGTAAGTCTTACCCTGGTTGCCGCTCCTAATCCATATACATATTACTAACGCTTGGCGCCAACAGCTATTACAATCATCTGAACAACAGCGCCAACATAGCAGATCAGGAACTCATTAGGAACTCGATGGTGCCGAGATTGTCTGCTATAACTCCTAATGGCGCTGCGTACCTGAATGAGGCCGACTTTGGTCAGTCTGACTTCCAACAGGTATTCTACGGTAGCAATTATGATAAGCTCTTAGCTATTAAGAGGAAGTATGATCCGAATGACACGTTCTACGGCCAAACAGCCGTAGGAAGTGAGTATTGGGAGATACGACAGGATGGACGGTTATGCAAGGTTAGGTAATGGTGAACGGTGCCACTATTCAACCAGCATCTTCATTTACTATCTTTGATGTACCATTAGTTATATTATATTACGAAGAATTTAATATATGCATGGAGGCAACAGGAGGAAGAGGCACGCCATACTAGGTTCCACTACTCAGTGTACCTGTAAGAATGGTGTTTTATCACGAGAAGAACATGGGATAAAAAGGGACCCCTACACCAACGTGTGGTTTCATTCTTGTATTTACTTACTTGGAAGACGTCAACTTATACATGTGATGCATTCTAGATGCCTAAAGAAGTTAATAAACGCTCATTGCCGCAGAGCCGAGCTACTAGTCGCTAAGGATTTGATAAATACATAACTTGAATCCTTGGCATATGTCTTCGGTATAGTGTAGGAGCGGTTTTGACCTAGTTAAGCGCTTTCAAATCCGTGCAGTTTCGCTAGACCTGCCGATTCCCGCCGGTATTTGCGAGCGGGACGCGAGGTTGGCGGCGATTATAACCCTATTTCGTCACCAGGCTATACTCGTTTCGATCGACCCCTTGCATATCTTTCATATTTTGGTCCATGTTGAGAAGGTAGTAGGTAGTATAACCGGATCAAGAGTATCCTAGCTTGAAATATTGAATCCTTCGAGACGACTTACACACATTACATACGGATTACATATATATTATCTTCGGCGGCTGGGGTGCGTACGTTGGTTCCAAATCACCGGAAACAGGGGCAGGGTAATAACCCTCCAACGGCTCCGCTGCAGATTACACGTTCACCTTGGGGTAACATCGACAAAGATTCCTCATGTTCTATCGTCTCTCGCATACGACGTTTCCGTACACGTGCTTATCGTTATATGTGGGCAAAACCGCTTTTCTGAATAGTTAAAGTGGCAGTGAGATATCTGGATGTGACGTCGGAGGTAGCATCTCGCTATTGTGTAGTACCTTAAGAGGTAGGTATTGTATTGTACATAGTGTACCGCATGGGTGTGAGTTTAGCAGAATCGTCACATTCCCCCACCACCACTACAATCTTCCCCTGTCGATACGCATACTAACTAGGTCACGACAATGCCCCATTACTATTACACTATGGGGATACACGTTTCTTTTTATATATCATATGTAAGTCCTAAATGGAGAAGCCGTATCCCCATTAGAAGAGATAATGCGGCCAATCGGGCCGTCGTCGTCGTAGTCTAGAATCATACCTTAAGGCTTAGGTAGTTAGGTCTTACATACGTGGGACCTGGGTATGTATGTCTTCGTGGGCAAAATAAGCACTGTAATGATCGTAAAATAATTACATTAACCGTAAACCGGAAATAAGCATGGCAATTAAAAATACCTATAGTAAATATCTAGGTACCTACCTGGTATTTTCTTATAGCAGTCGTAGGGAGAAAAAAAGAAGAAGAAAACAGGGTTTAGGCCCAACCACTGCACCGCTTCATCACCGTTCTAGGACTACAGCCAGTAAAAGCGACAGTATTAATTATGCCCATGCATGCTCGTAGTGATCTCTTTCCTTTACCGTAATCATTATCTCATATGTGCCATACCTGGTACATGATACTGAGCAGCTCAATAGAGCAGCTTCACCTAGGTAGCTGGCTGTATGAGAAGCTCGCAGTTATCGTTTAATTATTCTATGTTGTTGTTGTTGTTGCTGCTGTTGTCGAACGATCTGTTCTGATGCTTTACCCGATGCTTCTCGCCGCCGTTGCTGGGCTCTTCGCCCACAATGGCGTCTTCATCCGCGGCGAATGGCATCTCCATATTCCACAGATCGTAGCTGTCCACTTTCTACTATGGCTAGGTACGGCAGGTCTCGCGTACCAAGCCCGGGGCTTCGTTTCCGTGGGCGAAGCTTTTCGTGAGGCTTCCATTATAGCGGCGTCGTATTTCACTGCTATGTTTACTAGCATGACGATTTATCGCTTGTTCTTCCACCGCCTGTCTAAGTTCCCAGGACCAAAGCTCGCTGCTGTCACTAAGCTATGGCACGTATTCAAGATTCGACACTCGACAAACCACCTGTGGTTGAAAGAGCTACACGAGAAGTATGGAAGTGTCATACGAACAGGTAGATACCTATATACCCCTATTCTACACCGGCGTCGGCTGATCTTAATATTTTATATTTGCTAACTATTTCGAATAGGCCCTAATGAAGTTACCATTGTCCACCCAGCTGCGTTTAGGCTGCTTGATGGGTGGGGGACTTCTACTACTAAAGATATATGGTATGATATCTTGAAGCCGAGGAGCTCTGCTGTCTTCACTCGGAGTGAACAGGAGCACAAAGATGGCCGTAGGGCCTGGGTGCAGGCGATCTCCGGGAAAAGTAAGGGGACTCTCACCCAACAAGGCCCGACTTATGTTAAGGGGCTCATCGACTGACGTGTTACCCAGCCATGAATTCGTTTAACCCGCGCATTTCTCAACATGTGCAGGAATTATGTGACTGTTTCCGCGGATTTGGTGGTACTCGGCCAGTTCATATAGACGAACAAGTGTCTCGGTTTACTTTCGACGTAGTTGGAGACATATTGTTCAACCAAGACTGGGGACTCGTTAAGACCCAGGCCTGGCATCCATTTTTCGACCACCGAGACCGTGCTTTTGAACTGGTCGGGCCTATTAATGATGTGACTTGGCTCGCACACATGATCTTCACCTTAGCCCCTTTCTGGCATCGCGTTCAAGATTGGTTTAAGATGGTTGCGTTCTGCGAAGGCCGGATGAAGCAACGTATAAACGTAAGTTTCCTCTTATCGAGGAATAATATCATACTAACGGTAGTATAATATAGGAGGGCGATAATATAGACCAGGCGGATATGGCAAGTCACTTCATCGACGAGTACCAAAAACTCCATAGGTTCCATACCATAGAGGAACGCGACCTTTATCTTCACGGAACAGCTGTTACAGCTGTAGTCGCAGGCAGGTGAGCTAGCTATAACCCCTATCCTCTCCCTAATAATTTTATAATGATCCTAGTACATATACTAACACGCCCTTGTCTATTATAGCGATACCACCCGGGCCGCTCTTATTGCTTCATGTTGGTTTCTTGCGCGGTATCCCGAGCACGCTAAGAAAATATACGAAGAGACTCAAGGTGTAGATACGAGGGACCCTAACGCTCTTGCTGCCCTGCCTCACCTCGAGGGGTTCATACAGGAGACCTTGCGGCTCGTACCACCCGCCATGACTGGTGCTGCACGAATAACCGGACCGGATGGTTTGATGGTTGGTGACGTCTTAATCCCTCCTTATACCAAGGTCACGGCGCCCAAATATGTCATCATGCGAAGTAAGTACAGAACAATGGACATACCCCTCAAGATGCCTACCTAGGTAGGTACCTATCTATTAAAACCATCGGCTAATCTGTATAATAAGTGGAATCTGCCTTTGCCCACCCCGACGACTTCATCCCCGAGCGGTGGTACTCGCGACCCGAGCTCATCCTCGACAAGCGCGCCTTCGGGCCCTTCTCGACCGGCGGCCGGCAATGCGTCGGCAAGCCCATCGCGTACGCAGAGCTTCGGCTCTTTGCCGCTGGCCTAGTCCGGGATTTCAATATTAAATTTGCGCCTGGCTACGACCCGATGACGATGTGGCGCGAGATGAAAGACCAGATCACGGCGCAGCCCGGACCGGTGGAGATCATCTTTGAGCCTCGCGAGAAGGCGATTTGATTGTCCCCTTGAGAATCTAGTGTGAGTTTCTTGGAGGGGATATGGTTTGGTGTAAGGAGCCTTGGGTTGTGGTTAGGTATTATAATAACGTTATGAGCTGAGATGGAGGCGGTTCGGGTTGGCACGTTGCTAAAGGCTTAGGCTTGGCTAGACGAATAGCTTGGATACCCTTAACTTGATCTCAGCTGTCTTTCGCATTATTTCCTCTGACTCGGTTAGCTGGAGGTCTGTTTTGCTTCTCGAGTGATTCATCGAGCATAGAGCCTTGGGTTATAACTGGGGAGCGTAGCCTATCTGCGCCAACCAGAATACATGAGGCAAACGATACCGGCAAATATTAATTAATTTCCAAGGGAAAAGAAACAGTGAGACTAAGTTAAACCTCGTTGATTTAATGCGAATTGGGACATCGTGCTTCCAGGAAACGTTGTCTTGTATGAATTCTACGTGAGCCAAACTACCTAAGGTACCTAAGGTAGGGAGGCAATCGGCCAGCCCCACGACAGATGTGTTGATGGACAGGATGTACTTGAATAACCCGTCAAGGCCAGTGTCGTGGCTAACATAAGAAACCGAAATCAACGTAGAGTACCTAGACCTAGACCTAGACCCTAGAGAAGCTAGCCAGTAATCAAGAGCTATCTATAGCATCGCACTATATTACACTAACACCAAGCCGACGAATGCGAGAGATGACTGCTACACGTATGGGAACTCGGGCTATTAAAAAGAAGTGGTGTGCAAAACCGCCGCTCCTAAAATAACGAGAATCCCCCTTCAGGCTTCAGCAGGCCCAACTCCTTGCAAAAAACGAGTATGACCAACTAACGAATAATCCCCAAACGCACAAACAAGAAATTTCAAAACCCCATCATCATGGTCCACAATTCCTTCTCCTTCTGTAGGACCATACGATCCCTCGCGAGAGCTTCGGCGAGGTCAATCTGTCGGTTGATACATCGTCCTGGGCAGCTGCTGGAAGACGGTGTCCTGCCAGCACTCCCTGTGCCGGGCACGCCGACTCCCGGGATGCCAACTCCCGGGACGCCAACAAGGACGACGAGATCGTCGACAGGCTGCGGAATGGGAGACGAGGACGGTCGGAGGCTAGCGTGGGTGAATACCGAGGGACTGCGGGAGTACACTCCAGCTCTCGATTGAGTCTGCGATTCCGGCTGGATCGTCGGGTATGATGTCGGGATTCCAAAAGGATTTCCGTTAGCAGGACCTGCCTAAGGCTGCGGCGCAGAGATCGACGTTGCTGATCGGGGTCGTTTCAAGCTAACTGCTCCGGGACGTACGTAATAGTCGTCTTCATCCTCGTCATCCTCTTCCTGGACCGAACCGCCCATTTGAGAACCGTCATAGGGTGTCGTGGGCGCAAATGTAGGGGTCACGGTGGGCATGACTCGATCAAAGTACTGAGGGGGCGAAGGACCTCCGATCCGAGTAGGATGAGCGGAATTCTCAGGCTGGCGGAGCTGGGCTTGCATAGTATGAAGCGTTGGCGAGGAAGCCGGAGTGGACAGATCAGAAGTGGACGCCGAATTACGCCAGATTCCCTACAGGGCAGCAACATTAGAACTAATACGAAACTATCGGGGGTAAGGGGTGAAAAGAACTGACCTCGACCTGAAGGGGGTCAGTTACTAGCCCGCCAGACATCATCCAGAAGCGATTGTCAAAAACTCCAGAAGTCTTAACGCCAGGTCGGTCGTAAACAATGCCAAAGTCATCAATATGATCTTTGACGATCTCATCTAGTCGACGCCTTTGTTCGAGTTTCTCCCGGTCAGCAGCCTGAGCACCATGAGTAGAAGTTGATGCGTTGGCTGTGATGCTATTCGCTACCGGGTATGATTGCTGGTATCCGTGACTCGCGCCTGACTGTTGCTCTTGATGCTTAGCTTCCACCTTCTGCTTGCCGGATGACTTGGAGTCATCGGATTGGCCGGGGGAGTTCGACGATAGTGCATTGCCAGCTTCCTGAGCATCAGTGTTCTTTTCGTCAGACGTGGTCGGGACTAACGGCATCTCCTAAGTGCCCTCGTCCATCAAATCGACAATCTCCTTCAGCGTCTCATTCACCAGTAGGCCTGCCGAGGCATCAACTTCGTCCGAAATGCTCTGCTTGCGCTTCTTGCCTGATGCGCCATCGTTGTCCTCTGACTTTCTCTTTCCACCACATACTTCCTCACTTGCGGAAGCACGCTCGGCGGAATATCCGCTCAACATCGGATCTTGGGTGGAATCGTTGGACTGACCAGGAGCCTCCGAGCATGGCAATGACATGGAGGATTCTTCGTCGAAATTCATCTTGCCTGTGTTTTTCTCATCAATAGTATTCAATCTAGAGTTGTTGTGGGATACTAGTAGTGGTCCAAGGTGCTCATTGAACCTAGAGTGTAGTAGTTGAATGTTATCGTATAGTTGTTGTTCTTGCTTAGAAGAGGGATCTTTTCTACACAATTCTTTGAGATGAAAAAGTTTCTTAATGTGTTGGGCTGCTTTCTTTTTTAAATGCTTTTGTCCCCGTAATAACTTTTTTCTTGACAGCTGATCGTCAGGGCCGGGATGAGTTTTCTCGTTTTCACGTAAGAGTCCCTTGTTGAGTTGATTGTGCTTTAAGATGAGCTTTTCGGTCTTAGTTGACAATATGCGGAGCTCTTCGGAGGTTAAAGCCGGAACGGTCTTAAGCCTTGAACTGCTACCGGACCGGGATCCTGTTAGTGAGTCGTGACTCTTCTTAGTGCCGGTATGCCGGCCGACTTTCGGCAACCGAGATGTCAACTCTTGGTTTGAATTAGAATCCAGCATCATTAACAATTTTATGAAAGGGACAATAGAAATAGAGCCTCTTAGAAGAGATTATGCAGATGAACCGGAGATGCGTCGAATGTAGTACCATGTTCTGTGAGAAGAATGAAATAGTCTGCTTACCTGTTTACTTTCGAAACAACCTTAGAAACGTTTGATGCCTACTAGCTAGACTGCTGACTGCTAGCCATAGGCAGGTAGCACATTGATTGGTACCTGGATGAAGTTTGTTGTTGTTGCTGTTGCTGTGTTTAGCTTGAAGCTCTCAATACCTCATACCTGAGATGGAAGTAGGAAGTACCTACCTATACCTGATGTCATAGCGCGCAGATTATGTACATGGATTAGAGTATATCGAACAACATATCGGAATTAAAGTACCGATATCTTATGATCTTATCAATCAGCTCTAGACCTAAACCAGCCAAGTTCACCTGCAAGTAGCAATGCTAAGCAATGCTAGACCATTGAACCTCGGTTCGAATCGTTAGATCATGTGGGACTTAGACTCTTAGTATTCCTAATATCGGACAGTTACCCGTCCTGCCATCTTTGTCGCGTTCAAAGCCCCAAGAACCGATCAGCCATTCTTTAAGCATACATTATATTCAGTAGCTCATCATACTATATATACATTACTACGTAGAACTCTCTACTCGTAAATCTATACCACACCCATTTACATCCCCAATTCCAACTAGACGAACTTCGACCTCAGTGAAACCGAAAATGAGCAGTCCGGGAGCCGGTTTTGAATATCCTCCTACCGAGGTATCGTGGACAAAGCGCGATGTCTTGCTGTTTGCCAACACTATAGGCTGTACTTCCGACGAGCTTCACTTTCTCTACGTTAGTTTCCCATTGCCTATACATGCTATAACCATCCATCGTATCTTTCTAACAGTCTAATAGGAGCTCGACCCTAATTTCTCAGTGTTCCCGACCTACCCGGTCATCCTCCGTAAGAATTGCCCTGCGAGCCGATTGAAATATACGCGATTAACAATATATAGCTTTCAAGAAGAACCAGCAGGAAGTCATTGACTTCTATGCCGCGGAGAAGGCAGTCAAAATCCCCGGCGTGCCCGACTTCGATGCGCGACGAGTTGTTGACGGCCAGCGACTTGTTCAATTCCTCAAGCCCCTCCCTACTACGTCGGCCGGTAGAAAGTTCGAGCTCCGAACTAAAGTTCTTGGTGTATACGACAAAGGCCGGCCAGGCTCGGTCGTCGAAATTCAGCAGGACCTAGTAGATGTTGCGACAGGCGAAGTCTACACGCGCGCCATCGGCAGCTCGTTCTACGTGGCTCAGGGCAACTGGGGTGGTCCCAAGGGTCCCGCAACTGAAAATTTCCCTCCGCCAAAGGACAAGAAGCCGGATGTCGAGTTCGAGAACCAGACCAATGCGCAGACACCCCTGCTGTATCGGTTGAACGGTGACTATAACCCACTCCATGCGCACCCGGAGCCGGGAAAGAAGATGGGATTTGGTGGTGTCATCATCCACGGCTTATACTCGTTCAACTCGGTCTGTCACGGCCTGCTACAGAAATTAGGTGGCAGCGACCCTGCCAACATTAAGGAGTTCCAGGCCCGATTTGCGAGCCCCGTGCGACCTGGAGATAAGATAGTCACATCCGTATGGAGGACTGGCCAGGTGAAGGATGGTTGGGAAGAGGTTAGATTTGTGGTTAAGGTTGCGGGTGGAAAGGTCTGTTTGAGCAATGGGAGAGCGTTGATGAAGGTGGTGGGAGAATCCAAGAGCAAGCTATGATCGGAATTCTGGTTTGGCAATTATTTTAAGCTGTAAAAGAGGTCTATTATGGATTTTTAAAATAAGTATATAGCGACTAGCTATAGTTATTGCAATATTACCTATTTCTCAAGCTTGAAAGGCGTTCCAGGGTAGAACTTGGTAGTGTGTAACAACCTCCCCTGTGACGCCGTAACAATTTCCCGGTAACAAATAAAAATTGTTGCCTGATCCAACTCTCCATATATTCTACATTGCCAGCCAGACTGGATAGTCTGCTTCTTGCAGACACAATTTTTTCAATTTTCATTATAGCGAAATATTAATACGATGGCTACAACTCCAAAAGTCGGTGACAGGTTGTCTTACGACGGTGCTGTTTGTACAGTTCGATATGTCGGCGAAGTCAGTGGCACATCCGGTAGTTGGCTTGGCGTCGAATGGGACGACCCAACTCGGGGGAAACATGATGGTTCTCACAAGGGAGTGAGATATTTCACTTGTGAGTATCTATCCTAATTATATAAAATGAATGATAGAAAGAAATCTAATTATGGGAAGGCCGCTCTAAATCAGCGACGGCCGCGTCTTTCGTACGGCCGACACGGCCCGTAGAGAAGCCGCAGAGCTTCGTGAGGGCAGTGACTGATAAGTATGCCTCCGAGCTGGAGAAGACGACTGCGATTATGTTTTCGAACAAGATAGCGGAGGAAGTTGGATTCGAAAAGATCCAACGCAAGCAGTCGCAGTTGTCCGAACTAAGGGCCGTCATCGTCGATGGTGCCCGTATCGCAACGCCTTATTCAGAGGGTGACGGACCCATTGGCGAGACATTTCCAAAGATAACAGAGTTGGACCTCAGCCGGAACCTATTTCAGAATGTGGGAACCGTCGTCGCTATCTGTTCCGAGTTACCTGCTCTACGAAGTTTACGTCTGAAGTAAGTCTATAGATCATGGGCGAGATTGTATTAGGTCGCTAATTGCAGGATAGTGGAAATCGATTTCAAGACATATTTAATGATAAAGGTCTCGACAATGCAGAGAATTCCTTGCAAAATATCAAGGACTTAGCTTTGGACGAGACTCTCATGAGCTGGGAGGAGATATGCCATATTGCAACCAAGTTTAAAGCACTCTCATCCCTCTCGTCCAGTGCGAACCAATTAGTCTCTCTGCCGGAGACTCAATTATCGACACTATCTTCTACTTTGACTTCTCTGGATTTGGAGTTCAATAATTTCACCACCATCGCTGATGTCGCCAGCCTGACCGGATTGACGGCACTTCGTAATCTTCACCTCAAAGGAAATTTCATCACTAGCATCACCCAGGATTCATCCAATAACCTACCAGTATTTTCGGAAACTCTGAAGTACCTAGATGTCTCATATAACCAAGTATCATCATGGGCATTCGTCGACGCCTTACCAACGTGTTTCCCAGGCTTGATATCCCTCCGCTTCTCGCATAATCCTATATATGACAACCCAGATCCCGAATTCTCTACCCAGTCCAAAGCATTCACGGAAGAAGCGTACATGTTCACGGTTGGCCGTCTGGCGAATCTCAAGATACTAAACTTTGGTACGATATCGAACACCGACCGCCAAGACGCGGAGATGTTCTACTTGGGCCGCATCGGCAAGCACTTAGCCACCGTCCCGGAGAACAAGGAAGCTGAAATCATCAAGCAGCACCGACGATATGCCGAACTATGCGAGCTATATGGCCCGCCAGTCGTTAACAGACAAAAAGAGATCAATCCCGCTTTTCTAGAAGCGAGACTGGTCACAGTACACTTCACCTTCCACCCCAAAGCCAAAGGGGGCGAGATTGTAGAACGAACAACTAGGATTCCAAAGAGCTTTGATATCTACGCCGTGAAGGGGATTGCTGGCAAGCTGTTTGGAGAGAACCCGCTTGGCGTACGCTTGGTTTGGGAGACTGGAGAATGGGATCCGGTTGCGGGATTCGATGACGAAGTTGAAGACAGCAGTGACGAAGAGGAGGAGCAGGAGAAAGGAGAAGTGGGAGAAGCTGTAGGTACGGAGGAGGGTTCACAAACAGACACAAAGATAGGTAAGTGGGTCAAGCGAGAGGTAGAGCTGCAAGACGGGCCCCGGCAGCTTGGGTTTTGTGTCGACGGCTTAGACGTGAAAATCAGGGTTGAGACCCGATGATAGACGGTAATTCAGGTAGATATTATCCCGTTGGTACGATAAAGCTAAAGAGATTATTCAAGTCCACGTGGAGGATCAGCTTACTTGTATAACCTAAACACCAAAAGTCTCCTGGCGAGTGAGTAAAGACACTGAGACAAGTTACTTTAGATTGCAACATCTCGTTCTTGATGTCTAATGAGTTTCTATCTTTATTAACTACCTAACTACCTAGCTTAATTGTAGCTGTACATCTTTACAAGCAAACGGTCTTTGCAGTCCTAGAAAGCAAACGAACCGGATATCTGCCCAAACGACTCATCAGAGGTTTGCCCGTGGGGTCGTTATATGGCTAGGTACCTACCGTGGAATCAAAATCTGTACACGTATACGTAACATGAGCTGATTAACCTACCCTAACCCAGGCCACTCTCATCTTTTAAATTGGGCTCACACTCCGGAGTTCTAGAGAGTGACTTACCTATATCTCCAACCCGACGGAGTTATGGCCAACATGGCTAACAGCCAATACGTCGGGAGACCAGAAGCGAGTAGCCAGCAGCTCGCCAACAGCTCCAGCTCTCTCCCCTCACCAATTCACAATCGGACATCACTACCTCATTACTTCATCGTCCGCCCGGGAACGACAAAGCACACGGCGTCAGGCACGGTAACGACGCCCGGACCTATCGTGCCTCTCATCGCCGTAGACCAGCTACCCGCATGGCTGGACTTGCTAGGGGTGCCGCGCGAGCTAAGCGTCGAGCAGACCGTCGGTCTGCGCAACCTAGGAACCGCGGTTAGAAATCCCGAGTTCTACCAGGTGTATATGCACAACGACCTCCACGCAACAACTCCTCCGGCTGCTCACCAGGGGGACTGCCACATACAAACAGAGCAGGTCCGGCGATGCCAAGCGCAGGGTACAAATGACAGCAGGCTGGTTCCCGTCGACATACCCACTACATCCGCTCCCCCCTCCGCCTCATCATCTACAACGTTAACGTCGGCAGAGGAGGAGTCAACGGCGAGTTCGCACGTAGATCTGGGTTCGGAACCCTCTACTACTACCAGCGGTCCTAACAGCAACAATGCCACAACAAGCCTACATCTAAGACTGCCACCACGCACCGTATCCGGCAGCACACCCCCCACAAACCCATACCCCTTCATCCCCGCCCCCGCCCCCGCCCCCGTCCCCTTCCTCCCATCCTGGCTACCCCCATCCACCCGCACCAAACCCCACCACCTCCACGCCACCAGCAGCCACACCGCCGGCAGTCCCTCAAGCACATACTGCAAACACTGGTGCCACCGCGGCACCTGCCGCTGGGGCGCGCAATGCCGATACGCGCACTCGATGCCGACCACAGCCGCGGGGCTGCGCGAAGTCGGGCTGGCGCACCATCCGGCGTGGTACACGACCGCCGTGAACATGGCTTTCGGGCCGGGCGGATTCGCCAGTACACGTGTGCCGAGGTGGTGTCCGCCGCAGCAGAATGCTGCTGCTGGTGGTGTGTTGCGGTGTAGGGAGAAGGAGAAGGAGAAGGAGAGGGTGGAGAAGAGAGAGAAGGCTAATAATAGGGAGAAGAAGAAGAAGAAGAAGCAGAGCGCGGGGGCGGAAGCGGGGGTAGGAAAGGGGAAGAATGGTGGTGGTGGTGGTGGTGGTGATGGTGGTGATGGGGCGTCGGCGGAGGCTGAGCAGCGGAAGGAAGACGCCGCGGAGGAGAAAGATAGCGCTGCTAGTGGCCAGGGGCAAAAAGCCCCGGATGTGGTTGAGAAATTAGTTGAGATCTAAAAGTCAATAAAAAAAAAGCTGTTGGGATTATCTCATATTGTGGAGTCCACGCCGCAGATACCGGCCGCTTATAATAAATAAGACGAACGCACGCATGCGCCGAGCAGACACCCCTGGTCCGTAGTAGCCGCATGTGTAACATAAGCAAATATTGTATTTGATATCACAGTTGGTTGGTTATTGCTGCTAGGCCAATGAAACGAGACTCACAACTCCAACCATGCTCGCAGACAAAAGGGACACGGCTAAAGACGTTATAAAACCGCCGCCGCCGCCGCCGGACGGAAGAAGGCCCCTTGGCATACATATCCCGTCGCCCAGCTTTATACAGTTGCCTCTCTCCTCGCTTTTCCGACCTCATCCCCAGCCCTGATATAGTCCTGATCGCACCTCATCCCGTCGTCTATTAGGACTCATACCGTCCCGTACTTTTTCGCACCTCATTTGGCTTAGCTTAGAAGCTCATCTTCTTCTTGATCTCGGCGATTGCTAGACCGGGGTTTAGACCCTTGGGGCAGGTCCGCGTGCAGTTGAGGATGGTGTGGCATCGGTACAGGCTCATCGAGTTGTCGAGCGCGGCTTTGCGCTCTGCCTTGCGCTCGTCGCGAGAGTCAGCTAGCCAGCGGTACGATTGTAAGAGGATGGCGGGTCCTAGGTACTCCTCGGAGTTCCACCAGTATGAGGGGCATGATGTCGAGCAGCACGCGCACAGAATGCACTCGTACAGACCATCTAGCTTTCGGCGCTCAGCCTTGCTCTGTCGGTATTCCTTGCCCTACGTAATTATCACGGTCAGTATAAGCGACAGAAGAGATTATCTCGGTGGATTGGTATCGTACATCTGGGGCGGGGGTATCCCGCTGTAGGTAAGGCTTGATCGATTTGTACTGCTTATAGAAGTGCGTCAAGTCTGGGACGAGGTCCTTGACGACGTATGTGTGGGGTAGTGGGTAGATCTTCATCTCAGTACTGGTGTCCGCGGGGATGCGACCTATGAGCGCCGTGTTAGCCGCAATCTGGCTTTTCTGCATCGCCAAGACGACTTACACAAGCAAGCCAAGGTATTCGTCCCATTGATGTTCATCGCACAGCTGCCGCAGATACCTTCTCGGCAACTTCTGCGGAAGGTCAACGTGGGGTCTAGCTCATTCTTGATCCTGACCAAGGCGTCAAGCACCATGGGTCCCGTCTTGTTTAGGTCCAGCGTGTACGTCTGCATCCTCGGCTTCTCGGTCGGAGTATCAGGGTTCCATCGGTAGATTTGGAACGACTTCATGCGGGAATCGGTGCTGCTCGGATCCGCCTCGACAGTGGCGCCACTTACTGAAGCCATCGATCGCACGAACATGGACGGGAGCACAGCGGACCGCGATGAGGCGGCAGCGGCGAATAGCCGTGATGAGGTAGAGCGAAGAGCTGCCATTGCGGGCAAATTCGGGAGAGCGGTTTTTGCTGGTTTAGCTGGTTGATTCCCTTTTCCTTGCCGTCGCTATTGGCAATTAGGTGAGGAAAGGTATAAGAGGGCCAAAATCTAGGACAATATATTGAAACTAAAAAGAGAATCAACCGGCCTCGCAATTATTCAATCAGAGGTTGTTACAGGAATAGTGGCAAAAGAGGAATTGAAGTATTCCATCATCGAACTTTCCACCCGACCCGGTTTGCCCTCGGCTATTGCCATCAAAGGTTCCGTCCAATCACATGCTTTCAATTAATCAACTCATACGGGCTGTTACTAATTCCGACCCGACTTCCACATGCGGGCACTTACCGTTCTTAGATCTAGCGCCGTTTATTGAGCCACTTGTCCGACAAATTCTTAGAAGGACCAATCAGCTATGCATTGTGGCATACCTCTACGTACATCCGCCTAAATAAGCCAATAATCGAAGACGTATTTGATATTCTTGCATGTAAGCTAGCTCCCCGGATTAGTATCGAACCGAAGAGAGACAAGACTGGAGAAACTCACTTATTTAGTGCACTCTACTATCTATCAACTTAGTAGACATTCTATACCCGCATAGTTATTGGTATATCTATTCCACCGATAGTTAAGGAGTAAACGTTCGATCCTTAAATGAACTCAATTCACTTCCACTGTCCTGGTACTCTCAGCTAAACTCCCATGACTTCGCCCGAATTTTCCAAACGCCGACATAGACTACAAGTACGATACGAAACCCCCAACAACCGCCGGATAGATCTAATTAAAAATAGCGTTCCTCATACCATCTCTCCATCTTACTGTCCTAGTCTTCTTCACTATCTAGGTCTTCGTCCTCTTCACTACCTAGGCCGCCGTACTCATCGTCTGTATAGGGTTCTGCTGTATTAACAAGCCAAGTTAGCACTTGCAATTTTCTCGGAATGGAGTTTTGATATACCTCTTTCCATCCACCATCCCAGTGCCTCAAGCTCCGCCTTCACGTTTAGTCCTTGGTAAAAGAATAGCCTAGATCTATAATCCCTCTTTCCAAAATATACCGTAACCGCGCCGTGGGCATATTTAATATTATATAGGTGGATAGACTCAAGATGTGCGCTAGATTCGAGTATTTCCATAAACAATCGACAGAACATATCATCATTAGCCTCGGCGAAAATTATATTAGTAAGGGTCAATTTTCGGAGGCCAGAGCACTTTCGAGTAATGTGAAGGAGGCTCTGCAGAGGAAGTTTGCATCCCTTAAACTCGCACTCATGGACTTTCGTGAGTGCAGGAGTATTTGGCGGCTTGAGTTCAGGTGGTCCTTCATAATCATTGTATGAAATCGGAGCCCCTAACCAATCGGAGAGATCTTCAAGATCCATGGCCTTGAAATGTAAGGCTTCGAGATGGGTTGCATGTGAAAGGAATGTGCGTAAGTAATATGTGCCGATTATAACTGGCACTCCATTATTTGGTGAAATCAGTTGTGGGAAGGAGGAATATAGGCCGAGGTGTAAATCGATAGTTTCTAGGCCGGAAATCATAGGCAAGATAATATCTTTCGCAAAATTAGGGACGTTGAATGCTTGGTCTGGTAGTAATGTATACATTAAGCAAATATCGAGTCGTCTCGGCCTTGATCTTGATTCTCCTAACGCAAACAATACAGACTGCACACACCTTACAGCCTCTTGAGGGCGATGCATACCTGTGGGCTCCATCTGTTGTAAGTGGGGCGAGGCGTCAGTCTCCGTGTAGACCTGGGAAGTTCCTAAACTAATGCCCTTATGGCTGGCGCAATTGCACACGGAGGAAGAAGATATTTGATCTGAATCACAAAGCCCGACTCTTTCAAGTTTAAGATTACGAAAGGCCTTGGTAAGATATTGTTGATCGAGTCCGGTATTTAGAAATGATAACTGGTCGGCGGTCCATTGGGTAAATCTGTTACCGCTGACTTGCACCTCTGTAGAGCCGGCAGTGATACCATAGTATCCCCAATCCGCGTTTATTTGTTCGTAATGGAGAAGGTCTGCCTCGATAACGACGTGTTTAAGGTAGGGCGACAGACGGGACTCTGATATGTCCACAAGAGCTTTTAGGCTATATTCGGTACACGTGCAACGGACCTTGGTGAAGTACTTTTGGGCGAATTTTTGGAAGAGCGAGACATCAAGTTGTCTACAGACCAAGCGAGCAGCTTTCAAGTCTCGTCCATTGAAGTATGAAGCAATCCAGACTAGTATTTCTAAGGGGATGGTAGTCAGGTTTGGCGAAGGCATTGTTAGAGGTTATATAGTACACCCTGTATCACCACCCTGGGGGCCCCGGCGGTGATACAGGTAATTGATATAACGGGGGGGGGTGGGTAAGACGTCAACTTCAAAAGAGGCACCTAAGGTAAGCAGTAGTATTAACGATACATCGAGATTTACGAAGGTCCGGGTTAAAAGTCTTGCACATGTGGAGGTCCGTAGCACCGTATTTGAACGTCATCCCTTTTTATTAATACTGTATCAGCCACCTGCTAAGATAAAATTTAGATAGTGGCCCGTACGCTAAGTTTAGGTGGCTTACCACTATATTTATAGCGGCATTAGCCACTACAGCTTAAGTAATACCGTGCGGTCCTTTTTTAACTCACACGTGATTTGCCAAGACTACATGTGCAAGACTTTTAGCCCGGACCTTCATAGAATGAAATTGATCCCAGAGCGCGAGCTTTCCACGCTAGCACGTGCCATACTGCAAGGGTTGCAGGGAGATACATGGATATATGTATACACTACCTACGTACATGTATGTATGCAAATTTTATGCAGGTTTCGTAGGTACATCAAGGTACCTATCTGAACAGCTGTTGCCGCCTGCCACAACTTTGCCTCTCTAGCACAGTTCAAAGTAGGTAATCGAACGTTGCGAGTTGAATCGCAGAGAGATAAAAAAAAAAAAACTTGTGAAGGGGATGAGACAGTTTATATTAGGTAGTATCGCAGGTTGTGGCCACTCATGGAAAACTGCCTTTTCAGTTTAAATCACAATGCTTTCGAAGATACATAATGGGGTATTATCTAGACCTTTAATTACAAATATTCAGCACCAACTGAGGTCGTCGGTCCCGTCCTCGACTCTCTTGCGACAGCGAGCCTATCGCACCCGAACATTCTCTGTACAGACGATTCTTCGATCCCAAAAGACACAATCGAAAGCAGACTCTACGCACAAATTCATATACCATGCGGCCGCTTCGTTTTCTGCCAAATATAAGAGGTTCAACCCGACAAACGACGTCTTCCATTTCAATCCCTATAATCGCATCCAGACGGAGAAGAAGCGTCCCAAATCGAAGCGTCCTGCAAGCGGACAGGATGCTTTCTTTATAAGCCGTGTGGGTGACACAAATGCCGTTGCCTTTGGCATTGCAGACGGCGTTGGAGGCTGGGAAGATAGTGGCGTTGACCCAGCCGATTTCTCGCATAGCTTCTGCGACTATATGGCTTCAGCAGCATATGAACATAGATTAGATACGGCTGGTTCGTCCTTGACGGCCAGATCTCTAATGCAGAAAGGATATGATGACGTGTGCCAGGATGGATCCATTTATGCTGGGGGTAGCACAGCCTCGATTGGTATCGCGAGTGAAGATGGCAAGCTAGAAGTTGCTAATCTGGGTGACTCGGGATTCGTGCATTTGCGTCTGAATGCTGTACATAGCTATTCGGAGCCGCAGACGCACGCCTTTAACACACCGTATCAGTTATCCATCGTGCCGGCAAGCATGCTGGCACGCGCCGCCGCATTCGGCGGGGCACAATTGTGCGACTATCCCAAAGATGCAGACGTCACACAGCACACGCTGAAACACGGCGATATACTCGTTTTCGCGAGCGACGGAGTCTGGGATAACTTATTCAACCAAGACATACTTCGCATAGCTAGCCGGTTGATGGTCGGGCTAGGCGCCTGGCAGGCAAGCGACGGCGGTATACTCGTCGCTGACAACTTACTGCCCTATACCCAAGCAGAAGACACGACGCAGCGGCCCTTGACGCTTCAGAGCGCACTAGCAGTAGAAATCGCAGGGGCCGCCAAACTAGCGAGCACGAACCAACGGGTTGACGGACCATTTGCTAAAGAGGTTCAAAAATACTATCCCCAAGAGAACTGGCACGGCGGCAAAGTCGACGACATCTGCGTCGTCGTCATAGTGGTCTCCGAGGACGGGAAATCAGAAGCAATCAAGAGCAAGTTATGAAACTACAACGACCAGTATTGTACCCAAGTTGAAAGGATATAGAATTATGCATCGCCAGGCGTTGAAAAGAAGGGAGAAATAAATATTTACGGGCATCCTACAAGCACTCTGTATATAAAAGCGGGCGGACGGGCAGGGAGGGAAAGCGGGTCGTACTTGTATGATATTCGCTGCTAAATACCTATATACCTACCTATTTATAACTCTATATTTCCATGCGCATGTTTAATAGTATTGTAGATGCCAATTATTATACTAACACCTTGACGGGGTTGAGGTCTTCTGCTGTGGTAATAGTATGTATTCCTTTATGTAGTCATGCTTGACCGCTTTTCTTTGACCGGTGCTTGGTGCTTCGAGGCATAAATAAATATATGAGTGCCACGGAGTACTAACGAAATACGAATACATGCGTGTTTATATGTAACAATGACTACATGCATATAGAAGGTAAATACCTATAGACTAACCTAGGAGTCTGATATAATTCGCTGCTACCGTAATGCTCAGCGTAGTTTATAATGTGTAGTTGTTGGAGGTGACTCAGGGTGTAATCCACGTCACCTAGTACGACAAGGTATTGCACGATAAGGGCCGTAATGTGTGCTATATAAGTAGGGCCTGCAAGGCCACCAGACTTAGAATAATCAACGCACTTTTCAACCGATTGACCAGTCTACATGTAGTATGATAACCCTGTTACATGTGAATATCTACATGTGAATATCTGAAGGGAGGTTTGACGAATGAAACTGTTGTGGGGAGTTGTCGTCAATCTAATTGCCAAATCCCAGCCTCCCCCACATAGTACGTCTATGTACATATGCACATAGGGAAGCTCTAGGTGGGGCGCCGACTACCAATTCCACCTTCTTAATTCTTGGCCTGCAAGTGCAAAACTTCTACATACGTACAACATTCCCATTCCTCCATGTATCCAATTCTATAGCTATCTCAATTCGCTATAATTGGTGCAAAATTTAACAACGCGCGACCATGGACGATACTGTCGCGCATTCGGTGGAAGGGCTTCTACCCGACTCGCTCGAAGTGCCTATTGATGAACCCTTGTCAATATCTGATCCCGCTGAAGTTTTCGGTGTACAAGTTCCATCGCCGCAAATTCCCACTGACCTCCCCGAGGTCACTTCGATTGGTACTACCCAGAGCGAATCTAGTAGCTTGAAGCGCTCTAGACCCCATGACGAGGCGGAAGAAGGATGGCAAACCGTAAGCAAGCGCTCTTCCAAGAAGTCGAAAAAGGACAACAAGGAAAAGAAGGTTCCGGCGCCTCAATCGACCAATTACCCTTCCATCACGTTCAACCACAATGCCAAGCTCCAGTCTAAGATCGCACTCGAGTCGCTACGAAACCTCATCCTTTACATATTCGCCGAAGGCGCAGCTCCTCAATGGGTTGCAATTTCCCAACGGCCACAATTTCGAAAGATCGTCGCGATCATGGTACCGGGACTAGAAGAGGCTATGTTCAAGCAGGATGTCAACTTTACGACGTATAATGACCAGCCCTTTAATTCAGATCAAAGGCCCCGAGTATTGACATCTCCGGATGACTATTATCCGCGGCTTCTTAAGAAGGATGAGCTTCCTGATATCTTGAAGGACTTCGCAGACATGTTCAGTCACCTATGGCCTGTCAGAACGCAGGGTAACGAGAAATATGGCACTATCCGCTCGCCACTCGGCACCATACTCACGGCGCCCACCGAAAAGACCAAAGAGGAGAAGAGTCAACGGGGCGTCCAACCTGCAAAGGAGCCAAAGGGTTGGAAGGACGAACGTACAAGAATCACCGAGTTTCTAACGATGCCAGAAGAGTTCCTAGCCAATGGGTACATATTGCACCCTGCCTGTATACCGGCAGAGCGGCGCAAAAACTTTCAGGATCTAGAGGGATGGGTTCATACTAATGTAGAGAATTTTGAAGACGGCGAAGTTCCCGAAGAGGAAATCCAACTAGGGAGCGTCACGGCGGGCCGAGAAATTCTTGCTCTTGACTGTGAGATGTGCGTAACGGGGCCCGAAGAGTACTCTCTTACGAGAATCAGTCTTATAAATTGGGATGGAACTGTTGTTCTCGACGAATTGGTCAAACCTGACAAGCCAATCCTCGACTATGTCACTCGTTTCTCGGGCATCACGGAACAAATGTTGGCCCCTGTCACCACTACGCTTAGAGATATCCAGGCGAAGCTTCTGCAAATCCTCCACCCTCGCACAATTCTTGTAGGACATTCCCTAGAATCAGATATGAAAGCATTGCAACTCACTCACCCGTTTGTTGTTGACACTGCTATTCTATTCCCACACGTCCGAGGACCCCCGTTAAAAAACAGTCTAAAGTTTTTATCACAGCGGTTTCTCAAGCGTGAGATTCAGAAGGGTATAATGGGCCACGACTCGATAGAAGATGCAAAGGCATGTTTAGACCTTGTGAAGCAGAAGTGCGAAAAGGGAAAATCCTGGGGCAACCAGGAGTCGGGTGAAAATCTATTCCGAAGGTTGACTAGAACTGGAAAAGCTTATCGCGCGAACGGTGGAGTCGAGGCCAAAGGAGGCGTCCAAGTTGGAAAGACGAGCGCCATGATTGATTGGGGTGACCCCATGAAGGGTGCTGGAGCAGCTTCAACGTTTCCGATCGGGTGCAAGTCGGACGAAGAGGTAACGGAGGCCATCATGCGCGCTGTAAGAGGCGATCCTGTCGGAGAAGAGATACCATTTGGTGGCGTTGACTTTGTTTTCGCACGATTTCGCGAGCTAGAGGCATACCAGGGGTGGTGGAATGGGAAGAGCGACTTTCCGCCTCCCGACCTATCCAGCATGTCCCTCGAAACATGTGTACAGAACCTCACTCAGCGAATTAAGCGCATCTACGACTCATTACCACCATGCACCGGTTTCATCGTGTTCAGCGGTTCTGGCGACCCGCGCGAGATGGCACGCCTGCAGGCCATGCAAGCTCAATTCAAGAAGGAGTACAATACGCCAGGCAGCAACTGGGACGACCTAAGCGTGAAGTGGACAGACAGGGAGGATCAGGCGCTAAAGAAGGCGGTCGGCGTGGCGCGCAACGGCATCGGTTTCATCGGTGTCAAATGAACTAGTTAGCTATGTCCCTTATACTCCTTTTTTTTCTTTCATGGATGATGTACTTTCGGGATTCATCTCGGGCGTGTACAATAGATATAGGGAGGCGGCATATGAGATACGAGCTACGAGCTACGATCGTGTTTGGCATTGGTATTCTGAGATACCCATTTCTATATTCTTCGTCAGGTAGGTATTCTTCGTCAGGGTTAGGTACCTACCTAGGTATCTATATAGTTACGCGAATTGAATTAGCTGGGCTTTTATAGCTTACATAGGTCAGACCACCACCGTTTGATAGGTATGATGTAAGTGTTTTCGCCTTTGCAATTAGAGACGTGCCTACTCCCTCACTCAGTCTGACGTAGGAACTCGTGAAACTATCGTAAAGACTAATTCGTACTTAACGCACTTAACACATAGACACAGTAGGTAGGTACGAGGACTATATTCGGTGAAGTATTCGTACTATACTCTTTTAAACTCTTTCAAACTCTACCGTAACGTCATTGCATCCTCGCGCTACCATAAGATCGTTGCTTCACATAGAAATAAATATTTTAGTCCAAAAACACCTAGCAATCACAGCGTCTGTGTTAATACCTTGATGTGCTACCTACCTAACATAGTACGTGTAGGCTTCCAAGATGTTGGCTAAGACCTCCTCCCTAGATAGACGGGTATATAATAAACCATTGTCGAACACGAAAGACGACGCCATACCTAATCGCTGACTAGCAATTACGCCTTATATATTGTGCGACAACCATTTATCAGAACATACAAATTCTTGAGTACGAAATTTTAGGGACCGTCCAAAATACATTTCCTCATCATCATGGATATCGCAGACTTTACAGAGCCTTTGACCCGAGTCACTATATACTGTTCTCGATGCCGAACAGCTCTATATATGTCCACCAATCTGTGGAATAGGATTGATGAAGGTTATATCACCCCCGTTGCCTCCCCTAAATTCGGCGTGAGCACCTGCGTCGCTCAAGGAGGTTTCCCGACAATCCTACTTAGAGGTCCTATACGATTTGGAAGGGGATACACAGTACTCGCGAACTGGTATGGTTTATCCCCATAATATCTATAACACTACTTACTATGTACTCCTAACGTCTGTTATAAAACAGCCACCTACAGGATATATCATGCTTCGGTTGCCGGGCGGTAATTGGGTTCGGCTGTCTACAAGCACCGGAACGTCATGTTCTGAAAGAGTAAGCTTCTATGTAATCCCTCCCTACCTGGACATCCATCACTCGCTAACCACCATAGTGGTCAACTGTTCTTCCGGCCTTCCTCAATTATGCTCATCCAGGCGGATGGCTATGATACCAATCCATACACTGGTATGATCGTTGGGCCTATCATCCAAAAGACGCTCAGTATGGAAGAACCTCCACATGCTTATCACGATACTCCAACCACGCCTTCGTCCTCCGGGAGAAGTACGCACGCTGGCATGAGCAATGGGGACAATTCGACGATACAAGGCCAAGTTCCTAACCATCTACAAGCTCAGATCGATGCTTCAAGAGAAGAAATCCAGAGGCTTAACCGCTCAAGTAATCCAAATGCCAGCTCCAGCCCCAGCTCCAGTGGTATCGCGACGCCGCGTGCCCAAGATGAGGTCCGAGATACGGTCGTACAAGATGAGATCGCACAGCTAAAGAAGGATGTTGGTGAGTTGAAAGATTTGGTGGTGGAGAAGTCTTCCAGGGATGCCGCTACACAGGATAGCATTACCTCACTAAGAAATGAGTTCAGTGAAATAAGCCTGACATCCGCCCGTATTGAGCAAGAGCTTTTTTCCGCGAGGCAAGTAAACGCATGTATACTCTCAGCTCTAAGCACCAGCCGCCATGGGTCGACGTCAACCACAGAGCAACCACCACAGCAAGGCCTTGGGCGCGCGGGGGAAAGGCCGAATGGAACTAATGGGGTCGTGAACGGAGATGTCTCGACAGCGAAGGCTTGGGCCGAGGAAATATCCTTGCTACGAGCGGAGATAAACGGCATCAAGGAAGAACTGGCTCAAAAGCGATCCCAGGAGTCTCTACCTGAAGACGCGGGCTCACCAGCAGAACTCACTAATGGAAGTACTCAGCATTGATATTACCAAGATGGGTTGAAGAGCGAGCTAGGGGAGGAAGAAAGTATAGTTAGGTTGTAGCAGTGCCACTGCTGATATATCTTATAAGCGACAGCGAAGTAGGAATAGTGCCACTGGGGGTGAAAGAAAAGTAGCGGGTTATAAAGCATGGTCATACCGAATAAAGTCCCAATAGCGTAGTTTGCACTTTGCAATAATACACTCCTCTTATTTTATTTTTCAGAGCCGAACTCAATATCTGCAATCTGCTAGATTTACACCGTTGATGAATGCAATACTTAGAGTGAATGTCAGGATAGTTGAATTGGATTGTTAACACCTACCCTTCTATCCAGCCCTAGTAAATCTACCCCTGAATTTACCCCTAGCCTACTATTTCATCACAAAATCCGGCTAGTGTTTGGATTGGTTCTAGGACTGCCATCTTGAAGAAACGGCTTTCTTCCGAACCAGTTGGGTTTCTAGCGAAAGCGTTTACCAATGCATTTTCAGTCTCTCGACCCTTTAGGCTCTCGAGATCGTTCAGCTGGGCCTTTGCTTGATGGTATATTTGCCATTCTTTTGAATGAGCCGCCGGGCAATGATGGATAACCATGACCAGGATCGTCTGGCACATAGTAGCTTGGTCAATCTTGCCCAGGAACTGTGATATCCTCGCTGATAGAGACTCAGTGTCTCCGCTTGATGCGGGAGGTGGCACCGAAGCCGTGTTGGCTAAGAGCTTCGCAATCATGAACATGCCCTTCACCCTGAGTACGGAGAAGGGCATAGGAGCCTTATATGGATCGCTATTCAGAGCAAGGAAGCACCACAGAGCTAAGGCGTATTGAAAGTTTTTCTTTTGGCAGAAATAAATGCCGGCATCGACGATCACTTGCGCTAGTGGTTCGACGGCGTACAATCCGGCTTCTCGAAGCGGCGCGCATATTTTCCAGCGGCGGCGGAGCTGTTTGGAGAACTCCGGCAAACTCAAGCCTTGCAGCGGTTCTATATATTTCGGGTATATCTTTTCGATATATTTCTGTAGAGAACGATTGGACTGCAAGTGTTGTTTTATTGGTGGATGCCGTAGTTTGTCTAGATCGGGGACGAGACTAAACGAGTTCAGCTCGAGATGCGGATACTGCTGACAGACTTGATACATGTCCAGGTCGTCTTTGCACCGGGGACAGACGCATTTGAAGTGATACTGCTTCTGTAGCGCTTGCTGGCGGTACGAGCGATGGAGTGTGCATTCTGAAGTGAGACGGGCGGTTAGTAATAAGAATATAATATTTTACGGGGTGATGCCGAGCTTACCGATATATGATATTTCGATCTCTTCGCCCTCTTTTATCTCCCGATATGCGTGTAGGACTGCCTTTCGTCCTATGAACTGTACGAAAGCATTCGGAATGCAGGAATGGTTTATCATGGACAGCGCAGGATTGAAGTATGTCCCACTCTGGCCAACATCTACATCAAGTCGGTTGAAGGAGTTGAGTTTTAGCTAGTCATCGTTAGAGTTATGGGTTTAGGAGCGAGAGAGGCAGACGTGGTGAGTAGAAGTAGAAAAGGTAAAGAGTTATGGCCTAAACTGACCAGAACGTTCGTAGCAAACCCCGACTTCACTCACCTTACACACAGCCTCCATAGCCTCGGCCAGATTACTCTTGTTCGCCTCCCGATTCAAGTAATGCAGCGTAGCGCGAGCCTGGAACTCTAGGCCGGCCCAAGTCATATCCGAATCCGAACGCACCGCCTCCATATGGCCTTCCATCTCCGCGACTGCGGCCTGCATTTCCGGGCGCACAAGGACCTGGATTAAAGCCCGTACGGGAGTTGGCAAGACCAGGAGCTTCGGATCTACCTCCTCTTGGATCTCCTCTTGGATCCGCCGGAAGGCTTTGCATTCGCCGCGGCCGTGGGCGAGCGCCCAGTCGGCTTTCTGGCATGCCGGGGTGCAGTAGTAGACTATGCGACAGCCGGTGCACGCGCGCACGTGGACCGGTGAAGTAGCCATAGGGTTTTGGTCCGATGATACAGCCAGGCAGTAGTGGCAGGTCCGCGATAAGTGTTCGTTATCTGGGATAGCTATAATAGGTGCTCCTTTGTCGTGAGCAAACACGGCAATGACGGCACCTGGGCTGAAAGTTCGCGATGCGAGAATAGAGCGACCCCGGGTTGGGGATGGTGAGCTCAGGACCACGCCGGGTGGAAGGGCGACCATCTTGAATATCTTAGTGAGTAGGGAGACTGGGAGCTTACTAATCTTCCTCTTCGTTTATCTCCTTGTCTCCTTGTTTGCGATGTGTTAGATGGAAAGTTGATGTGTCCAGACGTAATCCAGACGTAATAAATATAGATCTGTGGAACTGATCTTGTATTAAGAAAGAGCGTTTTAATCTCAAGGACTACGGGGCCACCTCATACTTATACGTACCTACCTCCTATATCTAACCTGAGGGCCTCGTTCCTTCCCTTGACGCTTTGTCCGTGATTGTCGTAACTGCCTTGATGTCTGGCAAGTGCCCCACAACTGCCCGCAACTGTATTATTTTATCCTGATTACGTGGATCACCTAGCAACAGGATCTTAAATATCGTTGCACTTTTGAACCATATTTTTATGTGGTGAGACTTAGGAGTCGAAGGTGTTTCAGAAAAATGTAAAAGTTATACTAATAACTTTAACTTTCCATAGTTATGGACTATATTAGTTAGGTACTATTATCGGCAAGAAAAGTTTCTCTGTTGAAGGTTTGTATGTAGTTATCCGTGAGGGGTATGCATTATACAACTGTTGACTTTCCATCTTCTCCTTTCCGTTACACAGCAAGCTAGTCCGTATAATCAAATACAATATTATATATTATCTAGGTGAGATGTCTATATTTATATCATACTCTATGGGTTAGGGGAATTTAGCATAGCTCTATGGATAGGTAACATCGACTAATAGTATACATACGATACATGCATATTCACACCCGCGCGTCGACGAGTCACAATACAAGATACGATCCTCCTCTTCCTGTTTCAGCCGCAAGACTAGGCCATGAGCTTCTAATCATGAAGTCCCTAGGATAGGTATCTCTCGAAGATAAGGCGTGCTTATCACTCCAATAAATATAAGCGTTAAAAAAGCAGCACTCAAAAATAGTCGGAGATGACTTGACTTACATTTTACTTTCATCAAGTTTTTTTTTTGTGATGAAGTAGAACCCGATCACATCTCTCGAATTTGAATTGAGATTATAACCCACTAACTTGAATAACGCCCAACTAACCAATCGTTAAACCATGCCTCTCGAACTACAGCCTGCCACCGAAGCCGACGCGCGCCGAGCAGCCGAGATCGAGTCTGCGGCATATGGGCCGAACCCGTTCAGCCAGATCCTATTCCCGGGGCCGTTCCCTCCGGAGGCAGTGGCCGGGCGCGGTGCCCAGTTAGCTGCCGAGCTCAAGAAGGACCCCACGGCGCGCTGGCTCAAGGTAGTCGATACAGATTTGCCCGAAGGTGAACAGATGATTGCTTTCGCCAAGTGGCACATTTATACCGAGAAGCCGCCACAGCCAGCGCCTCGATCATTCGGCCCAGGTTGTAACGCCGAAGCGTGCGAACTTGTGTTTGGAGACCTTGCGAAGCTGAGGTCGCGCATCTGGGGCGATAAGCGTTCCGTCTGTGAGTACTTGACCTTGACCTTGGGGGAGAAAAGCCACGTATTTTCTTCGTGTGCAATGTGAAACAAGGGATGAAGGGTCGTAGTTCACGGGATAATATTCTTCTAGTATGGTAGTTAACTTACTAACCACGCTACTTTATAAGACCTCTCGCTCCTCCACACCGATCCCAAACATCAGGGCCGGGGCGCGGGCGGCATATTAACTAAATGGGGACTCGAGGAGGCAAAAAGGCTCGGCCTTGTTGTATACCTTGAATCTTCTCCGGCAGCTCACTCGCTGTACGAGAAGCATGGGTTTCGCGATGTTGAGATCCTAACAGCCGACTTGAGTAAGTGGGGTGCGACGGAGGAGCATAAGATATGGTCGATGAAGTACGATCCGTCTGAGATTGCTGGTTGAAAAGCATTTCTGTTCATTATAGGTAGGTAGTTAGTAGGTATATGTGATGAGAAAGCAGGCCTATGATGGAGAATTGTTTGACCTAATAGGGTCTTACAAACGAAGGTTACCTGCATAATAAACAAACCTCCTAGGTTAGCTTTGTATACATTCAAACTACCTGTTATTTCGATTGCCGACCTACTTAGCTCAGTTGTAAATGAATGGAGATTCGTCTAATTGAATGATGATGAGTTGTTTACCTACGGACAACACATACAGTAGTTCTCAAATAATCCTCTATTAATATATTGGTGGGTCCGTAAGTACAGCTAAAATACATCATCTCACTCAGGCTTGTCTGTTGGTCTTGCACGATTTCATCATTCCATCCGTTCAACCTCTTCTCTGAACAAATCCACATTCGAAAAGAAAACCTCATGATATTTGCTTTCTTCTCAACTCAAGTATAATATCATATGTATAAGACATTATAATTACCTACACATCCGATTATAATTATTCTCACCTTTCAGCTAAACAGCCCCACCATCCCGCATACCGCGTCATCGTAAAGCCCCAACCAGCGATGCTGTCTTCTTTCTGGAAGACATCACCAACAGATAACTCCAAAATGTCCCCTGGTCCCCCAACCAATGATAAAACCGACCCCCCGGCTCCCCTTGTGACTTCGTGGCGCGCCCGTGCCGACGCTGGTGAGTCGGTAGCCGTGGTCCGCGTGCGGAACCTGCGAAGCTCTATCCCCATCGGCCGGGATGCCTGGGGCCGCTCCGGTAAGTTACAGCCGGTGCTTCTCTCCTCCGAGGTGTCGTTCGCAGACCCGTTCTCCGTGAATGAGTCTTCGTCGGGGAACACTGATAAGCTCGACTCCGGCACCGTGCATTATGGCAACCTGAGCAAGACGCTGCTTGGTAGTCTCGAGCTTTTGGGGTCTAAACCCGACGCTGCGGAAACAACGGCGGCTGCGGTAACCGCTACGGGCTACGAAGCCGAAGTCACTACCCCGCGCACTGCTGATGTCTTGGAGCTGCTGTGGGTGCGCATGACGGGGCGCGTGGTAGACGGGAGCCGTGTAGCCCTGCCGCTGGATCAGCTACCGTTCTTGCATGCAGCGCGCCTGCGCTCGCTCTCGCTTACTGTAGAGCTGCCCAAGGCATCTCTTCTCGGTGCCGGCGTCAGCCTCACGACAACAGCATGCTATAGAGAGGACATGCCAAAAGAAGAGGAGAAAGAGAAAAGCGATACTAACAAGAACCCCCTGCGATCGTACTCGCGCACTCTGCGGATCCAGGGGCTGCACATTCCCACGCTGATCGGCGTCAACCCGAACGAGCGTAAGGCCAAGCAGATGCTCGTCGCGGACGTTGAAATCGACAGGTTCGATGTCGCGGAGGACATACATACTGAACTAGAGAGTATTATCGTAGAGGTGAGTGTGCAGAACGAATCATGCCTACCTAAACGTAGCTTACATATCCGCAACTAGACAATGGAATCGTCGTCTTTCGAGACGCTGGAGGCACTTGCTTCCCACATCGCCAATAAGATATTATCGGACTTCAGGATCAACGACGACCCAAAGCCCATGAAGGAGAGAGAGTGGCGGGTTAAGGTCTGCTTGGAGAAGCCGATTGCGATACCTACTGCGGAATTCCCTGCTGTGGAAGTTACCATGGGATCGTGATTATATTATCTAGGGGACAAGGGATATGCTACTTGGACGAGATGTTGGCATATGTAGCACGTGGACATACTGCTAAACAACGAGCATTTTGGATGGTAAGTTATATGATATTACGTACAGCGCTAGCTCTATTCTAACATTATAAGATACACGTGTCTGCTGGAATTTCTAAAAGTAGCCCTATGTTAGAATAGTGTCGTCTCATTGGTAGGACCTCGAATATCCGTACCAAGGAAAGATTCGAGGCTTCGAGTATATCGAATTTGGAGTCCAAGTTGTGCTATTCTTACTTTTAGACGTGCACTAAAGAAACCTATAGATACATTTAACGAGGAGCTACATAACATGGTAATCCCCCTGGGTCGTTTGAATCGTACCGTCCTATGCATCAACTGCTAGAGGGCATGGATTTCTAGGAAGTCAGTATAGAAGCTTCCATGTATGTAACGGAATATGGCATGATTTACAACCACGCGCGTATAAATGACAGAAGTCCATTGAATTACTATCATATGATTAATCAGATAGGGCTACCTTAGTCTCAGATCCAGATCTCTTATACACGGCCCCTGGCAGTAGTGAAGCTACACCAATCTTACGTGACGTGGCCTTACGTTATTAAGACAGCTAGTGTTTATAGTACGAGTCTCGGCATCGTGAATATCACATTAAACCCGAGGTAGGAGAGTGTTAAGTGAGGCGGAATAAGACGGGAAACTACATGAATGAAGGTTTCTAAGGGCTTAGACAGCCTCACTTATAACTACAATGGGTACAATTCATAACCCCGGATTTTTAGAAACCTCAAGCGGCCTGAGTATCCCAGACGGTGGATTCCTACTCATGCGCGTGATGCGAGATCCCTAATGCATACAAGGATACGACCCGGCATATAGCATTTGTCTTAGTCGATTCTTGGATCTCTGGGTAATCTATAGAAAATCAAACACGCCCCCTTTCTATCATATATCATCAATCATGAAGAGCGAGCGTAACATACGAAGCCACGTCAGACCTTGCGGCAAGACGGGACGTCGCCATGCGTAATCTCATCGACAAACTTGGGGTCTGGATCGAAGAGCATGACGTGGAAATGCTCTACGGCCTGGACAGATTTCAACGACCTCCAATTCTTGAACCAGATGTACTACCCAAATATGTTAGCGGGACTAACTAACTAGGAAACAAGGAGATGAAGATGAAGAGGGTAGGTATGGATTCCCACTTACGCGATCTTTCGGGACCCTAGATCCAAACGTCTTCTGCACGTAGCCATCGATCTCGGCCCGAGCCTCGTCAGTCAGATCCGTCGTGACGGGATCCTCAGGTAATTCAAACTTGGTCCATACGACAAGGTGGACGATTCGATCGTCAATTCCATACGGCCAGTCGTTCCATAGAATCTTAATATCATCGCCGAACTCAAAGGGCTTGCCCCTCGGCTTCACAGGTGCCTCCCAGTGCAGCCTCTGTGTCAGGACGAAATTCATGACGCTACCGTAGTCTCTCTTCAACTTCCAGGTGTACTCAAGGTACCGCCGCAGATCAGAGGGGATACGTCTGAACGAGCCTAGCCGGTTCTCGGCTACTATGTTCTGCACCTCTGGCCACGTCGACACTGTGTACTCCGAGTCGGGCGTGCCGATAATGCCGATATCCTTGACGCTCAGGCTGCGGAGGAATTCCGGACACTCTTCCGTCCGTTCGTTTTCAGGGACGTTAACCTGCCAATAGGGCAAACCGTCGACGCTTCCCATCTCGTGCTTCGACGAGTACCTAACCTAATGTATAGAGAAGTACACCACCGTTTGATTAGTAGTGTTGTTGTGTCTTCTACACTCCTGGAGAGAATAGGCGAAAAGCGAGTAGGTAGGTATAGGCGATTGCGATAGCACTGGCTAGCTGATAGATGATAGATGATGATAATCTCGGAGGAAAGTGGCTGGGAGGTGCAACCTTGGAAATTCTAATTTAGGGAAATATTGACAATAGTTTATTGTTCATGGCAAGCGCTGTGCAACGAAATCTCGGAGAGCTGATATCGATTCAGTTTAGAATTCGAGGATATCAGGATATCAGGGGCTGCTGACCGTAAACCATTGGCCAATCGGCTGTGACATGTGTTAAAGGGTGGAGTCGAATGGATCTTTCCTGACGCTGTCCCTGTGGACGCGGTGTCATGTGTGTAAACGCTATCACGGCGTTCGTCGGTTTCACATAGGAAACTTCAACAATGTATTATTAGATTGGAAATATATATTTATTATATATATTTATTATTATAATATTATTAGTTATCGTAGCACTTTAATATTAAATATGTAGATAGTATTAATTAGGTAGATACCTACCTATGTTAGATGCTATGTATCTAGGTAGTTAATCGCTTAGTATTTTATGCCTGTAGTTTTGCCGCACCGATATTTTAAACATCTCAACTCAAGCTTTGAGGCTTTGAGACAGCAATTAAGGTTAGCTAGATGCGGCTCTTATCTTAGTCGTGAAGATTTCGATCTTGCCCAGCCTAAGGGATATGTATAGGTATACTTAATACGCAATACATGATAGATAATAATAAAGTCAGACATTAAGGCCTACTTGCATTGATTAATCAGTTTTCCTTATATGTACCGTGGCCCCCACGTGGAAATCTCCCGATTATCTATTTGCTACAAAACTGACGTGGCACTCGTTGGTAGTCTGGTTATTAGTCTCGTCATCACAACCTCACAAAAGCGATCAATATAAACTATCATTCTGGAATCGACTTCGACAAACGAAACCCGCCTTTTGCCGAGACCTGATTTGATCGAGGCCCTTCGGCGAACAGTTTCACCGGCTTTCAATAGCTGAGGCTGTTCTAAACCAACCGATATGAGAATTTTATTAAACGAATATCAAGTGGATTGCTCTAGAACTTAGTACACAATTAGTTCCCGCTGGTCTGAAATGAAACCATGTATTGGGTGAGCTAATTGATCCATAGTGGAGAGGAAGTTGTATTTATTATTGCGAGATATAATATCGACAATTTGTTAGTCTAAGAGTGGAATACGAAGGAAGCATTCTCGACAAAGTCGCCTATCCGTCACAAGTCCCCCTAGATCATGTAGAAATCGACTAGGTTAAGAAAGAGGGACTTTTTATCGGTGGCTTGAACGCCAACCACGACACTGAAGTAGGTGAAAATACTACCCACCCACATTGGAGTCCGGTCAGGCCAGACTTCACTGCGGATGCAAGCCCAAGCCAGCTTTGAACCTTCGACCCACTCTCCATAGTTGTCAGACGAATGTCGGTAAAATATGATAGATCTCTTGGATAACCTTTTTTCAGCCTTGAAGCGCTCTAAGCCTGCACGCCCTGAAAATGTATTGATACCCTACCTATATACTTGACTAATATGGAATAGTGTTGTATGCCACGATGGGAGACGGAGACGGGCCTTCTCTTGACATTGGAGAGAAATTGCAGTATTCCGTCCAGCGAAGGCATCCAAGTATGTATGTATTGTATCGTGGCTGGGATACGGCACCAAGTTCGACGTGAACATCGTGGTGGTGGATCTTTAGCCGTCTAGTGTACATAGCTTAGCAGGGTCTAGCCCATGTCCACAAATGCCGTAATAGGACTAGCCCGGCCCGTTTGAAGGGGCATTTTCGAAGAGGTGATCCATTTTCGAATTGAATATTGGCGGCCAAGTACCGTACAGTACAAGGGAGATATACACCGCATATCGAATTTACCTCCGCTTCATCGTGGCCATGGGGCAACCGATAATTTCCTGGAGTACGAAGTAACTATTAAGGGGTGAAGACGGCTAGGAGGAAACCATTCTAAATAAAAGGGGACGAGATGCTCCCCTTTAGTTGCTTGACTGGTCTTCTTTTCCTCTTCGCACACTTCCACTGATCAGGCAAGACTGCAGATAGTTGGGTGCAAGACATTCACCAGGTATGTTTATGATCTTCTCTTCAATTTAATAGCTGCAACGTTATCGCATGTTTTTCTGTCTTTCCCCACTCAGGTCCAGCATGTGATTGAGCGCCTTAGCTTCTGAGACACAGAATAGAGGACGCAGGAGACAGACACGATGAGGCTTGGAAAACCGCCACGTCCTTTTTATGAGAAGAAATAATCCATCGTCCGAAAAGTCATTGCGACATCGAAGTTCTGATCTTCGGGAGTCCTTTCAACAAGTGGACCTTTTGGCTTTGTCTGTCATTAATGTTGAAGGATAGGAGCCGGGATAAGACAAGTGATGAGCTCGAAAATGGAGATGAACAAGATGATTGGATTGGTCAAGAAAGAACAGCCCAACTGAACAAAAAAAATACACCAAGCAACAGCTACAGCAAGCAATCAGGGAAAGACAGAAAGTGACTTGCTTTAATTTAGTCTGCATTACGTCAATGGTGCATTTACAACTGCAGAAGTGAGCTAACCCCCCCTTTTTTTATTTAGGTATCAAAAAATTACCGTAGCTACATCGAAGCTCCGCTGCCAACCAAAATTTACCCCGCCATTGCCCCCCCTAAAAGTCTAGACACAATCGTCATCCAAAACCGTTACTAAAATAAATCTTGACCTCCTCTTCCTCCTTAACCGTCCTCCTCATATACACGCCCATAGCGGACTGGGAGCTTATTCACTGTTGATTCAGCACTTTATCTGTTGAGAAAGATACACAAGCATAAAAGTTGCTTCCATCTACACAAATTCACAATGTCTCAGGGAATCAAGAGCGCGCTGCCTTCCCATCTAAAGCCCGGCGGGAACGATGCGGACAGCGAGTTCGCTGGTCGACACCACGGAAAGACTCACTCGCACATGGTGAGTGCAACTTCATCTGTTTTGGAATTAATTCATAGCACCCTGAGTTCGCGGATCCTTAAATCTATGAGAAGACGGGAGTTGTCCCCTAAACCTGCATCCAAACCTGAACTTGAACCTCAACCTCAACCTCAACCTGACCCTGCATCGCTCCCCTTGTTTCCCATTCACCATGACGAGGAGCCTAAGAAGCCCGAGGAATCATTGCGTGTACGCCCCAGAACTTCAGATAGCATGGCAAGATAAAGTTTCTTCTACATTGGCGACTTGGAAAGTTTGGTGCCTCAAACACCAGACCCAAGTCACAGCCATCTTTACTTCCAGTCACTACATTCATTGTCTTTACTTCGTTTTCACTGGATTTGGGATTCTTATTTAAACACTAGAGCCCTTATGATGTTTTCATCCCCTCCATACCTTTTCACTTAATTTTATTGGAATTCTCCTAACCATCATCTCGACCATGTCTCCCTTACTACCCTTACTAACAACTGATAAGGCCTTCGAGAATGCCTCGACCAACGTCGCCGCTGCGCAAATGCGCAACTCTCTGACTGAGCTTGCCGAGACCGTCCAGGACCCAGAGCTGAAGAAGGTATGTATCTATAACGACACATCTTAAAACATATTAAACTAACCTATCGGATTAGCTGTTCGAGACTGAAATGGACAACTTCTTCGCTCTCTTCCGTAGATACCTGAATGACAAGGCCAAGGGCAACTCTGTGTATGTACAAGTTCCGCCGTGGTCCCAAAATTAAGGAAGAAGCTAACAATAGGCCGGCTAGTGACTGGGATCGCATCAAGCCTCCCGCGCCGGGACAGGTTGTTGACTACGAAGACCTATCCAACTCAGAGTCTGTCGGATTCCTCAACAAGCTAGCCGTGCTGAAGCTGAACGGTGGCTTGGGTACCTCCATGGGTTGTGTTGGTCCCAAGTCCGTCATCGAAGTCCGCGACGGCATGTCCTTCCTCGACATGTCCGTACGACAAGTCGAGTTCTTGAACCGAACGTACAACACCAACGTCCCTTTCATCCTGATGAACTCGTTCAACACCCACGACGACACCGCTGCCATCATCAAGAAGTACGAAGGTCACAATGTCGATATCCTTACCTTCAACCAGTCGCGATACCCAAGAATCTACAAGGACTCGCTTCTACCTGTTCCCAAGAGCTTTGACTCGAACATCAACGAGTGGTACCCTCCCGGACACGGTGACGTATTCGAGTCTCTCTACAACTCCGGCCTCCTTGATAAGCTCATCGACCGCGGTATCGAGATTATCTTCCTATCGAACGTCGACAACCTAGGTGCCGTCGTGGATCTACGTATCCTACAGCACATGGTCGAGACGAATGCTGAATACATTATGGAGTTGACCAACAAGACCAAGGCTGACGTCAAAGGTGGTACTATTATCGACTATGAAGGATCCGTGCGCCTGCTGGAAATCGCCCAGGTCCCGAAGGAGCACACTAACGAATTCAAGTCGATTAAGAAGTTCAAGTACTTCAACACCAACAACATCTGGATGAACACCAAGGCCATCAAGCGCGTTGTAGAGAATAACGAGCTTGAGATGGAGATTATCCCCAACGGCAAGACTATTCCTGGTGATAAGAAGGGCGAATCTGACATCTCCATCCTTCAGTTGGAGACCGCTGTCGGTGCTGCCATCCGCCACTTTAAAAATGCTCACGGTGTCAACGTACCCCGTCGCCGGTTCTTGCCCGTCAAGACCTGTTCAGATCTCATGCTCGTCAAGTCGGATCTGTACACAGTTAAACACGGCCAACTGCAAATGAGCCCCAGCCGCTTCGGTGGCGCCCCGCTCATCAAGCTCGGTAGCGACTTCAAGAAGGTCTCAGACTTCCAGAAGCGCATCCCGTCAATTCCCAAGATCATCGAACTCGACCATCTCACGATTACCGGTAACGTCTACTTGCACCGTGGCGTGGAACTGAAGGGAACTGTTATCATCGTCGCAACCGAAGGCTCTACGATCGACATTCCTCCGGGATCAATCTTGGAGAATGTTGTCGTCGAGGGTAGCTTGCGTCTATTGGAGCACTAATCTGTGGAAAGACCCCTTTTCTTGACGTACTTTGGGGACTTCTGCTTTCTGTGTTGATAAGCATTTCGTCCCCCTTCTGTACGTACGTTTCTACGTATTATAATGCGCGCGTTTCGTCTAGAGATGCGGTTGGCGGTGATTTATCTCCCTTCGTCGGTCGCGCTAGGAATTATAGGAAGTCGTATGACATATAGAGATGACAGTGTTGCGGCGGCAGTATGGCAGCAGGGATGAAGGGGGAAAAAAATGAATGATTCACGGCAGGACTCGTGGGCGTGTTATGCAGACGCCAGGAAAATAATGAAATAAAGGATATGCATGCATTCAGTACTAGTACCTAATATTTGTTGCAGGCGATTTGTGCCGTTGTGTATTTGATGGTAGTACGCTGTGACTATTGTATGTTTTCGTAATATCAATGCCGATGAGATAATTGCTACCCAGGATTGAGCTGGATGACATGCTTTCTGGCAATATGGCTCTAATAACAACTCGAATTTTTGAGACGTAACTATTCTGAATATACGTATATAGTGTTCGGCTCGGCATCGATGCTGGGTTATTCAATTTGCTCTACGTAATCCTCCTGTTCTGGTGGAATTTACTACATAGCCGCCACGATCATACCCTGATAGGTTAGTCCGCCATAGCTCTGATCGTTCGAATGATAGGGGCTTCATTCTAAAATTTACCAGCCTCCGTCCTATTCGAACTTGTAATTCTTGACGGAGAAACATGGTATAGACGGTACTTGATGAAGTTAGCTCATAGTCAAGATATTTCAGATTTAATATGTTGGTAGTTGTAGAAGTTGTTGGTGCTTTGAGTCCGGGATGCGTCGGGTTTAGTTATTTGACAAGTTGGAGGAGGATGTGAACGGTCTATTGCGTTAGACGGAACCCGTCATATTCTATCCAATCTTTACTAGGTTCGATTTGCATTGCGTCGAGTCTAATGATGCCTGCGTACCTATATACATTGGGAGAAATATGTAGTCTAGGCGTATAGACTCGGATGATATTCTATTTTCCCTTCTTTTTCATGTTCTCGGTGCACGACGGACAGTACCAACGGCCTTCGGGTTCGGACTTGAGGCCAACGCAGGTCCAGTGGAACCACTCATAGGGACATGCCGGATTGTCACAAGCAACCATATCGCCGTACGATACATGCTGGCACAAACAGTACTTCTTCCCTTCCTCGTCCTCGTCATCTGATCCTCCCGACCCTGCCGATACCGATCCTCTATCTGGCATATCCTCGTCTCTGTCGAGGTGCGAATGTTTACGGTGATGGTGGTGATGTGGACGAGGCACGGGTGTACCACTACCAGCCCGAGACCCAGCACGCGACGACCGCACCGATTCTGCGTCTGATAACTCGCTGTCTGCTGTTGATGCTGGTGACCCCTTGGACATACCCGCTCGTTTAACACGCGATAACGTCGACTTCGAATGCGGAGGCTTCTTTCGACTAACTCCCGCAGATGGTGTGCCTTTCCGTCCGATACCTACGCTCCCAGCCTTCGAACTGGCTCGGGGACCGGCACTACCTGCTCTCGATGCCCCCGGCGTCCCTGCCTTAGGCGTCCCCGGTCCGAGAGAAGAATGACGAGCTAATCCACTCGATGCTGTTGGCAGGCTGCCTAGACCGGAACTTATTCGTGGACCTCTCTTGGGAGCACCGCCTCCACTGTGTCTAGTTAGTATCGATTGTTTCTTATTTATATGTAATATGGTGGCTGATTAAGAGTCTTGGGTGCCATAGTCTAAAGAGGAAGAAGTGCTGCAGTTGGAGAGGAAAGGAGTCCTGGTAGTAAATATGTTGTAAAGGGAGCAAAGAACTCTGAATGGTTACTCACGGTCCGGCAGAGGACTCGCGCTGGTTGCGGCTGTTCATGATTATGCTTGCGGCGGGGGAAGCGGGCGCCGAGCTGGAGATGTGGGCTTGCGACTGAGTGGTCCGGATTTGGGGGTTGGCAGCTCTCGATCCGTTCGGGGTCGCATTGTTAGTGATAGGGTTAAGAGGCGTGTTACTGGCCGTCGAAACCGCCAGCACCCGAAGACTGGTGTTGCTATTGTTGGCAGCGCTCGGTCGTACAACGGAGGGTATCTCATCGGGGTCGGTAAAACCAGGTTCGTTTCGGTCGCTGAGCTGTTTGATCTGTAGGTCGAGATGACGAATATGCTTGTCAAAAAGCGACTGCGCTTTTTGAGCCAGTTGAATCTTCTCTTCGGCAAGTTTATCGGCTCGGGTGTAGTTCTCGCGGATGGTCTCGCGCAACATCTGTTCGCGGGGGAAAGGCGTGTGGCTACCGTTCATACGAATCCAGCGCTGGATCTTAGCGTCGCTCTCTTCGATGGTCTTAACACACTCCTGATATGTGCGGTCTTTATCGGCGATCTCGTCCTGGATGAAGCGAATCTCTTCGGGCAGATTGGCGGTTCGATGGATAAAGTCTTCGAGGATGGCGGCAGGGTCTTGCGCCTCGGTCGAGGGCGCCATCTTCTTTACGAAGTCTATGGAGAGATCGTCTCTAGGCATCGTTGTTAACCTGGCCCTCTAAGCGGGGGCACGCTCTTTGGGTAGGTGATTGTGAGAGAGTGTTCAGAGAGCAAGCAATGCGCAAGTGTAAAGGAAACTGGAAATTGGAAACTGGTGGAGGAAAGGCAAGGTGTATTTATTCCGAAAATGATTGCGATGTCGCCTATTATTTGTTATTCTTTCCTTTTTTTTCTCGGCCTTCTCTTCCTAAATTCGAATATCTGAGCTTTCTTTTTGCTCCCTGTTTATGTTTTTGTTGCGACAGCGTCCCGGGAAAGATTGTGCAACGTAATGCAGGGAGATACGAATGATTGAGGTAAGTTGGTATCACACGCAAATAATTGTCACAACTGTGTGAATTTGAGCTCTGGCTCACCTTCCTGACCAGTCCCGAGAATTATCATTTAAAAAGGTCCTCCGAATAGTAGGAGCGGTGCAATATTTGGGAAGTCGCTAGGTAGGAATACCTAAAGTAAAATAGGAAGGAATTATTCGATTGCTTCATTAGCTGGATACAAGAATTACTTGCATCGGTACACCGGCAGCGGCAGCAGCAGCAGCGCAAACGCAAGAGACGGTTGCTAAGTCCTAGAGTGGGGAGTAAATTAGTACAATCGATAAAATTCAATTCTAAAAGTGAACGTTAACAAACACGGTAGAAACAACAGATGTTAAATAAATTTGTTCTATTACGTAATAATATGATGTATTACTGGTTGCATGGATTTAGCAAGTCATGACGGTGCGAAACGGTGTGATTTACATCAGCCAACCTTGAAGGATGAAGTTATTGTGCAGTCGTGTTAGGTTATTCCTTGTTCTCTAAGCAAATTGGGAAACATTAAAGAAAGTCACTTCAATCCAGGTACCGATCCAATCTATTACAGATCTAGCTTAGCGTTCCTCATTCTGCATATTACATACCTAGGTATTTTGCATATTAGCAGATTAGTTAAGCCTGTGCATTATAGTGGGGCAAATCGGCAGCTACCGCATCCTTAGTGGCAAGTCATGAAAGTCGCCTTCATCCATCTTCATCTTGATAATTGAAGATAACTTCTTCATTAAAAAAACGAACCCAAACTCACCAAGACTCAGATATTATATTATAGGCTACACCATCCCATTGCCATCCTTATATGATTCACGAAGATTCCATAACGCGTTATATGAAGCTCGTTGCCGATAACTTTTAGTACCATACTAATTCATCTGAACTACCTCCGAACTTAGTTACCTGATTCACCTTACCAGTTTGAGTCTCATTTTCGGAGTCAAGCAACAGATAACCATCACATAATTCCAGGCGTTGTGATACCAAAAGTCCCACAAGCGCTAGTTGAGAGAGCAGAAAAATTAAGCGCATCCTACCATTTACATCACATAATAAGGTGTTTTTGTTCATCGGCCGCATCTCATCCGTCAGCCTTAAAGATGGAGGTTGACCCGGCGAATTGTTATTCGTTACGGTTACCGAAACCCAACTACCTCCCTCACAAGGTCGATGTTGACGGGCCGGTAGTAAAGAAATTCAACAAACCTTTAGATCGGCCAAGCGACCTTGAAAATGCAGCTTATCTTAACAAGATTAAGCGCTTCGCTCATGAATATGGCATCACAAAACCAAAAGGCTACACAGTGTCTTTCCATTATAACCCCGACATGGAGAGGCATCACTTCGGCCAAACACATCCAATGAAGCCTTGGCGACTAACTCTCACCAAGAGCTTGGTCTCATCTTATGGTATGAATTTCGCTATGGAGAATTATACTGCCCGCGCGGCCACATACGAGGAGCTTACGGCATTCCACACAAACGATTATGTCGAGTTCCTGGCCTCAGTTGCTCCCCAGCCACAACCATTAGACGTCGACAATTCTAGTCCGGATCTCAAGTTTAATTTGGGAGGTAGTGATTGCCCACTTTTCGAGGGATTATACGACTATTGTTCCATGTCTGCGGGTGGTTCCCTAGATGCCGCCAGGAAACTATGCACGGGGCAGTCCGATATTGCCATCTCCTGGGGCGGAGGCTTGCACCACGCCAAGAAATCGGAAGCGTCAGGATTCTGCTATATCAACGATATTGTCCTTGGTATACTACAATTATTGCGCATCCATCCCCGAGTTCTCTATATCGACATCGACGTGCATCATGGTGACGGCGTAGAAGAGGCCTTCTTCTCTACGGACCGCGTCATGACGGTCTCTTTCCACAAGTATGACCCTCAAGTTTTCTTTCCCGGCACTGGCGCTTTAGAAGACAACGGCCCGAGGAGCGAGCACAACCCAGGAGCACACCATGCTATTAACGTACCCTTGAATGACGGCATTACGGATGAGCAGTATGAGTGGCTTTTCAAGAGCATCATTTCTAGATGTATAGAAAAGTTCAGGCCCGGTGCAATTGCTCTACAATGCGGTGCGGACTCTCTGGCCGGAGACAGGTTAGGTAAATTCAACCTGCTTGTTCAGGGACATGCCTCGTGTGTCGAGTACTGCAAAAGTCTAAATATTCCTCTGCTTATGTTCGGAGGAGGGGGCTATACACCCCGAAACGTCGCTCGTGCTTGGGCGTATGAGACGGCCGTCGCCATCGGTCACAATAAGACCATCCCGACAGAACTGCCCCTCCACACCCCTTGGCGAGAACGCTTTAGGCATGATACGCTTCTTCCCACTTTAGAACAGATATTGGGCGAGCCTCGCGTAAATAAGAACCACAAAAAGAAATTAGACGATATCATAGAACATGTCACCGAGCAGCTGCGATTCGTCGAAACCGCACCCAGCGTGCAGTTTTCTACCATTCCGCCCGATCTCGGTCCAATCAGGGATGAGGTAGAACAGCGAATCAAGGAGGAAATTGAGGAGAAGGACGAAATCGGGCGAAAACTTCGGGAAGAAGGCATGGGAGATCATATGGAATTATAATTGCTTCTTCCTGACATCCAGTTCACGGTTTAACCTAGATATCTTGAAAAAGAAAATCATGAACACTGATCGTAATAGCATTATACTAGCTAACTGTCTTATATGCCTCTATCTTTAAGACCCTAACTTCCTAGCGATCTTGTCTCCCATCTTGTTTCATCTGTAGTACATAATGGACAGTACGCAGTTTAATACAGACAATGGCTGAATAAAAAGATTAGGCGTTTACAAGACTCGACTTTACAAACTCACTCATGTCTCTTGATACGAGAAACTCGATTTTATTCTATCACGCTGCTGAAATACCAAGTTATCACAATTTCTGATAACTCCGAACTTTTTCCTTTTTATCACTCGCCTTGGAGATCTTAAACCCACCAGGTACCCGTTCTTGGAAGACCCTGTTGGGATCATACTTCGCCGCGACGGCCTTTAATAATTTGACGTTCTCCGCGCCATACGTTGAGAAGGGTTCTTGGTCGTCCGTGCAGTAGTTCAGGTACAGCCAGTCGGCATCCTTGTTAATCGACTTAGCGAAGGACTTGACGGCGGCAAGCAGCGCTTTCACCGCGGGTCGGCCGACTTTGTCGCGCAGCTCGAGGGATTGGACTTCTATCCCGATGAGGATGTTGAGGCAGTCTCCCGGCAGGTTCTCGATTCCAAGCACGTTTCCACCTTTGGCGGCGGAGATATCGGCCCACGACTTGAGGATCGGCTGCGTGACCATTTGGGCTTTGAAGTTGTCGTCGGGGATCGCTTTGCGCAGCTTTTCTATTAGAGCTTCGTACTCGGTGGCTGCTTTGCGCATCGTGCGGGCGTCGACTTGCACGGTGATGGCCTCCCAGTTGGTGCTGGGGATGCTGGTTAGTTAAAAGGTCCGAGGAGATGAGTACCTGATGATATAAGATATAATTAAAGGACGTCGACTTACTAGTTCGCCGAGGGGACTACGTAGTCCGCCAGCTTCTCATACAGCGTCTTGACTTTGAAGTCCTCAGGTTTCGAGATGGGGTCCGGGATGGCTAGGAACTTCTGGAGGGGCTTCGGGTTCGCGACACCGTTGACGTCGGACACGTTTATGCTTATCGTGTAGTCTTTGACCAGGGGCGCGTGGTAGGAATATAGGAAGGCGTAGTCGTCCGGGTTGGCAGCTAGGTTGTGTACGAAGTCGACGTAGGCGTCGACGACTTGGTCGCTGGCGGTTTTGGGGTATACGGCCATGCCACACCATATTTTCTTTGCCTCCATGGACTCCAGGTCGAATCGCGTCACTATACCGAAGTTGAAGGAGCCGCCCTTCAGCGCGAGGTATAGGTCCGGGTTCGTTGTTTTGTTCGCCTGGACTATACTGCCGTCGGCTAGAACGACCTCATAGTTGACGATTGTGTCTAGGTTTTAACACCCGTGTTAGCGCTCATACGAACCCTTCCTTATATCTGGCTTTCACACAGATACTAATTATTGATGGATGGATCACTTACCGCAACTCCACCCCTTGCTAGCGATGAAGAATGATATACCGCCACCGATTAAAAACCCACCAACACCTACCTCGGCCTCGCGACCTCCGACAACCAGCAGTCCCTCTATTATACTGTTAGATCGTGCTTATGCGCTCGGGGTTTGTCCAAGCACTACTTACGCGAAACCAAGTCTCTGTAGACATCCTTCCACCTACTGCCAGGCTCAAGCGATACAAGTTTTGTTTCGGGGTTGTAAGTTCGCTTCGTCAGGAGAGTGAGATCGATAGTCACGCCGTCTTTGATATTGTTGCTATTATCCACCCACATGTGGCCTCCGCTGACCAGATGATCTTATATTAGCGTTCTATATTCGATAGCACACGGGTAGCAAGAACATGGGGTTCGTAGTCGCCTACTCGATACTCACCTACGGACAGCGAACTTAAGGCCCTCGGTGCTAACTATAGCTTTCAACGCCTTAGAGACTTCTTCTGTGTTTCGGGGCTGTACGATAGCCCAGGGTCCTAATCGCTGCGAGAACGGCGCCAAAGATGCCTCTTTTGCCTGGTAGGCCTGCTCGCCAGGGACGTGTAAGACATCGCCCAAGCCGGCTTCCTTCAACTTGGCAATGGCTGACTGCGCGATAGAAGACATGGTGATATCTCTAGAGTAAAAGGGTTACATATGAAGATGCAGGTCCACGCATAATAAAGTGCGAGCGCGGCGTCTATATATGCAGGGTTTTTCTGCTGCCACTATACAATTATCTACATGCCGTATCGCCCACCAATACCCCCGAGTGAACAGGATCCCGCCGCAGAGCGCCTTCATCATATCATATGAGTGGATATCTACGTTGCTGTAGTAGTCAGATCCCACGGGTTATTTTCAAGAGCAGATCAAACAAGATGGAGCCAATGGCGTGAGAGTATTTCTTCATATGGGAGTTAGCCTCATGTAGGAACGGAGTGGTTCCCCGTCGCAACAGAACACCCGCTTACTTCGGATTGAATCCATTCTAAGATTTCCCCTTTATAAAGCGGTTGGATAGAACGTTAATCATGCGATTCAACATACAATTGTCTCAAAAGTCCAGATCCTGGAGCCTGGGTCGTGGTAATTCAGATAGATCTGTTGACGACGATCGCCTTCTGTTTCGCCTTACGTGTCACGCCTATAGCTATAGGTAGAATATGCCATCGCACTAGTATAGCAAAAGGGACTTTCCCATCTTCGTCCATAGTCCTACTACATACGACGTTACGTCTAAATTAGGAATAGTCATATCTCGTTCTGGCCCAAATAGTCCTATCGAGGAAATCGTTCATGTTGAGGCTAAGACGTCTTTTCCATGCGAGTGCTTGACGCATGTCAGAGAGATACCTAAGTCCGATAATAGGCGCTTACTTTGCGGGTCTATAGGATTATGCTGGTGTAATTCATAAAAAATAAAATCGAATTTATCGGTTCCGAATCTAGCATTGTGAGCTAGTCTCGATGAGTTAAATCACGCACTTGAATTCATATGCATATCTTGACCATATGAGGTAATACACGGTTTAATTATGAGGTGGCGTGTGTTAACTTATGACTAAAGTATAGCAAGCTCATAATGCGTTGTTCTTTAACAGGTAGATAGGTAATAACAAAAATCCAAGCCATCAAGCTACTGATAGATGATCAATCCATGCTGACTTCGCGTGTTATGCCGTGCCGCGCTGATCGGGAGCTACGCTCTGATCGAAGACGCGGATAGTGATCGGGGGCAATGTCCGAACCAGCAAGAAAAAAGTAAGTACGGGTTTGAAGAACACCAGGAAGTATAAAGTTGAGGTATGTCAGATGACAAAGATTACGATAGGTATATGACGTGATACGGGTTCTAAGATCTAGCTTGAAGCTATCTCTACCAGCCAGTCATTCATTATGTTGTATATAAGGGAACCTTGGTTCCCTCTTAGATTTAGGAAAAGGCAGGCGTTAGTAGTATTCCAAAATATATATGCCATATGAGCTATCCACCAACTAGTCACCTGTCACTCCGTGGTGGTCACATACCAAGGGCAGCCTCTGACAAGGTAATATAAACTATAGATCGCGGTATTAATACATTTATCCATCATGTCGGTTCCCTATTACTACTAGTATGTATAAAAAACGGTTTACTATTTCACGGAATGATTAAATCGCCCAACTGACTATCAACTCCAAACGCCACAATTTATTCGTACGAATGAGGATGAGGCCGGTGAGGATAACTTCATATCTAGGATATAGTAGTATCTGGAAAGAGGATTGAAGGGTCATGGATGACACCAAATCAACCACTAAACTGACGTGTGTCGAATTTCTCGTAGTTCTTGGTGGTTTGTCGTGACCTTGGGATTTGAAGCGTGTTCAAAGTTTGGAGAAGAAGATATGAGTTCCCGGGTGGAGGTGGCGATGTATGTAGCGTAGGTACGAGAGGATTGAGAGGCTGCGGATAAAACTTGGCAACATGCCTCCGTTACTGTATGGGTGGGTGACCTATTTAATATTAGACTGTTGATAGGGGTGGAAGATCATTTATATAGGTGTTTCAATGGCCCATGGATTTAACGGTATGGGCCCGGATGATACTGATCATTTTAGTTGAGAGTAATCAAGGAATTTAACAGTATCTGTCGACGTGAGTTCGGAATAGGGGTTAGTTTTCTATTAGCTATATCTGGATCCCTCTCAAACAATGGCGTCGCCCGCTAACGATGGATAAATGGCTTCTAGAGTACAGGTTGAGTACCTAGGTAGTTCAATTTTATACCTAAAGTTAATATACAGACTTTGTGTCCTTAATAACGAGTGTCTTGAGAGAGTAGGTAAGTTCCGGCTACCTTGTATCGAGACATCAAACCGTGACAGTCTCATATTTCACAATATTATCTTCGTCCTACTAGTTATGCCATCAAGATAATGGAGTGAGTGTATGAAGGATTCAACCTTTGAGCCTAGTCACATCTTTCAGTACTTTATAGCTCTTCGTGCGGGTATTCATCTCTTGGAAACCTAACCGCCTGCCCATCTGCTTCCTCATTGATTGGCGCTTGAAAAGGGAGCAGAAACCTCTCCTCACTCGGGTCAAAAAAGTCCTGATAGAACGTCAACTGCGGGTCTTGGTTGCTCGTATTGTCCGCTTGGCGTCCCGGAACTGGGTCCCATTCTGAAGGACTTGGACCTTTGTAGTTCTCAGCAAGCTGCTTGTTGGCAAGGTGGGCGCGGATGAAGTTCTTGGCCTCATTGAAGAGTGCCGAGTACGTTGGCACGCCACGCTGGCGGCGGGCGTTGTCTTTTATAACCGAGGTTACGGCGACTATCCATGGATCCTTACCATTGAGTGCCTTGATGTTGAATTGAGTTTCGTGGCAGCCGGTAAGGAGGATCCCTGGTACCGCCTTGCGTCCATCCAGCTCACTGCTGCCTATGGATGACGAGGATGCGATGGTGAGGTTGACGCCCTTCGTAAGATTCTGAATGTCCCAAATGATGAGCTATGAACGAAAACCAAGATCAAAGAAGCCCACCTTGCTAATAGTATCGGCCAACCAGACGGCTGGTAGGATTTCTTTGGAAGTTCCGTCGTCATTTCCGGCTAGAATCCAGCCATCATCGCCATCATCTCGCGCATCGGACCCATCTTCATCGGGGTATGTAGTGTTACGTGCATCGACATATAAGAAACTCACATCACCGACTTCGGCGTTTGTGCATAGCTTCGTGAATTTTGACTTGAAGTTAGCTATGGTCGGCGGATCTTGCCCAAGAGTGCACTCCTTTGGCCCACTGGGCGGGTCGACGTCGAAGTATAAGAGCTCCACGTCATTGCTAGAGAATCCGAGATAGTTTATAAGCATATCCTGCACCTTGAAGATCCCATCGTCGGTACCTGTCCCATAGCGCACGATTAATGCCTGCATGAACTGTCAGTTGGTGCGTTGGGGGGTGTAGGAGAGAATACTCATCTTCTTCACGCCGAGGTCTCTGAAATCTGTCTGTGTCAACCTGTACGGGGCACTGGGGTCGACATAGCCATCCGATTTGGTCATCCCTAGTGACATGCTTCCATCGGATTTGAGGATTGTGAAATTAAATGTATAGTAGCCATCACCAAACTCTGCCTTTACATTACCTTTGTCATCCACCCCCACAGCCCTCATGACAGTATTGAGGACATCATTCCCCTTGGGAGTGCCATTATGGTCCACAGTCCATTGGCGGCTGAGAATCACAGGCTGGTCATTGGCAACCTCTCCAGGGATTATCAGTGTTGCCATCTCGTTTACGCTGTATGTAAGCCAATCGAGTTTCCCAGTGAAGACTGAGGTAGATGGGATTCTCATGGTATCACTGTACTGTAGTGATAACTCGACTGGGGCATGTTTGCCATCTGGATCCGTCATAGTGAGTGATAGAGATTTGAAATCGGCCGTAACGTATCCCTGGAAAGAGTAATAACTGGATTCGAATCGCACGCCATACTCTTTGGTTGTGCTGGTCACGCCGATGATGGAACCGTTCTGTATGCAGTTTTCCTTCGAAACTCCGGTGAAGCTAGTCGACCATTGCCAATATGCGCAAGCAGGGTCCTTGAGAGCGAAGCCAGCAGGGAAGACAATTGTTATGCATTCGTCTGTTGCGTATTCGTACCAGTCGAGTTTTCCAACGTAGATATGCATGACTCTTGTGTAATTTAGGGTATAGATAGAATATGACACTTCGGGTTATTGAAGAAGGTGGGAGACTCGTCTCAAGTTTAATTTCTCGGTTCCTTGGGTCTTATCTGTGTCTGAAGGAAGCCCATAGGTGACTTTATACAAGACTACACGCTATTCAACTACTAACCAACCAACCTTCAGGTTCCCATCACTGGTCTCAGGTCCATACCATATGCACCCATATATCAAATATTATCGTGTCGTTTATCGCCTTCTGCTGTGTAGCGAAAGCCAGCGTTCTATCAAGCCGAAAACTGTAGTGGCATGTAGGCACTGTTTTCGTACTCTTTCGTAAGTGGCTTTATGCTGACCTTACGACCTATTGCCACCTGCAAGTGTAGATAATTCATCGCGAAAAAGACAAGCAATATGACACCAGCCAAGCAAGGCCTTGGGGGAGGGGTCATTCGCATCCTCATCCGACTATGCTTCCCGTATCCGCTGGAAACTCTGAGGTGCCTAGAAGGTACTTACTTGATATATGTCAGTAACCGTAAACTTGAACAAGAAAAAAAATTCTAACTGCCATCCAGCGAAGATAGAAAAAGTCAAAATAATGTGGCGGTACTGGGAATCGAACCCAGATCTACACGGAACACTTGTAGAAACATCCACAACGTGTTGTACTGGCCATTATACTATACCACCTTTCATTGGCTAGTTGCCGATGAAGTTTTTTCATGTTATTATTTATTATATACTTGACGCTTGTGCTACCACTTGCGTAAGAAAAACAGAGAGGTAGAAGCTAAGGGGGAAATAGTGAGAAAAAAATAACTGCACTGCTGCATGAGAAATGCACCTAAATTGGTGTGGGGGACCTGGTAAGGCTGAGAATGCAGTCACACTGTATGACGGATGGGGTGCCTGATTAGTGCCTCATTAGACTTATTAACCACGAAATATGAATACGCCTACCTAAGTTATCCATCTAAGGACTATATGCTCTTAGACCCCAAGTTTATTATCTGATACACACGCGCGTCGCGGTACGCCAAGTCAATTGGCGATACCTTTACTATTGTACATGTAGGTGATAGGAAATATCGAGTTAATTCTTCAGCCTCTTGACTCCTCATATATAAGCGGTTATAAAACTGAAGCCGTCACCTATGTATTCAGCTCCAGATAAAACTCCTATGTCTAAACGTTCAAAGAGCACGGCGACTTAAATATTTTGACGTCATGGCGACGTCTCATACCGATGTCCGTACTGCCAGGTTTAAGGTAGATATGCTTGACGCCCTCGAAGCTCTTCCGTTGAGCAATGGCGACTCATCTGATAACCCTAATGAGCTTGGAAACGCGATTCGGAAGTGGACGTCCAATCGACCAACCACTCCCTTACTCTACGCACTCCAAGACTCATCGGACATGGATCCCTCCATGGATCCCTCCATTGATAGCCTGACACCCCCCGACTCGACCCGTTTTTGCTGTTTGCAAAGCCTCGAATCTCAATGTCACTTCCATGTCTTCATCACTCAAATAGAGAAGAGAGAGATAGGCACCGAAGCTGATATCATGGGTTGCGGGCTTGAGGAAAGTGAAGAGGACGCTCTACAACATGGAACCCAAGATATCGAGGTTATAGAATGGTCGGTACGATTGGACTTTGATATATGGGGCAATCGGAAATCGCATAGCTTAGACATAAAATCCGATTTAATTCTCCAAGGTGACGTTTTTATTGACTGTGAGCCTGACGAGGACGGATATCTCCCTGAAGGCTATGATGAACCCGTCCACCCCGGTGTTAGTCCTGGCCCTTCCTGGTTCTATGTTTTCATATAGCTAACCATAACAGATGCGTGGATTCTGTCGATATTACCGGTCATTAGTCAGTCCCGCCCATTAATGGCGTGATACGAGAGACTTCAACTAATATATTTGCAAGGCTCTACTTATAGTCCCTCAAGCCACGATGTTAACGTATGTTCTGAGCAACTTCTTAGAGGTTGGCGATATCAGCGCCATAGCTGATATCTTGGAATATATTTCGTTAAGATGCAACGGCATTCTAGCAAGGGACAGCATGTATTTTGGGACATTAGCTGATCTATGCGGGCATTTCTTCTCCCAGCGGAAAGCGAGGACGTACGTTAAGATGGAACTCCCCGAATCTACTATCACCGAAGTCCTCCGGGCAGCACTTCTCTTCGAAGATCACTGCCTTTTTGAGTTGGTTTGTAATAATATCGAAGTCAATCTTTCATCGTATTTTTTCTTGTGGATCGCAGAGAAGCTTCAAGGGTCGAAGCTACCACTCACTACACTGAGGCCAGCGTTGGTTATTTTCTCCCTATCATCTCGGTCATTACTAACAGTTACAGTTTCGATCGTTCCGTTTTAGGACGCCGAACCCTTGGTGATCAGTATAGGTATATTTTGAGCTTAAACCTTACCTGCGATGAGACACCAAAAGAGCTACGAGAACTTGCTCTAAATGCATTAGATAAGATGGTCCAATTTTGCTATACTTCTACGCTCTATGAACAGGACGGCGAGACCCTTGTTCTTATTGCCAGTAACCACCGGGGTTATGACTGGCTGTTGACTAAGTAGGCTTCGTTCCGCAAATAGTCGCTCGTATATATCTAATATGGAGTAGACTAGGCCCTTTGGTTTCTAACAGGCACGATAGCATCGCCTTTGTGCTGGGTTTTAGTTGGCAACTATACGTTAATGCTCGCCAGGGTCGGTTGGAAGTCTCCGACTCTTTTGAGTTTCTGAAAGATACTATCAAATCTCTAATCGCGCGACTTGACGTCGTTCGTCTTATTAGCGAACAGGGATTCCAACTTTGGCAAAGTCAAAGAGCACTTCGGAGAGGAGGTCACACGCGGCTCAATCAAGACGCAATCCCACTACCTCCTCCACCGGTCACTAGTAACACATTACTCAATCTTTGCAGGCTTCTATTTGACCTTGACATGGAAAGCGACTTGCGCGACCTGGCAAGAAGATTAGTGGAGCAAAGCGAAAGAATTGACTTACTCGAACTCGTTGAACTTTACGTCCCTTTCGTCGGCGGTTTCATGGATCTTCTAGGGAGCCGATCCATCTCGGTTGAAGATCCTGCATACTTGACGCTTATACGAACTATTATCCAGTCGTTCTGGACCCGATATATTGTTATGGAAGAGCAAATCCCTACTCAAGCTGAACAAAGACAAACCTCTAACCAGAGGCTAGCCAAGTTCGACCGGGTTAAACGAGTGGAAAAAACCAGGCAGCAACTCGCAACCCTCAACCAGAGGAGTCTATCAATAGTGTTAGGGAGGGATTATTATAACATGACCGGAAACGAAGCACCTTACTCCGAGTACCCGCAACCGGACTTGGTAATGATTGAGCCGTATGCTGTCCCACAACCCTATACTGCGGACTCCTCTCACCAACCACGAGGTTACCAGATAGGCCATCCAGCCAGGGTGGACTGTAGCCAAACGGGTGGGCCACCGATGTTTGCTGGACTAAAGCGCAAACAACCCAGGGATGACGGATTTGCTGACGAGCGACTGGCGAAGAGATGAAATTGGTAGCTTGCATTTATTATAATGGAATTACTTAACTTTGGAGTTGAAAGGTATTGGGTTTTGAATATGTACCTGATATCACTAAATTAGGTTATGTTAGGTACCTACCTGGTATTTAGATATCCCGTGTGACGAGAGTTATGGAAAAGGGGGCTTGTGAGCCGGGACTGTTACACGGTTCTCATCGTACCTACTATGTAGGTAGGTAGGTACCTAGCCTAGATAATTAATGGGTGCCCCCACTTTAAGCACGGTCTGTTACTTCGTATCTAATAAAAAAACCACGACAAAGTCGCGTTTTAGAATTGTAAAACTACATAAATGTATTAACGCGTCTCAATTACGAAGCTTTGGGGTTGTCGACATTGACGTCTTGTACTATACAAAGTCTAGTGGTACCTAATATCGAGGTTCTAAGGGTCGGGTAGTAAATTCTTTAACCTTCCTTTTTTCTAGTCTTTACTCTCGGACACCTGGCTTATACGAAATGGAGGAACTGGATGGCCAAGATCAAGACAGTCTTGCCGGCAAGAAATTCAATAAGAGGGACTTGTTGGCGGCGTTAGAATCAATTCGTCACAAAGGCGCTCCGCTATCACTTAGCCCTATCCCGCGTATTGACCCAGAGATCTTCGTGCAAGATATTGGCATCATCAAGGTTCCTCTCTCAGAAATCCAGGCGAGGCAACTCGTTGCAATGTCACACCAAGCACACTATGGAAAAGGTAGCGAGTCAATTATTGATACGCCGGTGCGGAACACCTGGGAGCTCAATCCAGATCAGTTTGAGATAAGGGCGCCCACATGGCAGAACTGCTTGGACAAGATCCTGGCTGAAGTCGCAAAAAGATTGGATATTGCTTCCCCTATTTCGGCGGAGCTGTATAAAATGCTTTTATACGAAAAAGGCGCTATGTCCAAATCCCATATAGAGTGAGCCTTGTCCCCTTATAAGCGCCCTGGCATAATAACTCACTAGTCTTCAGCACCGAGAAGATTCCCGGGATGTTTGGGACACTTGTCATCAGTCTCCCTTCGCCTCACCGGGGTGGGGGTATGGTTTTAGAACATCAGCGCGTTTGGCAGACTTTCGGGACTTCGCAGCACGATATGAGTTGGATATCTTGGTATGTCACATATTCTTGGATTACTGGAACATAATATAGTCCTAATGCTATTCTCACTAAGGTTTTCCGACGTCTCTCACGACGTTTTGCCCGTCACATGGGGGTATTGTTGGATTTTGACTTATAATCTTATGGTAGATCCAGCGTCTACGGTGCCAGCAGCAATTAGTTCCGCTAGCAACGAGGCGCTTCGCACGGCTTTGCGATTGTGGTTACGAGCAATCGATAATGGTTCGGAGAACCTTTTGCCACTTTGCTATGTGCTTGATCACAAGTATACAGATTTATCGTTCCGAAGACTCAAAGGTGTAGACTTCAATAGGGTCAAATGCCTTCGGATGATGTGCGAAGAATTAGATTTTGATTTCTTTTTGGCTGACATAGAGAAGGAAGAGAGCGGTACTATAGAGAATGACGGCTACGATTACTACCGTGAAGAGGAGGAAGACGAAGATGATGATGTTGATTATCACCCACTTGGTGAGGTCCGCGATGTGTCTTACCAGCTGACATACGTATTCAATTCAGATGGATACCACCTGGCCTCGAATATGTTACTTGATGAATACCGCGTTTTACAACTGGAGCACCCTTTTTCAGATGAGCCCGACGCCGAAGACTACGAAAGATCTAGAGGAAATCCTGTACGTTTCGTCAAATCCTAGTAATTGATTATGGGACTAATTAAGTGGTAGAGATCAGAAGCGACACATTGGTATAGAGGATCAGTAGGTCGACATTGCACTAGTGCCATATTCTGAAGACTATCTGAGCTCAGCTACTAATCACATTCCTAGGCGTTGGTCATTGTTCCCTATGAAGGGACAGTCTCATTTCTTACCTCGAATTACCCAGGGGGCTTTAACGAGCACAGTGCAGGGCATGACTATTTTATAGATCTATTTAATTTCTTTATTAGCCAATGCGAAAAATCCCCGAGGAAGGCTCTAAGGTTGGACCAACTATACGAGTTTTTAATTGCCAACTTTGAGTCACGTTATCCTATGCCGCTTACCGAAGATCAGCTTCTCGATGTCCTTCTACTATCTATTCATAGCAGTGAATCTCGCTTGCTTGATTTATTTCTGGCGAAGAACACCCAGCCTCCTCCAATTAAATTCTTCACCTGGATTAGGAAAGCATTTGACAGTTCAGCTATATCTATTAGTAATTTCGAGAAGCTGTGAGTTCTTCCACAAAGTTATTCGTCGATTTGTAGACTGATTAGTTCTAGGTTTCGACACGCCTTCAGCCTTCAGCCTACGATCCATAGACGATGGGAAGCTTTATGCGAAGTCAATGAAGACCTAGAAGAGGGCGAGGGGAAGTTACGAAATATTGTGTCCCAAGCTGTTGACGAGTGCTTGGAGACTTGCCGACAGAAACGATTCCAAGAAGAAGACGGCAAGACCCTTTTCCGTATCTTGTATTATCACCAGCACTCTGACTTGGAGACAGCGTAAGTGCCATTGATAACGCCTCCCTCAAGTTTAATGCTTATCTAGTAATTAGCGTTATACGTGTGGTGGAAGATCTTGGTTGGTCGACAGCCTTCGTTCTCGGCTTTCTTCACTCGTTCCGCTTGCAAATCCTTAAAAACGACACGCAAGCTGTCTACGAGCGTGTGGCGCTGGCAGCGTTGAAGAAACTTGATTTAGCTTCGCTCACCGCTGCGGAAATTCCCCAAGCCGAAACGGGAGCAATTAATGTACATTACAAGGATGCCCGAGGACCTGAATACGTGACCTATAGGTCAATGCTAAAGTTCATTTCCACCCTCATCGAACTCAAGCTTCAAAGCCATTTAGACATGCTTGCCAAGCAGGTAGTCTCCCAAGCGAATAAAGTTAAGACACGAGAATTCGACACGCTTTGGATACCACTTCTCCATGGGCTATTCTTAGTCTTCGAGAAAAGCAAAGTTCCTCTTCCAGCACCTTATTGGACGCAAATCTACCAAAATATCTTCAAAGCCTACCTGTTGAATTACGTTAGGGAACAGCCAGTGGAGCCTACTCTTTCTCGTCGGGCTTTGAACCCCTGTTGTAGAGGTTGCGAACCGGTCAATGAATTCCTCGTTGACCCGACCAAGCGCTCCAGCCGTTTCAAAGCATCTCGGCACTGGCGAGAACATGTCCTTTACCGACTCTCTGAGGCCCACGTTGATCACGAAGCAAGTACAGAATACGTAAACAACACACCTATACTAATTATATCGAAGACAACGTCACAATACAATGCGGAAGCAAACAGCTGGTGGACACGGCGGCTGCATGTCGAATCCCAGTTTGAGACCTTCAATCCGGATATGCTACGGGCCGTACTGCAAGATCAATACGACGATATCATAAACATGAAGCTAATCGAGCGCCAACAACCTGTTACATCTAATGCATATGCAACATCGGTTCCATCTCAAAGTCAGCAACCTCTCGCAACAGGTAGCTATGAGGACCAACTCGCTATGATCAATGCCGAAATCGCCCGCAGGGCAGGCTCATCCTCGATCACTCCGAACCCTTCTACTGTACCGAAGCCTCCAGTCACATATTCCACCGCCGTTGGCGGAGGGCCAGCTAGGCCCGCGCCGCGGTCGACACCGAAACGATCCATGCTCGACGTTAGCCGGAGCATTAGTGAAAGTGCACGCAAGCGAGCATTACAGAATAGATCATCACCATCGACGCGGCGCGACCATGGCGCTTCGAGTCCAGTGGGCGGCGGTGGCGGTGGTGTCACGCCGTCGAGACCTACACAGACGATTCCCAATCCCATCGCTGGAGCAAAGCGCAAGTATATTGATGTTATTGATCTCACGGCCGATGATTAAATAAGGCGTTAGTAGGATAAGGTATGGATAATGTGCATCAGGGGGGTCCTAGGAGTTTGACTAGAATTGTAGTTTGGCTAGCAATAGTGTGTATTATAATTGTGACAAAATAGGGAACTCTGGAGAGTCCCTTCATAGAATAGTGTCTATAGGATAGTCTGTTTATTCATCTAATGAGTGTCCTCTAACGGATAATGAGCTATCTTATGCGCCCAATGTATCCCAATGCTATGGATGTCTACCTAATTCATGTCATGAGCTCATTGCTAGTCTATCACACAGTCTTGCCGCTACTCTTTCCCCAGGCCTCATAGCCCTATCTTTAATAAAACCAGTCTAGTCTAGTCATCAATCAATTCGCAAGCTTAGTCCCCAGCATCTTCTTGTTCGCCTCGTCGGCCCTCTCGCAGCACTCTTCAATGACCTTCCAGAAATGCGGGATGTCTAAGCCGCGCGGAATCCGGACGCCCTCGCTACCAGGGGGTAGTAACGTGACAAGGGTCCGACCAGTCTGCGCGCCATGCTCTCTGGCATCCTTAAGCGTACCCTCGGTCACGACCTCGACCGCGAAGCGCTCCCGTCGGTTTGGCCCCTCAGGGCTCTTGGGATCATAGTCGTAGAACGGGATCTCGTACTCGGTGCCTTCCAGCACGGCCGCTACCGCCAGCGGGTCGTGTAATGGCGGGCCTTCTATGATGCCGAATACATCGCTGGAAAGCAGGCGTGCTATGGTTAGTACATCATACCATACCAAGGATAAATAACAAAGACGACGTAAAAGAGACCGCTTACCGGTAAGTATTAGCAAAGAAATTCAACAACTCCGTCAACATAACCCTCAAATCCGACTTTCCCCTCCCCTCCCGTACACCACCACCACCACCACCACCTTCCTCCCCATCCTTAGCAGGCGGTCCATACAGCAACATCTCCTGCACCTCCTTCGTCGCCAGCACAAGGTGCGTCAGATCCAGCGGGACGAGCGTGATCTTGGCCGCCAGCACGGGGTCCTCGAACAGCGCGGCCGCGGCCTCGGGGTCGATCAGCACGTTGAACTCGGCCCACTGCGTGTAATTGCCCACGCGCGGCACCCCGTCCACAACGCCCATCACCGCCGGCGTAAACCCGCCCCCCACGCTGCCCCCCATGATCGTCACCCCCCTCACGCGCGCCGCCAGGTCCGGGTGCGCGGCGAACAGCGCGGCGACGTTGGTCAGCGCGCCTGTCGCCGCGATCCACGCCGTCCCGGGGGCGCATTCCCGCAGCGCCTGGGCCATGGCGTCGACGGCGGAGAGCAGCGGTGCCTCGCCACGCTGGATCGGAGGAGAAGGAGGGGGCTGCGGCAGGAGGTCCGTGCCGTCGAGCCCGGTCTCGCCGTGGATATCGACGGCGTGGACGGGGGGCCGCTCAAGAGCCCGCGCGGCGCCGGGGTACACCCGGATGTCGTCGTGCTTACCGATGGCGGCGAGGACGGAGCGCGCGTTGCGGGTCGTTCTCTCTAGAGACGCGTTGCCGTGGACGGTGCTGAGGCCTAGGAGCCGGATGCCGGGGTGGTAGGCGGCTAGGAGGATGGCGAAGACGTCCTGAGGCGGGGTGGTGATGGTTAGAATTATGTATGTACTGACTGACTGATCTGTGTGTATTAGGTATAGATAGATACCTATATATGTATTCTAACTAGGTACACATAATAATAAAAATTGCTATAGCCGCATAAGATAGTAAAAGTAAAGTACGATCAACCGAAGCACCGGGACTACAGCGTCGGGCGTAAATATATATCGCGCGGACCCGACGCCCGCCAGACGCAGGACTACTCCAAGGCCGAACCGGCGGTGGATGCAGCGGGGTAGCGGCCCCGGGGGGGATACATAAGAAGTCTCGTGCGGCGATTGATTGGATAAAAGACGAAAAGGGGTGGTGGATGAAATGAAATAGACTCACATCGTGGCCCGGATCGCAATCCAGCCAAAGCGGGACAGGTTCCGGCATAGTTACCTATTTAATGTGAAAGATGTGATACAGGACCAGGTGCCTAGGTTAGACGATACCATTTAAGCACGTAGCTAACTTATAGGTAGGTAGGTATTTTGGTCGGTTGACAAGATGTGGTTTTATGTTAGTGCTAACAGGTAGGTAAAGATGAATTGTCGGTCACGGAAAAGTGGAAAGGGGAAAAAGGGAAACAAGTCGGACGGAAATACGCATTTTTTGTTTGGTCTGTGGGACTCGAGTTGGATAGGTAAGGTAATAGATAGGCGGCCGTGGAAATTGCTATTCGCACCCATAACCGTAAGTCAATAAGAATGACTATATATAACTTATAATTATAATAGTTCGAATGCTTAACATAGGTTAATTCTTTTGGTAGTTATTGATTATCACTAACTGGGTACTGGTACTATGGCATTATCCTTCACTAACCCACCCTTCATTCACCCGCTCGCCGTTTCTCCATGACTCGTAAGACGTCCGCTGCATTATTGACATCTCCCTTTCGCTTCTTAGGTCCTCTCTTACGTTTAGAACCACCGCCTCCACCATGGCCCTCATCGTCGCCTTCGCGTCCCCATTCTGAGAATTTGACCTTCTGCTCTTCAAAGTCCTCTTCATCTTCAAACCTGCTCGTACCAAAGCCCAGGTCCATATCTTCCGCATCGCGATCGTTATTCTGAAGCATCTTCTTTAGACGTTCCGCCTTAGCACGTGCTTCCTTGTCGTCCTCTTCTGTTGGCCTGGATATAGGATTTAGAGACGCTGCCTTCTTGAGAGCTGCTTGTATTGCCGGATCGGACATAGACGGCGCCTTAAGCGACTCAGATGACACCAATTTAGTCTTAGAATCCTTAAAGTAGTTCCGTGACTCTGTCGTAGTGGCTGGCCGTGGTGGAGGAGGCATGGCAACCTTATCTTCCTTGGTAGTGTCAGATGGTTGTGGCTCCTTCGCGGCAGACTCCTCATCTTCAGAATCTTCATCTCCTAGCCCAGCAAGAGGATCGTAGTCGTCACCAACATCATCAAATATGTTGATGTCTTCGTCATCTGGTTCTTCAGCCTGCTTCCTGTACTGCTCCGGAACTTCCATGCCGAGAGGTTTAGCATTCTTATCAGGCATCATCATATCCGTATCTTTCGATGACGCTTCAACTGTTGGCTGAATCTTGCGAACCTTTCGCTTCTCATGGCCATCTTCGTCCACCACTATCAATACTTCTCTGCCTTTGCTGTCTCGTTCTATTCTCGTTCCGGGAGTCTTCGCACCAATCTTTTTGAACTTTGACCCCAGACCCGTATCCTCCTTAGCCTTTGCTGCTTCCCTTGCTGCCTTCATCTCGGCTAGGATCTGGTCTCTCGTTCGTTTCTTCGACGGATTTAGTGGCGCCGTTGATAGTTGTCCTTTCTTTGCTGCTTTCTCTCTCGCGACCGCTGCGACTTCTCTTTCTTCTAGTTGGTCTAACTCTTCATCGATGTCGTCTTCTGGCTCGGAAGCCTCTTCCTTCTCGCCGCTATCGCCATAAACGTTTTCGCCCTTTCGTACTCGTTCGAGGAGCTTGAAGTCGAGGCCTTTTACTAAGTGGGTGCTGGATAAATCTCCGCCGGCAATTTGACTCCTGAGTCTGTCGAAGGTCTCTTGGTCGATCTCTTCCTTCTTGAGGGACTCTTCCAGTGCCTTTATTCGCGCTGCTCGTTCGTCCTCCTCTTCCGAAGTTCTATTCTGAGCGCGGTCTACATACCCCTCTGCTAATTTGCTACCTTTGGGATTATATGACTTAAATTTCTTTGGCTGTTTGTCGCCGCCATGGTTACGTTCTGCTAATTGTCGCGCGAAATCGGATTTATTATGAAGGCCAACTGAGCGACTGGATTAGTTAATAACGTATGTTATGAAGGTAGAGAGACAGTAGACTCACGGCGTCATAGGAATGCTTGACCTCTGTCTAGATCCAAGCGATGCTCCTCGAGGAGTGGCTGCGCCTGGTGATGCGCCATTGCTATTCGATGAGGGCTTAGGCGTGCTTGTAGAAACAAGGCGACGGAACTGTTCGTTGTTCATCGTCGCGACGATGTAATATGATAGCTTCGCTCTTCAATCCTGCCTTCAAGTTACAAAAGTCGGGAAATGTCGACAAGGACCAGGTACGTAATAAGAATTAGCATATGAAGTTATGTATGTATGTATCTAATGTATGTAGGTATGTATATAAAGAAGACGAATAATGCAATGACCGAGTACCTAGGTACCAAACCATACATATTTATTATCTTATCGATAGCGCAAACAATCTTAGATTTCTCAACATAGAGCTGCATTGAATTATCAAGTCCAGCTCTAATACAATTTTTCTTACGAGAATATCTTCTACAATATTAGAGATCCAATCCAGTTTCTTACTTGCAACATCACGACCTCATTAAAAACAGTCAACGGCTCGTCTAACTTTACAATGGCTGCTATTGGCTCTCTAGTTTTCTGTACTGACTGCGGGAATCTACTCCCCGTGTCTAAAGGCAACGTCAAAAATATCTTGCATTGCGACTGCTGCGGCGCTGAAAACAGAGGTTCGTCATAGCTGCGAGATAGCCAGCATCCCTACTTGTTTTTTCTACTTGTTTTTATTTTATTTTCATGCCAGTTAATCGATGTAATTTTCTAATGTGATGATGGCCAACAGACACGGCATCCAAGACAACCGTTACCCAAAGCAAACCCTCGGATTTCCCTTCTGTGCTTCGGCAAAAGCTCTCCATCGTACAATCGGTCGAGCGACACAAAATTCAAACGGAAGCCGTCGTCAACGAAACGTGTGAAAAATGCGGACGTACCGAAGTAAAATATTCAGCAGTACAGCTACGTAGTGCTGACGAAGGTAGCACTATCTTCTACACCTGCGACTGCGGTCATAAGTATGTTGTTCCCCTACATGGTAATAAATTGAATACCGCTAATCGGCTTCCCGGAATAGGTGGAACACCAACAATTGAGGTTCTCTTAGTAGAGACTCCCTAGTAGATTTCTCAAGTATAGGTGCCGAACTCGAGAACAAATCTTATAAAATCAAACCATGCGTATCCTTTTTGGTATCCTGCAGCCAACCCAGACGTAACGCCAGTTTCCAAACCACCATCTATGCTACTACCTTTGGAGCCTCCGGAATGAGCGCGTACTCGGCTTGATTTGATTGCTCGTGGTCAGCCATGTCCAAAGCAACGATGATGCTCTCGCGCACGACTTTCTCCTCGTCGTGAAGGAATCGCTTCAAGGTTTCTTCGACGCCTTCTTCCTCGCCAAGGCTTCCAAGCGCCTCCGCCGCCTCGTGCCTTACCATGCTAGCTTCCTCGAGGTTGCTCAATGCTGCGGTAAGGGCTGGGATCGAAGCCGGGTGGGAGAGCTGGCCAAAGACGAACGCAATCTCGTGGCGAAATAGGGCCGACGGGTCTGCGAATCCCTTGGCCAAGGCATGGACTGCGGGAACAGCTGTTGGAAGGTCCGGCGGCGACGCAAGATCGCGGAGTGCAAACATGGCACGGTATCTAAGGAAGAGGGGTTGGCTCGTGTCCATCAAGCTCTTCTCTAGTTCTTGGACAGTCTGGGTACAGTCGGGCATCGGAGGAGCTGGATCAACAGAAGCGAAGTCGCTGTTTTCCGGTAGTTAGGACGTAAATTCCCCATACAGATAATCAATTATCCTCGGAATGGATATGCATACCTCTGGTGAAGCTTCTCCGCCTTTCGTTGTTCCGAGTTCTCCCATTCGATTCGGTCGATAGCAATCTCGCAAGTCTCTTTAACGGCAACGTCTTCTCCCTCGCGATCGCGATATTTGCGCAGAATCTCCAAGTTCCCAGCATCGCCGAGAGCGCCCAGGGCCTCGGCAGCTTCGTGGCGGCACATGGGGTCCTCTTGCAGATCTGCTAGAACTTTCTGAAGGTGGGGGACAGCTGCTAGGTTGGCGGACTGTCCTAAACAGTATGCCAGCTCGTGTTTGAGTAGCGCCGATGGGGATACGAAGGCGGCCGCAATGGCGTCGATAGCTCCGAGGGCTCGGTCATCAGTCTCGTGTCGTGCGAGGTGCTTAAGTGAGAAGAGAGCGCGGAATCGGACGGGTAGTGGGGTAGCTTCGGAGCAAAGAGATTCGCGAAGGCTCGCGATGGTTGCTAGTGTATCTGTATCAGACGCCATGGTGAATTAAATCTAACGAACTTCCGAAGTGTAAGGTCCCGTAGAGTTCAACCCAACATATAAGGAAGATGTAACGAAGGGAATGTTGGATTGAGAGACCGAAAATTGCGGAGGGAAATTTCGGGCAGTGACTTCGCACCAAAAGTTTTGTTATCAAGTAACCTAGTGTTGTACCACGCACGATAATGCAGGCAACCCCTCTATCAAGATCTCTAGAAAAATTCTCCGCACTTGCACATGTCAAGATCCCAGCACTGTTTTTAGGTACCTAAGGTTATACATACGTCTCTTGACTTTCTGATACTGTATAAGCCACGCACTAAGCTGAAGGACAGAGAGTAGCTCGTTCACTAAATCTAAGTAGTTTACCACTATATTTATAGCGATATTAGCCACTATAGCTTAAATAAGACCGTGTCCCTTTATTCTATTCGCACGTGGCTTTGCCAAGATTACCTAGATGTGCAAGATTTGATTTTCGGCCCGGGCCTTTGTAGTGTACCTAGGTATACTACCTAATTGAAGCGCTCTTTTCCACGCATTAGTACCTTGGTATATAAGGCCTAGCTGACAACCGTTTAGCATCCAGGTTTCCTGGTGTAATGGCTAGCACTGCGGATTCTGATTCCGCCAATCTGGGTTCGATTCCCAGGGAGACCTTTCTTTTTCCTGATCGTTATGGTGGACCATACCTTTAGGTACCTTTCTTTTTTTATAACTGCGGTTTACGTTTCCCCTCCTTAAAATAGATATAGGAAGGTATAATTCAATAGCTCGTGATTACTTTACACTTACCACTTGCCTCGATAAGTCTTGTATGTAATACTAAGGTTCGTACCTGCTGTTGTAGTAAAAGTCAAGTCAGGAGCTGCGCTAAAATTAAATATCAGGCGAGCTCCGCAGCTTGTCATACGGAAGTCTTCTCATATGAGACACCTGTGTACCTCCTAACATACTATGTATAGGTGCTACAACGTGACTCCCTTGCCATAATTAAACAAATTTTACCTACGTTCGCCTCAGCTTCGAAAGACTACCCGATTCTTACAATTCTTACGTCTCCATGGTCTTAGTTTCCTCCCGGTTTTTGACAACTACGTTCAGGATGGCTTTACATTCAGCAAGTGTGGACAGTAAACTAATATGTGTGTAGCACCGCTTCACCCGAAATAATGCTTGGATAAGTTTGCGCGCTTACATTGTTATTAGTTGCTCCGGCGGGTAAAGAGGCTCATGGGCAAGCGGAACAATTTACAAGGGGTGTATTAACTCGCTCAGACCTTGATGCAACATCACCTATTCGTCAATTTCATAAGTGGTTCGCCGCAGCCCAACGATCCGGTCGCGTTGCTCATCCAGAGACTTGCTGTCTATCTACTGCATCGTTACCATCTGGTCGTGTATCTTCCCGTGTGGTTTATCTAAAGGAACTGGATGCCGAGGGATTTGTTATCTATAGTAACTTCGGTACGAGCAAAAAGGCTCAGGATCTCGCTACAAACCCATGGGCGAGCCTCACCTTCTGGTGGGAAGACCTCGAGCGACAAGTGAGAGTGGAGGGGAAGGCAAGCAGGCTCACCCGCGAAGAGAGCCAGAAATATTTCGATACGAGGGTTCGCGGCAGCCGTATCGGCGCTTGGTCAAGTCGCCAGAGTCAGGTCCTAAAACCGACTGGGGGTAAGGAGGGCGAGGAAGAAGATGATGGACGAAAGATACTCGACGAGTGGGTCAAGGAGACCGAGAAGCGGTTTGAAGGAGAGGAAAGCATCCCGGTTCCGGACTTCTGGGGTGGCTTGAGAATAATCCCCGAATACGTGGAGTTTTGGCAAGGTCGACAGAATCGCCTGCATGACCGTTTTGCTTACGATAAGAAGGTATCTACGGAAGAAGGTGTTGAGGAATGGTCTCTTGAGAGACTTAGCCCATGAAGATCATAGGATCATATTCAAACATAAGTACCTAACAATCTAAATCATCGTTGTTATTGCCACTTTCTAATTCCCTCACGTATAAGACATCTTCCTTTTACTCCAACTCCATTGTTAGCCAGCCTCCCAGCTTATCGCTAACCAAAAGTGCAGCGGCATCCCTATTGAAGTATACTACGCATACGACTACTACATGTGCCAACCTCTTAAAGTAGTTGAAGACGAGGAGTAATAATAAGCAGCTTAGCTCTACGAAAAAAAAACCCCCCCATTCTGCTTAAAAGGTTCACCGACTGTTCTTATTACGCCTTAAACATAATAAGCCAATCGGATAATATCACCATGACAGCGCAACTCCCACTTACAATGTGGCTCCCGGTGTCAATTTATTCTGGACCTATACATTGACTAGCCGCCATGGTAAGTTCTCTTTGTTGTAGTGACGCTTATGAATCCTAGCCAACGCTACGTCTCTCCCGTGTCTATGACTTACAGGACGACTACTTATCACCGATCTCACGAATTTCTCAGGATGGTCAGCAGGTCCTAGGCGGTTCTAGATACATACCAGGTAGGGCCGTATTCCTTACTGATTCGAGGTTTATACCGGAGATGTCAAGATATTCGTGGCGGGCTGTCATGTCGGCATTAACTTCAATCATAGATGGTTATCGACTGTGTAGCGATCGCTGTCGTAATGCTAGATCGATGATCTTGCGCGGAGATGATCAATATACGAAGAGTATAATGGCTTTACGCCAAAATGCAGCCACAAGTCTTTTACTTATACCCAGCCGTCTTAGTTTCCCAAGGGAGGAAGATACTTTAGGTAAATATGTACCTAAGGCACCTACATGTTACTAGACTCTTTGGTAGAGACTTATCGATTTCGCCGAGTAGTATTTCTTCACTCACTGACGAGTGGCTTCAGGATGAGAACATCATATTTTGGCGATCCCACATATGCAGAGGATTAAATCGTTGCAGATATTTCGCCTGCTTGCATATACTTCACATGGATGCGATTTCGGGTCATCTGCCCTGAAACTCTATAATATACAATATATTAAGCAGCGCCAAAATACCAGAGTGGCGTACTAGTAAGATTTTACCGAATTTTAAATGGGACGTTTTAACGCCTCTGTCGTCTTCGATATGACTCTGACGAACCCAGGCATAGATCAAACCTCCGCTTCAACGCCCCTACAGAATTCAGACGCATTTCAGCAGAAGCATACACAGAGGCGTCTTTCCCAGGTGTGGCCCGGACCAATTAAGCAGTTACCTGTTGATAGCGCAGCATAATGCAGGATATAACGGGCTGGAAGTACGGACGGGACAGGCGTATTTCCTCCGGATCACTCAGGCTGTGCCTCTAGAGACCATCTCATAGCGACGTCTAACCCAGTTGTAGTTGCTAGGAATCTAGCAGCAATGGAAAATGTGCTAGTGGGAGTCAAGAACTTGAGGGTATGCTATATGTCTTCAGAGGAGCACTGTATCAACCCGTAGTCAATCGACAGGCTAGTATCGATTTAAGAAAATAACATAGCTTCACGTCTTAATTAGTTAACTAGGTAGTTAACTTAAGTAACTCTATAGTCCTTATTTCCACTTTTAATAAATTATACTCTATGCACATCGACATACTGAACAACTTCTAGATGACTACCTACCAAATCGATTGTTGTAGGTCAGACGCAGGCTGACGAAGGCTTTATCGGTAATACCGAGCACGGGATAAGAGTTGCGTTGACAGGCGCCCATATCCATGCGGCTGGTTCTCCTAAGGTTGTGGTTCGTCGCACCTAGTGAGCTATAGTTCTTTAACTTAGCTCCTTGAATAGGTATATATATTGTCTTTCTAGTTCAATTCCGTCTTCTGGTGTATCTCTCATAGGCACAACTCACCGAATAAATAATTTATCATAATTCTAGTCAGACAGGTATCTATCCACTTCTTACATGGCTATTCCATTTCAACTCCTTGTTTTGATTCCAAGTTGACCAAAATAGGCAGGGAATCTTGTATAAAGCTCACTCCTCCGGAGCCTTGGTTATTTTTTCTGATAGCAATGCCCAATCAGTCCCCCCATCTATAAGACTTGAGTACGCCTTTGGATAGCCGATATGTCATCACAAAGCCAAGCAGACCTTAGCAGGATTCGGGATAATCAAAGGAGGTCCCGTGCTCGGCGTAAGGAGTACGTGAAAAGCCTTGAGGAGCGTCTAGGGCTCTATAAGCGTCAAGGGGCTGAGGTTACGTCACATATCCAACGAGCCGCGCAGAGAGTAGCGGAACACAACCAGAAAATGAGAATCCTTCTCAATACTCTTGGGTTTACCGACGAGAGGATAGATTGTTTTCTCCAAAATGGCAACATCAATCCCGGTGAAGCTATAACCTCCAATTTCTCACTATCAAGCAGACCTATATACGGTGATATTGAGGCTAATATTACCGGCTCCTCAACATACGATCAAGCGAAATCAGAAGCCCTTGCTGCTAACCTCCAAATACACGACGTGACGATCTTGGGTCAGGATACCACTGGCATTGCAAGCACGGGATATTTATCATCGTCACAAACACCTCCAGGCCAAGCTCAGGATGAACTATCACAATATACACACACTTTGAACCAACTTCTAAACAAACCCCTTATTCATGGCAGCCAATATAACACAAGCTCCAGTCATCAAGACGTCACCATTTACGAGCAGTCTTTTGAGGCAGGCCACATGACAGATCGATATTCAAATCTACCTCATACTTCAAGGAAGTCCATCGGCTCTCCCATAGCCGACGCTCTACTTCCTGCCACTTTACAACACAGCCAGACACATTTAGATTATGTCTCCCCTATACACTACGACTCGAACAATAGTGATGGTCCCAGCTGTTTACCATTGACTCCAAATATATCCTCCAGCCTGCATGGCAAAAGTTTGTCTTTTTGAGTCAATCGTGACTATTTATTGGGTGGATTGCGTAAGTACCTCTTTATAGAATCAGACTTGATGGGCTAAATTCCTGACAGGGACTGCTCTAAGTGCGGGCTACTCCTATACTTTTGGAGCATTCCAGAGCTACTGTCCACCACCACCAGCCGCATTTGGTAGTCTACATCTTTACAAAGTCATTGCACCTTTGTCGTATAATTACTGAGATAATCATCTGCAAGCGACCTTAGTGTGAAAGCAAACGCCGGTGGTGGCCTAGTCGCTGTTTTCAGCGTGAGGGCGTGCAGGATCTGTATTATACAAAGCTGAACATGAACTCTTTGTCCAAGTTCTTATTATTTACACGATAAAATAATAGACAACGTTAGTTCTCATCTGCTGATTATCGAAGCTCAATTAAACAACAATAGCATCTTCGTTGTGAAATAATATCGCATTCTGAGCCACATTTCTTAACTGGCTCATAAAAACACAAATAACTTGACTTAAACAATACCGAAGTTCTATATCTTTGATCGCCGGATAAAAAAAACATAAATCTAAAAGTCGGAGTAGAGATTGGATTGGATAAGAAGTTCACAGTATACTAGAGCGGCTCCCGCCGTCGCGTATTTCTCACCACCCTGTCGCAACCGACTGCAGCATACAAGATGGATGTACTTGGGGTAAGCATTCTTCACACAAACTTAGAAGTTAGGATAATAATTGTATTGGGCACTTTCTGACACTGTGAGAATAGGAGAACGATGGACTGGGTCCATCCTTTGAAACAAACGAATTCTTTCCTGGGATGGATATGCTACACCAGCCAACCCGCATTGACAACCCTTTCAGGGGAGATTTGAGTGACGATGATGAGGACATGGAGGACACTCTAACGTCTGACTGGGAGTGTCCCCTGGCTAGTATGGCACAGGGTTCTCACAACCCTGTGAAGTACCCAACTCCGACACAGGCGGGTGTTTGGTATGGGGAAGGTCGCTCGAGGTTATCTATTAATCAACAATTCGTCGATATCATCCAGGAGTGTGAAAATTTCTATACATCCAATCCCGGATTTGACGGGTCTACACAGCAGGTTGAGCACCTCTTCGGCTTCATTAGAAGAGCCCTCACGGCAATCGGTCTAGAGAGGCATTTAAATGTTTTTAGGCCTCGGGGGGAGGGAATTTACGAAGCGGACCCTACTCCTTCGCCTCGCTATGTGTCTGCCACATACCGCGATCTTCCTACTGATCAGGAACCTATGAATGACAAGGCCTGCTACAACGATGTCAGAAGGCTCCTAGGAGGAGGAATCCCACTTCCCGAAAATTTTGGACAACTTCGAGGCGGAGCTGCTCCGAGCCCTTCTAATGTAGGCCTTCCTTCAGCTAAGGAACTTAGGGAAGACGCCCGTGATTTAAAGAGGCGGGTTGGCTTTAAGGCGACGAGGCCGAGAAAAGCGTGGGGAGATGCTCGACTGGATTCAAAACTAGAGATAGAGAAGATTCCCGAAAAGCTTGAAGATATGAAGGTCAAGGGGCCTCTAATGCTGCCAATTGAGGGCACAAGTAAAGAGTTACGCGATAGAATCTCGAGTGGACTCACCGCTGAGATCGACAAGCAGGCTGAACGGTACGAAGCTGCTAAACAGTGCGACACGATCCCGGATATCAAGGCCTTATTAAAAGAAGTTGACGAGGAAATCGATTCCAAGAGGATAGATTGGCAATCGTTTATTCATGACTGGGTTCGGATAAATTCAGTGGGCAAGGCCCGGTTTAAATTTCAGACCTTTGCTGAAGGGTTCGAACGATTCTACGCAGCGATAATGGAGTCTTTCGCCGTGATGCTTTCCGGTATCATTCGGCTCCTTTTACATAACAAGCTCCTCGAACTTAAAGAAATACAAATTAACGACCTAATTTCTGCAGAGATCGAACATATAGAATCTCTGAAGAGGCAAGAGGAGATATGGAAAGAGTTTGATGCCTTCCACATGTACTTGGTGGCAGGCCTCAAACAGAATGAGAAGGATTTTTACCTTAGGCGTATTCGTTTACGACAAGCGCTAGATCATTACTGGACCCAGCTCATCAAGGAACATCAAGGTATACTCAACAAACTCGAGGAGGAGGGCTTAGATTCGTACCCCGAGACGCAACGGATGATAAAGAAAAAAGAGGCAGAACAAAAGGGCTCCCAGGTCAAGCAGCTGCCCGAGAATAGTGATATCATTCCCTCGGAGAATGAAATCCTTCAGCCAAAAGAGGAAGACCCGACTGCGGACGAGTCCATTGATGACTCGAACTTGCCCAACATCCCATCAGAGGACGATAGTTCGGACGTCCCACCTCCAGAGGTAGATGATCCCACCAAACAAGAGTCGCCGAAGAAAATTCCCGATCCTGGTCCCTCGACTAAAGAAAAGGGCGGTTCGGGCCTCGGCGCAAGTATCTCAGCGCTCAACAAACTGCGTTTGACATACGCAAGGTACCTCCAAACTTATATCGACGACAACAATAGTCTCGATGCGGGCGATCCGGGAAATGCAGCGAAGATATTGGCGAACAACGAGCAGATCAAGATGTACAACCACATGATTTGGAACTTGGACACGGAGATCGACAACCTGAGAAGCCTAAAGCCGGAGAAGAACATCGGAAGGAGTGTGCAGAACGATAGCCCTGGGCCGATACCAGCTCATGAGCTTTACAAGAATACCAAGAGGCTTCAAGGTCAAAAGGATCTCCCTACTGATGTCCATAGCTTGGCACCTGGTAACTTGCCTGGCGACCACCCGGCGCCGGCGATCCCTAGGGTCCTCGTGGGTGGTCCGGTAGACTTTGGTGATGACCCTCTCACTCAGGGTCAGACGACTGATCCTACACCTCAACCCGCGCCTCAACCCGCGCCCAAGCCCAAGCCCTATGTCGAGCCCAAGCCCAAGCCCAATGTCGAGCCCAAGCCCAAGCCCAATGTACAGCCCAAGCCCAAGCCTCCGGTCCAGCCTCCGGTCCAGCCTCAACCTCCGGTCCAGCCTAAAACTCCGGTCCAGCCTCCGGTTCAGCCTCCGGTTCAGCCTCCGGTTCGGCCTCCGGTTCAGCCCCAGCCTCGACCTCCACCTCCACCACCACCTAACCCTTTCCCTATAGACGAACCCGTCACTCCGACTCCTGCTGGGAATAACACTCAAGGTCAGTCTGAAGTTCTTCCACGGTACCGTGCTGGCTTTCCCGTCATCAACTTGGATGAAGAATCCCGGGGGGAGAGTCCTTACCCGCCTCGCCCACCTCGGCATCGTGGCTCTCGCCCTAACCCGCCCGTCCGTCGCTTGTTTCAGCGCCGGCCGGGTCGCGAGGTTGTTGACATAGCCGTGGAGGAGTCCACGCCGCCGTATGGGCGTACTTACCCCAGCAACTCTCGTCTAAGCAATTCTCGTCTATTCCACTCTCGCCGAAACCCTCTCCGGGGCTCGAGGACTAACGTGACTCGAACAGTTCCGACCCCCGCCCCGTCCACAAATGTCCCGCCGGTAAAGACGGTAAACCCAGTGCGACCAGTGCAGCCGGCAACGCCAGCACCTCCGGCATATCCAGTGCTGCCGCAATGGCAACGACAACCGCAACCGCAACCGCAGCCAGAGCCAGAGCCAGAGCCAGAGCCAGAGCCGCAGCCGCAGCCGCAGCCGCCGCCGCAGCATCCAGATGATCCTCATGGTTGGGCTTGGACTCAATTGCCAGCGATGACCTTCGAGCAATACCTCGCATCGCTGCCGCCACGTTTCCGACGCGACCGGAATGCTGCGAAGGCAAACTACGATCTTATCACTAGTACCGTAGCGAATATCAATAAAAGACATAATGGGCCTGCAGAGCCTCCCGCTCACGAAGAAATTTATAAGCAGCAGCCTCCGGTCCAGCCCCAGCCCCAGCCCCAGGTGCCGTCTCCGTTGTATTCGAATACCGCAAGGCCAGGCTGGGCCCACAGCAAGGCTAGCCATGAGTGGACTATGTACGACATTGCGAACATGTCGTTCAAAGATTACTACGATTCCCTCCCAGTAGAAGGGAGAGCGGATGAGAACACTGCTCAGAAGGACTTCAAGGCTATTCAAAACAGCATAAGAGATATCGAGAAGGCCCTGAGACCCGCCACGCCCGTAGATCCACCGCCTCATGCGCCCCCGGTTACTCCATTCCCGCTTACTCCAGCCGATATCAGGATTGCTCACCAGAGCACGGCGGAAAGGCCTCCTAAACGGATCTTTCCTTGGGATAATTATAAAACCGAGTCTCCGAAAAGGGTCACCCCGTCCAATAGGGGAGGATTGGGAGGAACTGGAGGAGTGAAAAAGGTGATCAACCCAAGGAAGCCCTCGAAATTGCCTCCAAATCATCCCAGATATTGGGACTGGAGTGACTGGAGCAGTGTCGTAGACCAACGGTACGAGGGATATCTAGGAAAGCTCGACGAAGAGGAAAAGTCGCAGTGGGAGAAGTCGGAGCAAGACTTTTACGACTTCAGACGAAATGCGTTTAACAAGGCGACGCAGCGGCATAGCGCTGCCGCCGCCAAAAAAAGAGGTAATATTATTTCTGATCGTATTCTTGATTCTAGCGATAGCCAACTGATCCTAGCTTCGACTCAGGTAATTAAAGACGTCACTCAGGTCCCCGTCGTTGACGACGATCCATCTACATATACCGGCCCAATAGCCTACGCAGCAACCCGCGTAACTCAAGCCAAAGGCAAGGGGAAGCAGGATTCCAAGAAGGATACTGGCAACAGGAAGGATACTGGCAACAAGAAGACTACTGGCAACAAGAAGACTACTGGCAACAAGAAGAAGACTGGCGACAAGAAGAAGACCGACGACAAGAAGAAGACTGACAAACCAAAGCAGAAAGGGCAAATAACGGACAAGACTACTAGGATAGCTAGGGACGGGCCAAAGAGATGGAGACCGAAACCGAAGGAGTATTCTAAGCTGTCCTCCCTTATTAAGAAAACCGTAAAGTTCCCAGGTCCAAAGCCAGGCGAGAAAGCAGTTCTGTTCGAAAAAGAAGTCAAGGGCGACCAGTCGAAACCAAGCCAGAAAAAGACAACGAAGAACATCATCCCTGACGACGACCCGCCGCAACAGTCGCAACCTCGCCAGAAAAAGAAAAATCAAAACATCATCCCCGACGACGACGGCGACGTCGTGGAACCTAGTCCTGAGCCAGCGCCCGAACCTCCACGTCCACTTAGACAGGGACTAAGGCCAAAACCGCCACGACCACCACCTTCTCCGAAGCGCGACGACGGACGTAAGAAGCCAAAGGTAAAGCCAAAGACAAAAAAGACGCCTACGCCCGCGCCTGCTCCCGAACCTGAACCTGCGCCTAAACCTGCTCCTAAACCTGCTCCTAAACCTGCACCTAAACCTGAATCTGAACCAGAACCTGAACCAGAACCTGAACCTGAACCTGAACCTGAATCTGAACCTGATCCCGCCTTGGTACTAGCCAATCTCCAAGAAAGACGCAGGCAAGCCCCCAAACCGCCCAGTCCCTGGCCCGACCCCATGCCCGACGTCCAACCCCCGCGCCAACCCGGGCCCCTGAAGCGGCCTATAGCGTTGGCGGAGGAGGAGAACAAGAAGAAACCCGAACTCTCGCCCAGGACCAAGAAGCGAAAGCTGGACACCGTGATCCCGCAAGGCGACGGCTGGCCCGACATCAAGTACCTGATGAAGGCGCACCGGACGGCGGTGATGGCCGGGCAGACGATCAGACAGCGGCGGGGGGGCGGGACCAGACTTGCCGTGGGGCCGAAGGAGGCTATCGACGGGGTACTTAGGCCTGTCCTAGATAGGAATGATAAGGTTCATATATGATCGTGGGGAGCGGTGGTATGGATTAGGGGTATTGGTTTTAATGGGGTGGAAAGTGTCCGGCAATGTTTAAAGAAAGGGGTTGGTTGGTGTCTGGGGAGGTGGATGGATGGATGGAACGATATATCGACAAGACTGGTGTGGGTTGCTGAGTACAGACAGATGGGCACTTGCCGCCGGAAGACAACGACATGATGGATACTTTATAGATGGAAAGACGGAATTTCGATGGGGACCTGAATGACGCATCAAATTAGACGAACAAGAAGAGGAGGAATTAGATTATGGAGGAAAGTTAGGGAAGAAGATTGTACGATGGAGAAATTGGATTATTAGTTAGACATTGTGTGCAAGGAGGGTTTGGTTTACTTACTTACACATCTACGCAGTAGAGCTTTCTTATTTATTTCCTTTGTAGGATAAATTCATCTCTAGTTATTCCTATGTTGTCACAACAAACACCGAATCGTCTTGTCCCATTCACGTGAGGTGAAAATGTGCCCAGTAGTAGTAGGCTGATCGGGGAATATATCCTAGTATGATTATATGGATATCTTCTCTCTGCATCTATTCTCATGGAGACCAGAATACGCCGCCTAGTTATAATCATTAATCCGAAATCTGCTTCTCTCTGTGACATTGGATGTCTCCGGAACTCCGCCAGGTATCATACCAAAGGGCGTAAAAAACACTGTTGATGGTCCGTCTTGAGCGGAATGCTACGTCCGTTACCAACAATTTCGTACTATACAATCCAGCCCTCACACAAGGGGGTCCTATAGGAAGTAGTCTGCCACTGGTTTCTTAGCAGGCATACCCCTGGAGTCTTGCGGCGCGGCCTGGAATACGCGATATCTCCTTGCTGGGCCGTTCTTGAGCCTCTTCTCGCTCTCCATCATAACACCCTCTACTCCACCATCGCTCCGGCCCACATCGCCGTTGCTGCGCGCGAAAAAACTCTCTCCGGTCGGGTCCTCAGACAACTCTAGGACGGCGGCCACGTTGCCGCATCGGTAACAGTAGTTAGGTGCCGACCAAACCGTAACAATGCTTGCATCGAACATCTCCTTAAACCCTTCCATGACGAGCTGGTGGGCGCGCGCAATGAGCGAAAGGTCATTCTTATGGTTGAAAACCTTGACAATATCCGCGCCAAAGAGGAAGCCTGCGCCGCGTGGCGACAGACCCCAGCCGTCAATCTCGTCCGGGTCAGACCATAAGAGGTCGCACATGGCGCCCTCGTGAGGTACCTCTTGTTTGCGATCCAATAGGCGGATCTTATCCACCGTATCGATCAGGGGTGATAAACCGCCGTGCACACATAAAACCGCTCCTGTCGGGTTGCCGATGGTGCCCCCACTGGAGCCCGACGCGCCTGACCCTGGAGGGCCAGTCTTAGGCTGGATTCCGTTAGGACTTTTCTGCTCCCGATCTAGAGATTGATCGCTGCCTCGTCTCATAAATCGACTCATGATATCTCCATCCGCATTGCATACCTCAATCTCAATATCCTGCTGGGTATATTCCTCGCTGGGTGTCATCTCATTAGGAGGCGAGAGGGTATTCGACGCGTTGAGCACTATAGCTCCGAGGGCGAGATAGTCGAAAACATCGCAGCAATACCTCCAAACGTTAGCACTGCCATATTTTCGGAGGCATTCATCGTAGAATCCGTAAACTGTCGTTATCTGACGAGACTCGTGGTTGCCCCTGATAAGGGTCATACGATCGGGATAGCGGACTTTTAAGCAGAGGAGTAGGAGGAAGGATTCTAGTGAGTAGAAGCCACGGTCGACGAAGTCGCCTACATGAGCACATTTGATTAGAGATTCCATCCGGTAAAAGATGGGTATCGCGCTTGGAATATGTACCCATGAAAAGGTAATTTGTATCTGGTGGATCGCCTCCAACCCTGAAGAGTTCCATCAGATCGTGAAACTGTCCGTGGATATCACCACATATCTGCGCGCATTATGTCAGAGAGATATTCCGAGCTTATACTATCGCCTTGGGATAAGGCATACCGTTACAGGGGCTGTGACTGTAACAACGTTTCCTTCCTCGATCAAGAGCTCTCGAGCCTTATGGCAAAGTTCCCTAACTTGCGCCTCGGGGATCGGACGACATGCTCGGAGTTGAGCGATCGCTCTGTATAGTCACACATGGTTAGCATACATATGGCGCTGCGTTTATACCCATAGAGGGCGCCGTACTTATCAAGGTCGCTCATGACTACGGTTGGGAGGATAGGCTAGGGGAATAGGACCGAGGCCGCAATCGAAGCTAACGCCGAGCCAAGGGGAGGGTGAATTTGAATATTCGTATGGTCGTTTTTATAACATTATCAGGATACCTAATTAGTTGGCCTAAGAGGTGCACGTAGACTATTATTGTGTACTGTGGTTGTGATTTGCGATATGGTTTTTCTTCATGCTATGCAAATTGGGATATGGAGATGTGGTTCGCGACAGATTCGGTTCGTCGCGTGCGGCATCTTACAGTTGACAATCCAAAATTAGAAAATACTTTAGTTGCACTATGCACTGAGCGCGAAATGGCACCGGCACTCCCATTTCTGAAGTCATTTTAGCGGGTCCCTCAATTGCCTGCAGCCTGCAGCTTCCCCCTTGCTAGCCGTTCCTAAGCTTGTAAGCCGCTACACGGGGATTATGTAAAATGGAAATACCTAGATACTATGGTACCAGGCCAAAGTAAAACCACCCCCAAAAGTACCACCGAAAAGGGTTAGATGTGGCTGTCATACAGAATTGGTATCAGCTTTTTAGCATTTCCAGTACCGCATTGGCCACCTTTTAGTGCGCGACTTATGGCTGTGGTTTTACTTAGGTACCTACCCAATTAATTCTTGGATGCGCTACCTTAAACAACAGCAACGACTATCGTAACCCTCACCCGTCCTGTAGTCTCCAGCTTCCAATCGTCATGCCGTGGGACCATACAGGCATAATCTAAGTATGTCCCTAGCCTAACTGCATCAATTGGCAATTTTCAAGCTCGCACCTTACAAAAGATCACCAGTCACTAACAAGTTTCTGACTTACAGCTTTACTCCTCCTCAAACTCACCCACCCACACCATGCCGCCGCACCTACACCCGCGGTCGCGAATGACCTCCTCGCTCTTCGCCACAACCGTAGCAGCAAGCTTCTTCGTCGTGACACTCCCGCACATCCTGCCTTGTCCCGCGCCGCGGGTGACCTACGCCGACTCAGAAATAGCCGCAGACGGCACGAAGCGGCGGCGGAGGAGGAAACCAGAGCCAGCAGTTGTGAAGGACGGTATCGTCCAGTTCGAGAGTCCGACTGAGGATTTGGAGAGGGTTGCTACTGAGACTGGCGGTATTGCTACGAGGGCAAGGAAGGAAAGAGAATGTCCCGTACCCAAACCGGGTGGCGTCATTGGTGAGTTGATGGGGTTTAATGGCAAGTCGAAAACGGAAGAAGGAAAAAGGCCGAGTGATAATACATAGAAAACAGCGAGCATCAGGTTGAGAAACTACTGGAGACTTTACACTCGCAATGTGTATAATATTACTGTGTGAAGAATACGTCACATTTGCCCATTACTCCACACTAGAATTATCACTAAAAGACTAACTACTCCATCTGTATCACTCCGGGAAGTTGATAGACGGCCACTTGCTTTTGGAGAGATAGAAAAGTAAGCAGCGCAAACATATCGCATTACTCAACATCATAATCCATTATTTGAAACTCTATTTTCAGGATAGCATAGCATTAGGTACATTTCCAAGTTCAAGCGTTAGGCGTTCAGCGTTCAGCGTATTTTATTTCATCTCACTTGGTAGCTCAGAAGCAAAATAATTATAGGCTAAGAACAGTTTCAAGCATTATTGTCAGAAATGCAATTGAACTTTTATTGACCATTAACCGGTTGGTTAACATCCGGCAACTTTGGTGACTCCTTAGAACTCCTTTCGTATCCCCCATCCTCCTAATAGCTACCATGGGGTTGATAGCCATAAAGATCAAGCCGTCCCATCATCATGATGAAGTTTATCCACCTCGCAATACTGCTAAAGATTTTGACCGTACCAGTGCAAAAGGCGACCACTGCGAGTTCCTCGTTCCACATCAACTAATTAACGAAGCCGTAGACCTGCCTGAGTCCAGAATGCCTCTGCATCTTCCTATGTCTGTACTTGCGGAACAAAGAACACTAAAAAATTAACGCAAAGAAAGTCATGAGAGGATAATATTACAGATAGGAAACGAATGGTAAAAAAGGTATCACTGAACGTAAGCGGGAAGGATCAAAAGCTTCTACCAAAAGCTTCTCCCTAGGATGCAGATTGCGGCGTCGGTACTTCTGTCTCTTCAACTTTTGCTTCGTCCAGGTCCAGCTTAGGCTTCTTCGAAGCGCGCTCGGACTCAGATTCCTCTACCTTCATCTTCAGTTCCTGATTCTCTTGCTCCATCTCATCGAGTCGCCTCTTAAGGATATTCTCTCGCCTATGACTGTCCTCCAACTGTCGCTGGATTTCTTCACGTTGCATGCGTTCCGTAGCAGCTTCCTTGGCAGAGTTTTCGGCAGAATGGCGGTAGTTGTCAGCGGTCTGCATATCTTGTTCCAGCTGTTGCAATCGGCCTCTGTACAGCTCATTGACAAGTTCGAGCTCGCTAACGCGCGTCTTTAGGCTGGAGTTGGCGGCAATTAACTGCTCGTGAGTCTGCGGGACATCGGTGATCTGTTGGTCGCCGTTCATAGGGGACTGGTGGCTGGGAGAGCCATCGGGAATGGGGTACTGAGTTAGACCGTCCGACTGGAAATGATCCATAGCTTGGAAAGCAGTCAGATGGGGATCATATATAGACGGGGTCGCTGTGCGCGACACGGGCGAGTCTGTACCGTGGCCATGTCCGTTTGTGGCATTCTGTTGGTTCGCGCGAACGGCGGCAAGGGCGGCGGTTGCGTTATCATGGTTGAAGTTATTGCCGTTGGTACTGGCAGGGAGGCTTTGCTGCAGAGAGTTGTGAGTATTATGAATATGATTAATTATGATTACGCGGGCGGGGTTTAAAGGGGACGTGTTCCATACCTTTTTCTTTACCTGCATGTCCGGGCGCATTGTCTTGACGCGATTTCGGCTCTTAATGACGTCCGTCTTCAAGGAAATCGGGCGCGGGCGGCCATGCAGCTTCAAGAACAGGCCGCAGGCATTGCATAGGACGGATCCCGTCTCGTCGCGACGCCATAAAGGAGTAGTCGACGTACCGCAATTCTGACAAGTCGGCTGCGTAGATGGAGTATCACCGTTAGCACCTGCAGCCGTTGTGGGGTGTGAGGCCATCATTTTGAAATTGAATAATGAAGCTTTCAATCGAAAGATGGGTTATATCGGCGGATAGAGTATCGCGATGGGAGACTGGGGAGAGATATCGATAGGGAAGGATAGGTTGATCGATAGAATTGATAGAACTGATAGAACTGATAGACGGGAAAGATTGAAGAATTTCTAGAAAGTGGGTGCTGATAAGGTTGCAACCAATCATAGCAAGGTACGAACCTTGTCTATACAAGGGTACCTGCGACTTTCCAAAGTTCCACATCCGAATTGAAGGGGCGACTTCCACCTTTCATGTCAACAGCGTACAGATGTAGGCAAGAATGCCTCCTTACCTGTACACCTATTGGTACATGACTTATCCCGCGTCGAAACCTTGGTAAATCAACAGGTGCAGAATGCAGCAAAATGCAACAAAATGCAACATTCCACTTGCTCTTCCACTGCATATAGTCCGATTTCCAAAATATCGAACATATATGCATGTCATGCTCAAAAGGGAAAAGGAAAGGTGAGGTGCTGAGATAAAAAAAAATAAAGCGCAATAACTCACCAAATTACCCGACGCCGTCGGAGCGTGCGCTGCAGGAGAAGAATTCATTTGCGGAACTGGCGTATGTGTTGCTCTGTATTTGATGGGAATATGTTAGAATGATGGTTATCGCAAATGTATGTAATGTTCGAAAACGTATGTGTTCTTAAAAAGTCGAAGTTGCGATCAAGTTGCCGTAAACAATTCAATGCTCAAGGCACAAGATGGCGTCCGGGTTAACAAGTACGTAGAAGCAAGCAAGTCAACGAGACCTGCACCATTGACAGGCATACTAACGTTTCCTAGTGACTACCTAGGTTACGGTGATAATGCCGCCGTCAGGTGTACACTTAGGTGTTGAATCCTTGAGATATCTATTTCGTTCTCTCCCCGATAAGACACCTCCCATGCAGGCAAGTCGTAGACCCCCTTCTGAGATATAAAACCACTGCCATGACAATTTCTGCCCCTTTCATCCCCCCCAAAAAATTTTGGTATAAGAAAATCATGTAATTGTTCAGGTGTAAACTCACCTCAATTGCGGCGAATCGGTTGCTGATCCCGCGGCTGCCAACGCGGAAACACCTGGAAGCTGTGCTACCGAGGCTGTGGTGGAAGAAGTCGAACTCGGACGCGATATTGGGTCAAGGGTTGCCGGCAACGACACCGTGCCCTCCTCCATGACTGATCTGATAGGTGGTAATGCTGGTGATGCCGTACGTGTCGGGATCGGTGAGGTGATTGGTGGTAGATTGCTATCTGCCTGTAATGATGCCAGTGTGGAGGACGCCGTGGTGGATAAAATTTCAAGGCCCCGAGTCTCCTCGGGACGAACAATCGTAGTAAAGACAGGAATCGAAGGTGGGTATTAATCGGCGCGAGTAATGGGAGAGTCACGCCTTGACCGCCCAATAATCTAGCGGTATGAAGGCGGCTTTGATGTAGGTGGTTGCAAAGAAGCAACAGGCACCGTAAGAAATGTACTAAGAACCCACTGTATATTGGACCGTAAATCGTAAATCAGAAAGAACCGATTGGAAGTTTGCAGCTCAAGAGTGGAGCAGCCAAAAGAAGACTCGACAAAGATTGAAACTCATAAAATTCGACCAAATAGATATGCACGAGTAGGTAACGTCAGTCAGTTAACCAATTATTTTAAACTTGAAGTAAGAAATTATACGGAAGAAAAGGAAAGGCAAGTATGTAAGTAAGATGGCACGCGCCAGGAGAGAATAAAAGAAATCCCCTGAGCCTCGATGTACATAAGATAGACACGTAGAAATTTGATAAAAAAATTATTATTGTTGTTATCTTAAGATACGATGTACATCCTGGTAGATATTATTAGGGGAAGTACATACTCCCTTTACTTGCTTTTTTTCGTTACGTTTATGTACGTAGATTAGATCCCATTTGCTTGGCCACGGGAAAACTGTTTCTAATCTAGACGCTAAGGATTTTTAAGATCATCTGGATTACGATTGGCTACTTTAATTCCCTTGTCAAACTACTCCTGATCAGGTAAAGTACCGTAGCTGCATGTATGCAGTCCTGCATTTAGGTATATGATAATTACACCGACTGGCACCTTGGGCGTTTCTCTTATTATCTCGCCAGCTCGTCTTCGCTATGTACTATCTTAGCTTTATATCTCATATTACACACCATATCTCTTTCTCCCGGTTCCCCGATTCAAAGGCGGTTTAACTTTCCGTGGGGCAGGCAGCATTCATCTTTTCGTAGATAAGCCAGTGTAGGCCGACTCAAAGAATAGCTATAGACAGCCCCAGAATCAAGTTCTTCTAGTAGGTTATAAATGTAGCCTTTATCAAGGTAAGGTTTGAGAAATTCGATGAAGAGTTGTCCTGATTTCCTATATTTTATTGCATTTACTATCGTTTGTCTTTCAAGGTTTACCTGTATAGAAGGATAATACCAACCCATAACAGCCTTAGAGCCATATATAAGCAGTAGTCAGCGGTATTACTACCAGCAGCGCAATAAATGTAAAGCCTATTATACGGGTGCTCCAAGTATACAACATAACTTTCACACACATAGACCAACAGATCATAAGAGTAGTATCTCTTATAGACTAACTAACCTACTCAGTCCTACAATCATCTCCTATTCAAGTAAGGAATTCGAGCTATACATTACAGAAGGAGTATATAAATAGAAGCGCGTACCAAAGCAAAAAAATACATTAGGTCATTAATAAGAAACACTCTCGTGGCGATGTACCTATCACTAACTAGGTATAGAGAACCGCACACTTATGCGCAAAGTAGAGTTTGTCAAAACACAACTAAGGCTCAAAGCACAACTAAAGTAGAAACATCCGTCCGAAGTAAAACTTATATATCTAAATAAAGTAAAGGGTTTTTAACAAATGACCAAAGGTCGGGTTGGTACGGCCAAGCGAAACATTCACATCCGCCACACCTAAGAACTCCTTCATTCCGCAACCTAAGCAATAAACACACTTATGAAGTATCTTAGGCCTTAGGGTTCGATTCCCTAGCCGACCATACCAATTTTCTTTCTTTTCTTTTTTTTCTTCTTGTCGCATAATACCATACTCCCCGAATAACATCCGTGGCATCGAACAAGGACACCAGGATAATTGTTAACGCATAGCTCATCACTAAATCGAATGATTCTTATTTTGACAAAAAGTCTATTAATATAAACAAAGTTGTAACATAAAAATGATCAAGAAACTATGGTTTTTGAATATAAATCGTATATTTTGTTAAGGACAGTCTTCCATGGTTGCTACATGTCATATCGTTGGTGATCCTATTGTATGTAGAGCCTCAGTGTACCTAAGTACCTAAATCAGTATCCACTCTAGCTCGACCGCTGGAGGGGCTGAGAGTCTCCATTAAAAAACTTCCGACTACCGATGTTTAAAGAAAAAAAAAGTCCCAATCATTCACCATTGCCAATCATTTATCTTTATTTGCATCGCAGACCCAAGTTCTATACAACATCACCACCATCACGATGCCGTCTACACATAAAAAGGAGAAGCCATGGGATACCGACGATATAGGCCAGTATTTATGAAGTCAAAACTTATTCTTAAGTGTATCTAACATGACTATCAGACAAGTGGAAAGTCGAACCCTTCAAACCCTCAGATAATGTTGGTGGAACCTTTGCGGAAGAATCCTCATTTGCAGTGTAAGTGCCTCTAGCTGAAATCCAAGGTGTAACTACTAGATGCTAACTTATCATCAGCCTATTCCCTCGATATCGTGAAGTTTATCTTAAAGAGGCATGGCCTGGCGTGACGCAGGCACTCCAGCAACAAGGCATCGCGTGCACACTAGATCTTGTCGAAGGTAAGGAATAAAATATTACCTACTAGGTTAGCGCTGACCAAGAGATGTCAGGTTGCATGACGGTCAAGACGACGAGAAAGACGTACGACCCCGCTGCCATCCTCAAGGCTCGCGACCTCATCAAACTATTAGCCCGTAGCGTACCTGCGCCCCAAGCATTAAAAATACTTCAGGACGATATGGCGTGCGATATCATCAAGATAAGAAACCTAGTGCGCAATAAGGACAAGTTCGTAAAGCGACGGCAGAGAATCCTCGGACCAAACGGCCAAACACTAAAAGCGCTCGAGCTCCTCACACAGACTTACATCCTCGTCCAAGGAAACACCGTCAGCGCCCTTGGCCCTTACAAGGGGCTTAAGGAAGTGCGCCGAGTAGTAGAAGACTGCATGGCGAACATCCACCCCATCTACCAGATCAAGGAGCTCATGATCAAGCGGGAGCTAGCCAAGGACCCAGAGTTAGCGCACGAGAACTGGGAGCGGTTCCTGCCCAACTACAAGAAGCGCAGTCTAAGCAAGCGCATAGTGCCGTACAAGGTCACGGACAAGAGCAAGAAGGTGTACACGCCCTTCCCGCCGCCCCAGGAGAAGAGCAAGGTCGACATGCAGATCGAAGCCGGCGAGTACCACCTCGCCAAGGAGGCCAAGAAGCGCATCGCCCACGAGGAGCGCATGGAGAAGCAGAAGGTCAAGCAGGAGGAGAAGAAGCGCCAGCGGGAACAAGACTTCATCGCGCCGGAAGAAGAAAACGGGTCGTCGGAGAGGAAGAAAAAGAAGCGGAAGAGCAAAGACGACGAGTAGGCGTAGTAGTAGTAGTGGTAGTAGTAGCAGCGTTGTCGCCTGCACAAGGGGTTTATGTATTACTACTTCTAGCCGTGATCCTTTTTTTCGAACATCTTTACGATACCCACGAAATTCCGAAAGTACATACATCACATCAAGACTTTGGGAGGGGTTGGTTGCCCTTTCAAACATGACTGGCTTCGTGATGTGATGCGTAGATGATGATTCCGCTATGGAAAAGAAAAAGAAAAAAGTTTTTGGCCTAATCTACCTATGTTTTAGATTGCCTTACCGCAGACACAACGGGAATGTTAGATTGTAATGCTTGAAATCAACCTTCTAGCTATATTCAACTTAATTAATGTTCCGTCGTACTAGGCAGGTCACTCTTATTAGACAAGTACCTATACAAATACATTGATTACTCGCAGTCATGTATGTGCAAGGCAGCTTAAAATAAAAAAATCAGTGAAGACTTAAAATCGCAAGTGTATTCATTCATTCCTAATACGGGCATATGAGCCTGGAAGAGAACGCCTCAAACACCAATATGCCTATCCGTATCTTCTTCGTTGGTATCACGTCTATCTAGCACGGTTAACTACCTACCCCCCAAGATCATCCACGTCTATCCATCGACAACCATCATAGTGTCGTCTCCGTCAAACGCCGATGCCGGCTGCTCGACTACGACTCCTCGACCACGACCGGCTAATAATTCCCTTCGGATCTCCGGCCCGATCTTGTGGTGTCCGTGCGTCAAGAGGAGGTCTAGGAGGGCCTCTCGCTGGTCCTCGGTAATTTCGTTGCGATACCGCTGCGCGAAGGCCAGCAGGCACTGGTGCCAGATGACCGGCAGCTTCACTTGCATCGCCGCTCGTTCGCTGCCTATGTCCATCGCGGCGCCTTCCCTGACGGACGCGGGATCCACGCTTCGGAAGCGGAGGAAGTGGAATACGAGGGAGTCGACGACTTGGTAGGGAAGAGCGTATTTCTTCTCTAGGAGGGTCTTGATGAAGACGTTCGTGGCGCCTCCGCCCTCTGTTCCGGCGGAAGCTTCCCTTGCCGCGATATCGCACAGCCCCTTGATAGCCGCGCCGGAGTGTAACACCGGTATAGAAACCCTGGCCAGGACGGCAGATATGATCGTAGCTTCTCGTAGCGTGCACGTGCCACTTTCCACGAGAGGGAAGAGGAAGCCCTTGAACCACGCCGCAGGCTTATAAAGCGCTTTCTTCAGGGCGTTGAACAAATGCACATTTAGCTTCTTCGTCTCGTGGATGTCTTCCCTCACGCGCTCGAGGAGGATCATCTCCATGAATCTTCGGACGACGATCGGGTTGCTGGATACGAAGATCCTCGTAGCCTGGTAGCACGCGTTCGGGGTCCACTGGTCAGGATTCGTGTATTGGATGATATCTTCCCAATGAGGTACCGTCGGCAGAATCTTGAACGGTTTGGGGAGTTGGCCGGACTTATATCTCGACAATATCAACCCGATCCTATGCAGTGTCAGTAAGGCTAAATAGACTCATCGTAGAATCCTGTCAAACCTACTTAGTATATACTTCTACAACCTTCGGCGGTATCTCAAAATCGTCATCTACAGGTCCTACTTCCCGCCCTCTGTCGTCTCCAGCTTCGTGCTCCGCTATCCTCGCCAGAATCAAATCGGCAAGGTTGGTTCCCGGACCTTGCTGCTGCGCAGACGCTTGACCTCCCCAACCGTGTGTCAACAACGGATCGTCGTCCGTAGGTAAAAACTTGTTGAACGTGTCTAAGTCCTCAGGCTCGATCTCGATCTCCTCTACTATCTCCTCCTCGTCGCCCCATACTTCTTCGTCCACGAACGCCTCGTTATCCTCACCATCTTCGTCGAACCGAGAATCGAAACCGAACGCATTGCTCTCCTTCGGCGGTCGCGGAGGCGCTACATCAATTTCCTCTGCTAACTCTCGGCCGATCTTCAAGATTTTCTTCGAAGCTTTAGAGTCTACGTAGTTTTCCTGCTCTTCGTCGTCGTCGCCGCTTCTAGACTTCCTCTTGGGAGCCTTTGCGCGCAGGGGTCCAGTAGCTACGAGATCATCCTCGAGGGGGTTATGCCGTCGCCCTTGGCGGACAGCAGTTGGTGTAGTCGCCTTCGGCATATTTTCCCTTGAACTAGTAAGATTATCAGATCGGGATGGTGAATTCAAGTATCACGACGTGGGGCGCAAATTAATTGTGTGAATGAATTTCCAAAAGAAAATCAAAAATTTTGAGGGGTGAGCGGAACCATTCCGCCAAGCGCATTGGGTAGGTACATAGGTACATATAATTGAAGTGATTGGTCTCTCGAGGCTCGAGCTGAGGTTAGCTAGTACAATACGTACCTCTGGCAAAGTGCTTCTACAAAAAGTCGCATGCGGTTATCTTAGTATTAAGACTAAAATTTCGGGAAGCGGGCTACGCCCGCTATCGCCTCCCCCCCCCCGTTGGCGCCACAGGAGCCACGAAACCCTTGGTCTGTATGTTTGTATCTATGGGTCGGGGGTGAGGCGTTTCCCGAATTCTAGTCTTAGGCCCTTGCAAACTTTCAAGCAACTATCGGCACACTCAACTTTCAATTAAACGTTATATCGACGATGACTCAATAGGCAACAACAACGTTGAAAATACATTATATATTAATCGCTCGGGGCTAGTCCTTTACTTTATCTACCTCCTCATACTTTTTGCATAGCTGTACGGTATTGCGTTGTAATAATGCAAGCCTCAACGTCCAAAAACACGTAATAGCCTCAAAATACCATACCAAAATCTATACCCACGCGCCTGCACCCACAACCACGTTTAAAATACCTTCTTTTTTAATCACTCGGGGCTAGTCCTTTACTTTCGCTACCTCCTCATCCTTTTTACATATCTATAAGGCATCGCGTTATAATGTTACAGGCCTCGACGTTCATATTGTAGCAATTATTGCGGTTAACGCGTTGCCACCGGTGTTGAGACCGTTGCGACCGGTGTTGCAACCGTTGCGACCGGCACTATAGCTAATTCCAACCCCGAAACGCGTACGTTTTAATTGATAACCTGTCGAAATGATCAAATTAACAATTGTTTCCTATATAAACACATTACTTACGGTAAAAACGCGTTAAAATCAATTGATTTAATTGATATTATAATATGTTGCTATTGCCAGTGTAGAGGGGTAATGTTCACAAAGGCCTCAAACTAGAGATTAGAAAATCTTTTGGGGGGTGGGATGGGGCTGTAATTGGACGGGGAGTGGTGTGGCTGGGGGAGGTACATCCCCCCGAACGATTTTCTAATCTCAGTCTAAGGTCACCTAAGATAAGCATGCGGGGGGTATTGAACACTGCAATATTTTACAGCTTAGTTGACAGGCACGTAGACGGCAATTGATAGATAGCTAAAGTATAAAAATAAAATATAAGATAAAAGTAAAAAGAAAGTTAACTACATTCGTAGACTACCTACTTATGTGTGACTTATATGTGATGCAAATGCAAAAAGATTGTCCTCGGTGAGGCTCGAACTCACGACCTTTGGATATCCCAACCTAATGGTTGAGTCATAGAACTATGAGACCAACGCTCTAACCAACTGAGCCACGAAGACTTTTTTTGACCCATATCTTCGAAGGACCCGCCTCAGGACTCCGCCAGAGGCCAGAACCGGGAAGACCGGAACTGGAACTGAAGGGCCACGAAGAGGAAGGATTTCTAGATGGGGGAAGAGCAGGCGTCAGAACTTGTAAGTTTGATGACCTGTCTTGGTTGAAGTTTCGAAAGTTATTTGGACTTATAACTTGTATGGAGTGGGCAGAATTTGTATGCTATGATTCTGCAGAGGCACCAAGTGGGTACGTAGATTGGGCTAGTGGTTAGATCTGAGATCCACTGCATACTGGCATATTGGTTAAGGTCTACGGAATACATGATGGTGCGCAGTGAACGGATCCATAGATGGGTGTCAAAAGGTTGCGAGGCTAGCCCTGTGCAAGACATATTCGAACCAGATATACCATGGTCTTGGGACATAATAATTAGCAATTACATACATCAGGTAGGTACATATATAGGAATCGAGGAGATACAAGTATACAGAAATGACGGGCGGGATTGAAGATCGTTAAAAGGAGAATTCCCAAATAACCCAAGTGTCTCATATCATTGCATAAACCCGATCCAATGCATTTACATAGTAGGTAGGTAGTGATACGGGTATACGCATTACATTAAAGAAACCCACGTCATTTTTTCTAAGCCCCTCCATAGAGCTACTCAACCCCTCCAACCCTGTCTGTCGCAAAATTCTTAATTGATAGGAACCTACCTCACAACTCATAGCAAAGAGACACTTAGGCTTGAGGTCTTTATCTATATAGTTAAAATATTCAAATATTCCAGAATGCCTACGGAATTAGAAGAGGTACGATCAAGAAAAATCATATCGTCTTATTCTTGCTGATAATTTATTAGTTGGTTGGCTTCATTGCCGACCCTAAACCTGAGATTCGAGCTCTTGCGACGGAGCATCTAGTCCCCTATTCGACGTCTCAGCCCAGCATCTTCAAGGCGGATAATTCCAAGCCTATCAAAAATCTGAAGCTCTTAGTGAAAGATCATCCGGTATAAATCATTTTTCCAAGGTTAGAAGCAATTAAGAGCCATAACTAATATTACCGTAGAAAATTGCCGAGCATGTTATAACCATTCTCATCAACCTTGCGGCTGATCGAGAAATCCTGGAAAATTTAGCTACGGACGACAAGTTTTTAGATGAGGTTCTAAGACAGATAATTGTTAGTAGAGAAACGCATGACCGGCGGCTCAATTCAGATCCTTGTTGATCCGCTGAACACCCAGCTGATGCATGCATTAGATCGCAACCGAACCTAACGCAAATCTCCTTTCCATGCTTCTAGCAAATCTTTCAAAATGGGACTCCCTAAAGAGGGTATTGAATAAGAAGCAGCCATCGCCGGCTGAGCTTGGATCAAACGAGCTGGTTTTAAACCAGCTTGTCGACCTATTCGTCAAAGGCGCGGACGGGTCATATAACAAGAACGCAGATTTCGACCATTTGGCTTACGTCTTTGCTGATCTAACAAAACACGCCGAGGTCCGGCAATATTTCGTGCAGAAGCAAGAATATGATGGGGTGATACCTATTACAAAACTGAAGGTCTTCACCGAGTATAAGTCGAACGTCAGGCGGAAGGGAGTCGCTTCTACTCTAAAGAACGTCGCCTTTGATGTACCTTCGCACCCATCGTTTCTGTCGGAGGATGAAATCGATATCTTGCCATATGTGTTGCTACCGATGATGGGGAACGAGGAATACGACGAAGATGAGATGATGTCAATGCTTCCCGATCTTCAGCTTCTTCCTCCTGATAAACAGCGAGATGACGATCCGAACATCATTCAGACGCACGTCGAGACACTATTGCTTTTGTCGAGCACTAGGGAGGGTAGGGAACAGATGCGTAATGTCAAGGTATATCCAATCATTCGGGAAACACACCTGCGTGTTAACGATGAAGGCGTTCGAGATGCCTGCGAGCGGTTAGTTCAAGTTCTGATGCGTGATGAGGAAGATCCAGATAAGGTGGATCGTGTCAAGGAAATTGGAGAGGACGACCAAGACGGCAACGAAGAGGATGATGACCAAATCGTCGAGGTGTAGATCGCACAGCATGTGCGAACTTATTGATGCCCTATTGGTAAAATTGCCCTATGCCTGCTGAGAATTATTAGGGCCTATAGGGTTATTCGAGCCGTTTAGCTACCTCTGTCAAAACGGACCCCGGTGGCCTTCTGAAAGCAAGTCGCTCAGCTCGGATTCTCTAGCGGGTACACTGCGTCAAGATTATATTAGGTAGCCATACCCCCCTGGGCTTCCTGGTTAATGGTATGCCCTGAAAATGGGAGCTGTGGCTGACAGGTAGGAGGGCAGCATATTAAGTCACGCCCACTCTAGATTGTTTCCGTTGCATCAGCCAAGGCGAATCACGCGGTGCTAGTCTGCCGCCTCTGGTTCCTTGGAAATCATAACCCTCTAGAGTAGAGGGCTTATCCGAGTAGGTGCAGCAGCTAGCGTTAGGCTTTCAACACGCATATAATACCAAAATCGATACCGAGGACATTTTCACGAAGACGACTTACACGTGAAGAATTGTTAAGGGTTCTAGCCACCCGTTCCACGAAAATAGTAACTCGATTAATCCACACATACCACGACTTCCAGAACCCAGTACCATATCCGCCACGTCTAAACGCTTGGTCCTCGTAATTTCGAGGGTTGGGTAAAGCGGACCTGTGTTAAAGCTTCGGAAGGGGCAAGTTAACTACTACGGTAGTATTCGAGATCGAGGGCTGAAAGCTAACAAAACTCTACTAAATTGTGTCTGTGATTGGTCAACGTGGTCGGATTCGGCTAAAGGTAGGCCTTAATGTTATGAATCCTGAAACTTTTTTGTTTAACCTACCCGAGAGGGAGCCGTCAAGTCATTGTCGTAAGGACTCGGAACGCTCAAAAGTCGAGAGCGTGGACGAATTCTCGCACCTAATTGGTTCAATTGCAACCAGCCACTGAATATACAGACACAGCTCTTACTCATTAGATGTTGTAAAAGGGCTATTTTAGTTAACATCTATACGATCCACCTACGATTTATAGCAAGGTCGGTCGGTCGGCCAGTCCTGGTGTCTGCTCACTTGCGGAATCTGGTCTAATGGAAATTGATCATATCGAAAAAGACGTGTTACAAATTTCTAATAGAGCCGAGCCCAAACGAGACTACCCTAACCGAGGTCCCTCCCCATCGGATACCTATATGATGATCGGCTAAGTTCCAGGGGGTGTTATGGGTGTTGAAGAAGTGATGAGCAAGTATAAAAACTTATAACATACAAAGATATGTTGACGTAATTACGGGAACGGATAACAAGCATTTCTTGCCGTCTTGTCGTCAAGTCTTGGTCTCTTAGTGAAGTCTTGTTTCGACTTCCTGACAGCTTGGCGATGCTTAGATCGATGTTGGCATAGGACTAAGAATGGTTTACTTCAATGACATATTCCGTAATGTACCTAACAATCCCAATCCCTCAAAGATCCTTGATGGGGCGTGGTGCATGCGAGGCACCATATGCGAGAGGCCCCCATAATTACAAGGATAATGAGGAATGCAGGGATCATATAGGAGATACACCATCATTCGGAGCCGTTTACCTTTTCACTACCCTGGCCGCCATGCTGCGACTGACCCCACCGATTTACGAATTGAGGCGTCTTCCAGGGTTCTAACAACCCTGACGAATCAGATCGTCGGAGCCTCAACATGTGCTCTAAGCTACAACTCTAATTCGTCTTCAACCACCAACAACATCTACTCTGATTGGATAGAGTTACTACTCAATCAACCTTTTCAACCTGCCAGCTACGACTGCTACGACTGCTAAGCCGCTAATATCGGACATCTAAAGATTTTCATCAGCCTAGCCTCGTTCCCGCGTGCCATCAATCGTGAAAGCGTGGCCAAAAAACGGTCAGCTTCGGTTCCCCTTCGATTTAGCTTCCATGCGTTGGGTCCCTCGACGTCAAAAGATGATTCGTTTCTCGTCGGTCCTTTTGGACGTTAGAGATCTACCATCTCGATTCAGATGTTTGCCCGCTTGGGGCCACACAGTCCCGGGACATGTACGGAATACAGTCAAGTGTCTTCGTAGCTGAGCAATAGTCAAGATCAAATCTCACCAGTCTCGTCTGATACCTCGAGATACTCCCACGTAACGGATATTCATCTTACATGGAGATAACTGACATATTCCCTATGTCTCTAGCTGCATTAGTGCCCGTGAAAAACAAAAAGCAAACCAAGTAACGTGCAAGTAGAATCAAGGAAAGTCTACGTATTCGCAGGCGCACTCAAGTCTGCCCAATGCATCAAGCATGATGCAAAAGACCAGCCGCCCTTCTTATATGTATTATTATGTGTAATGGGTAGTAGTTGGAGCTGCTTGTGGCCACCGACGTTATGGGAGAATTACCCAAGTCTGGTCCGGTCTACAATATTGCACCCGCATTGCAGAGTTACTCTGATCCGTGCAGCCCGTGTTTTTATCTCATGTTAAACAGACTACCAATAGGCGTAGAAGTCCCGGAAGGGCCGCCCGGAGTGGTGGGATTGTAATACGTGGGTTCCCGTCCTAGGTACTGCGTCAAGCGTCAAGCATTACATACGGTCCACCCTATATACATCTCGCATGTTGTTGGTTAGCTGACTCGGCGTCCCCTGTCACAAAGAACTTGCATTATGCAAATCGCGGCCTACCTATAGCTAGCTAGGATCATAGATTGGTAAGAAAAGATACAAAAGCGCAGCACGTCCCTTCAGCTACAGACAAATTTACTTTTTTGGTTTCTGCTGTCAGCATCAAGTCCCTATCGGGTGACTGGCCCTCCCTTGCTTTTATTCTACTACCTGCTTTGCTTTTTACCTCGCGCATAGGTTAGGTAGATTTGGAGAATCTTAACCCTTGATCACCCCCCAGATCAGATCAGATCGATCACCAACCGAGCACGGACGACGCTCTCCTCATTCATTCCCACAACTATGGCTGACGCCGCGCCCGATATGGCGAATCCAGCGTTCACCTCAAAAAAGACTTCAGGCGGAAACAACGCTTATCACAACTTTCATAACGACTTCTTGCACATCCAAGATCCTAACGAGCGCCGTCGTCTCGCGCTCGCGGAGATCGATAAGGCGCCCTTCGGGTGGTACCATGTCAGGTAGGCACCCGTTCCCCGCGTCGCGGTAGTTAGTTAGTACATACTGCGAGAGGTTAACTAGTTGGTGATGCAGGGCTTGTATCGTCGCCGGTATTGGTTTCTTCACGGATTCTTACGATATCTTCGCCGTTAGCTTGCTAAACACTATGTTGGGAATCGTCTACTACCCGGAGCTGGGTAAGCTGCCTAACTCTTCCGATAACGCTATCAAGCTGTCGACGTCCGCCGGCACGGTTGTTGGGCAATTAGTTTTCGGTTGGCTTGCGGACCACGTTGGGCGAAAGCGTATGTACGGTCTCGAGTTGATCATCATCATCTTCGCAACCCTCGGCCAGGCCCTTAGCTCCGGTTCTCCTTCGGTTAATATCGTCGGTCTCATCATCTTCTGGCGTGTTATACTCGGCGTCGGTATTGGTGGAGATTACCCGCTGTCCAGTATCATCACCTCCGAATTCGCTACCACGAAATGGCGAGGAGCTATGATGGGTGCTGTCTTTGCCATGCAAGGTATTGGTCAGCTTGTCTGCGCATTCGTCATGTTATTCGTTACTCTGGGCTTCAGGGAAGCACTATCCGTTGCGCCGACTACCACCCAATGCGACGGCTACTGTGCCATCGCCGTCGATAAGATGTGGAGGACCCTGATCGGTTTCGGTGCTGTCCCGGCCTGCATTGCTCTCTACTACCGATTGACGATTCCCGAGACTCCTGTAAGTCATCTATACCGAACCGAGACGTGATGGACAGGATTTGCTGACATTAGTGTTAGCGTTACACCTTCGATATTGGCCGCGATGTCGAGAAGGCTGCCGACGATGTCAAGGCGTATATATCTGGCAAGCGAGAGGGCCACCCTGACGACGTCGCCCGAATCCAAGCTCGCGAGGCTGCCCAGGCCCAGATGACCGTCCCGAAAGCCAGCTGGAGCGACTTTTGTCGTCATTATTCTATCCCCAAGAACGGTCTACTCTTGTTCGGCACTGCTGGCTCGTGGTTCATGCTTGACGTAGCCTGTAAGTCGCCTTGAGATTCGATTAAAATTTAAAGAGACCAGCTAACAATATAACGTAGTCTACGGCTTATCTTTGAACAATGCTGTTATTCTAGATGTAATCGGCTATTCCACCGCGGGGGCCAAGAATGTCTACGAAATCTTGTACAATACAGCTATCGGTAACCTTATCATCGTCCTGGCTGGTGCCGTCCCGGGATACTGGGTCTCGGTCGCCACGCTCGACACGCTCGGCCGAAAGACCATCCAGATGGGCGGCTTCATCATCTTGACCATTCTCTTTGTCATCATGGGCTTTGCCTACAACCACATATCCAGCAACGGGCTGCTAGCCATCTACGTCCTCGCGCAGTTCTTTTTCAACTTCGGTCCCAACATGACTACCTTCATCGTCCCCGGCGAGGTATTCCCCACCCGCTACCGATCGACCTCGCACGGCATCTCGGCCGCCTCCGGCAAGATCGGCTCCATCATCGGCCAGGGCGCCATCTCCATCCTTCGGACGCGCGGAGGCACCCACGACAACCCGAACCCTTGGATGGACCACGTGCTCGAGATCTACGCCCTGTTCATGCTCCTCGGCATCGGCACCACCGTCTTCATCCCAGAGACCAAGCGCAAGACCCTCGAAGAGCTCTCGGGCGAGGACCAGCCTGCTGCGCCCTTGCCTACTGCTGCCGAGGCTAGCAGCCAGACCAAGACCGCGGAGTCTCTATAATTTCTTTCCTTTACGAATGTTTTGGTGCTTGTACGCGGACGCGAAGAACGTCGTGACGAAGTCGTGGGCTGGCCGTGCTGCGGTGAAGCTTCACAGAGATGAGGATCGTCTGTCATGCGAACGGGGGCGGTCTAATTGGCATGCGACGGCATTGATACGAATGACATATGTTCCTTTGTGTTTTTGTATCAATATAGATTAATATACCCGGTTCAATCATTACTTTTTTTTTTCCTATTCGTTTAGCTACCGACTGAAGGCATTTGCCCTATCTAATTCTTGTAGCTAACTCTGGTATATCATTTTCATACGCAACTTGACTACCTACCTAGGTAGCGAGTGATTGTGATATTGAAAAATGTGATATGCTAGTTTTTAAGAGAAGTTTGTTAGAATGGGAAAATAATTTCGAGGTTGGTAGGTAAGTGATGGGTTATTTATAGTTATGTCAATGTCAAGTCGATATGATTATACGTAGAGTTACTAGATAATGGGTTATATACGTGGGCATGGTTATTAGTTGGATAAAGCTAGGTACTCTCCTATCTATTGTTTCTACTAAGTCCTACTGGCACTTTTATTTCACCTTCCGCAACCAGAGTTAAGATGATGCGAGAACTTCCAGTATTTATTTATACAGCTGTTACATCCACTTTGGTTTTATCTACTATTGAATTAGACTCAGGTAGTTATAGGTATCATCTACAACTCCTAACACAAACACCGCGATGTGTAACAAGAGAGAGAGAGAGAGAGAGAGTAGCGACACTTACAGAAAGCGACGTAGTCTTTAATATGCTTGGCCTTGTCGAACGGCGCGGGATAGTACCACGCGGCATTCGCGAGCTCCGTGTCTACATATGTATATATATGCCGTCAGCCCGTCCTGTGATAACCTGATCGCTCACATTTTAAGGTAGGTAGTTGAGGTAGATATATATGTAGGTAGGTTGGTATGTATGTAGACGTACCCCCGACTTTAACCGTGTAGTAGTCCGCGTCGCCCTTCCAGCCGCAGTGCGTGTGCAGGTCTGTCTTGCTGAAGAACTCGGGCTTGAGGGACGAGGGCGGGAAGTACACGTTGCCCTCGACCAGCTCGTAGGTGTCGGACTCGGCGACTACGGTGCCGCCGACGGCGGCTTGGACGTGGCCGGAGGGCATGGCTGGATTGTTTGGACGTGTTTGGGTTTGGGTTTGGGTTTGGGGATCTTATGGTGGAAGTTGGTGGGTAAGGGTTGGAGTGTGAGTGAGTGCGTGAGTGAGATTGGGCTAGGAAGAAGCGTTTGTGGTAGGCAGTGGTACGATATAACGGTGCTGCATGGTGCTATATTATTATACAAGGTATCTATATGTGGACATTGGATATCAATAATGTGCTTCAATGCTGTGTTGCGGGGTAGTCAGCTTCTAGAAAGATTCCTTTATTTTTTGTAATAGTAGAGTTGAGTGGTGGTGGTATATGATGTATGCATGGCTGGCATGTGGTGTATTATAGAAGTACCTAAGTACCATTATAGCACTCAGGTTGTATGTATGCATCAATTGAGCATTTCACCAAAGCGAGGTTGTGGGGTATATGTGTACCGTATATATAGTGTAATCAACTACTCCTATTCACTGTGCAGTATAAAAGAGCAAAAAGAGTAAAGAGTCCGGCTAGCTGGTTTCTACTAGCGAATAACGGTCAACATATTTCCAAGAGCGGATATCTAAAACCCCGCTAGATTTTCTCCCGATGCCCGAGACGGATCCACGCTACTCCACCGTCTCCACCGTCTCCAGGCTTTCTCCAACCTCTCGGCCTTCGTTGCGACGCTAAAGGCTAGCCGATAGCCCAGAAACGAACCGAATGTCGGCAATATTTAATCTTGCATGTAAACATTTCGTATCTCGCATCGATTGATTCTAAACTTTTTACGTCTTTATAATCTCTTATATATTATATTTACTATCACGATAAACTATTGTTATCTATCGAATTACGGTGTCACGAGACGTGGTCCAAGTACGTCATTAAAGGAGTTGCTTAAAGAGTGTGTGTTCGCGATGGTGCTTTCAGGAGCTGAAGTCGCCAAGCACAACAGCAAGGAGTCTTGCTGGGTGATTATTCATGTAAGTTGGTTGAAGGCAGAGTGTCTCCTACGAGGAATCAATATCTCACCGACTTAATATCTTAGGGGAAAGCCTATGATGTCACTGAATTCTTACCTGGTTGGTGGCTCACAGCTTTCCATATTCCGTATATTAACACTACGAAACTAACTCATTTATAGAACATCCTGGTGGAATGGGCATCATCTTGAAGTATGCGGGTAAAGATGCGACTGAAGAATTCGACCCCATACATCCTCCGGATACCTTGGACAAGTATCTGGATAAGTCGAAACATCTAGGGCCTGTTGACATGAAAACTGTTGCCCAGATCAAGAAAGAAGATGATCCCGAGGAAGCTGAGCGGCAAAAGCGTATTGCGGATAAGCCACTATTATCACAATGCTATAATCTGATGGACTTCGAATCAGTTGCCAAGAGGATTATGAAGAGAAGTGCTTGGGGGTACTACTCCAGTGGTGCCGATGATGAGATAGTGAGTTCTTACTCACACCTAGACTACGTGTATATGCCCTAACCAAATCGACAAGACGCTCCGAGAAAACCACGAGGCCTTCCACAGGATATGGTTCAGACCCAGGATTCTAGTTGATGTCAAGAAAGTAGATTTCTCAACCACTATGCTCGGCGCCAAAGTCGACATTCCATTCTACGTCACGGCAACAGCACTGGGAAAGCTGGGACACCCGGAGGGCGAAGTGATATTAACCCGAGCCGCCAAGAGGCACAACGTCGTGCAGATGATCCCCACGTTAGCCTCGTGTTCATTCGATGAGATCGTAGATGCGGCGGAAGGGGGCCAGGTGCAGTGGCTGCAGCTGTACGTCAACTCGAACCGGGCGATCACCGAGCGCATCGTCCGACACGCCGAGAAGCGCGGGTGCAAGGGGCTATTCATCACGGTCGATGCGCCGCAATTAGGCAGGAGAGAAAAGGACATGCGGACCAAGTTCACGGACAAAGGGTCCAACGTCCAGTCCGGCCAGCAGACGGACAATTCGCAGGGTGCAGCGCGAGCTATTTCGTCGTTCATCGACCCTGGGCTCTCGTGGAAAGATATCCCGTGGTTCAAGTCTATTACTAAGATGCCCATCGTGCTGAAAGGCGTGCAGCGCGTCGAAGACGTCGTCAAGGCTATCGAGTACGGGGTCCAAGGAGTCGTGCTGTCGAACCACGGCGGGCGACAGCTAGATTTCGCGCGATCCGGTATCGAAATCCTGGCGGAGACGGTGCCGGTGCTGAGGGAACTGGGGCTGGAGGGCCGCATTGAGATTTTCGTAGACGGAGGTGTTCGCCGCGCTACCGATATTATCAAGGCGCTGTGCCTGGGTGCTAAGGGCGTAGGTATCGGCCGCCCGTTCCTCTACGCCATGTCCGCGTACGGCGTCGACGGCGTTGACCGCGCTATGCAGCTCCTCCGCGACGAGATGGAGATGGCGATGCGGCTGATCGGGTGCACCAGCGTCGACCAGTTTAATACGTCGCTCGTCGATACGCGAAACCTCGGTAGCCATGTTACGGGCGTGCCGCGAGACCACCTCGGCCATAGGGTGTATGACCCGCTCGTCACACCGGAGTTTAAGTCGCCTAAGTCGTCGAAGCTGTGAGACTGTGCAACTTGGGGGTGACTTTTGCCTTCTTGAAAAGTTTATGATGTTCGTATTTATCCGGGCCGTACTTACGTAGCATTTGTTTCCCGTCGTGCGGATTTTTGGATATACCGATTTAGCTTGTATGCGGGTTCAGATTGTATATAGGAGGTATGCTTGCGGCAAAGACCGCTTTGAATTAAATCTGTTACTTGGCCCCCTTTTCCTGGGCATGGCCAACGGGTCTGATTTGTCGACCTAGGCTAACCTCCCCTTTTTCATATCAGATGTTTCACCCTTGAACCGTGGCTGTCACGATTTGTTTTAAGATACTAATTTAGCTATTCATAGGTAGCAACTTACATAGTTTCATACTAAGTATTATCTTCACTTCTGCGTATTATGCCTTTCTATTTTTCATGCCCATTTTTGGCGAGGAGAATGTTTTTAGCTATCCGTATTCCGTATAGATCTGAATAATAAAGCTCCCATCCAGCATCGGAATAACTTAGTATGGACCATCTTCGACAAGAGGCTCGCTGCCTATTTCTCCACCGGGTCAAGCTTCGTAGCGACAAATGCCAAGTGTTCGAGATTTGGGGTTCGGGCAGCACGGTAATCCATTCTGAAAGGGTAATGCCCACGGATGAGGTGCCGTCATATCTTAAACACTACTCAGGGGTACCGGTTTTCAAGCTCGTCCAGTTCCCAGTTAGGATATTTTATAAATCTCACCGGCTACCGTACCAACAGTTGGCTTGGGTTCCGGATATACTTACCGACCTGGGCATCGAACCATATATGATCGGACTGTTGACACGAGGCCTGACGATGTTTGAGGCGGTGGAAAAGAATAGCCTGGAGTTAGGAAAGGTCCTTAGTATATTCATGAATGGTATCGATTCGCGTATGCTTGGTAAGTCGACGTCACATATAACAGACTCTAGTGTAATGATACAGTTCGAGGTAGCCTTCTTTTGAACATGTTATGCTCGAAGTATTACAGCCACTGTCGATCTATGTTGTATTAAAAAGTGAAAAGGGGGGGCCATTACCTGCTAACCATACTAGCAACTTATAACTTCGCCACGAAATCTACAACCTGTCTTCTGTTTACACTAGAGGAGAAGAGTTTGCATACGCAATACGAGTACATGGCGAAATTCCTGAGGCAGAGCGGTAGTCTTTATCAGAGTAGCTGCTTCTTACCGTTGCTCATCTTGATGGACCATGTAAGCCTCGTCCTAGACGGATTTGGTACTTTCTTCGGCTACGATCTGCAGCACGTCAAGGAGACGAATCTCCACGACTGGGAGACTTCCCGAATCAAGCTCCGGTGGGCTAAACATTACAACCACCTAGCCCACGACATTGCCGGCTACCTGCGGAAGAAGCTGGACGAAGATGTAACGCAAGGGGCCTCAACGTCGCCACAGGACGTCGCTATCCATGCCCAAATAAGAGACGCATTACACGTGCTGGAGCTGACGATTAACCCGGCTGCTCGAGGTATCGAATGGCACTTGCAGAGGAACGAGGACCACATGGGACAAGTAAGCACCCTCGCTCGGCTTACCACTAGTTTAACCTAGCGGTACAAAGGTATCTAACACAGACATCAATCTAGATTTCGCGTAAAATGATGCGGCAAGACACCATGGCAAGCATCAAGCTGAGCGGGGCCAGCATCGAGCTGGCCAAGACGGCGACGTTCGACAGCTCGTCGATGAAAGTAATCGCGGCGATGACGATGGTATTCCTACCGGGGATGTTCTTCGCGTCGCTATTTTCGGTGCCGTTGCTCCACTGGGACACGGAGGGCGTGGTGGGGGGTAACTTTTGGGTGTACTGGGCGTTTACCATCCCGTCTACCGTGCTGATTGTTATCTTGTGGCTTGTTATTACGCAGCGCAGACGAATGAGAGGGCTGTTCCGGCTGAATAAATACATACACTAGGTACGTGTAAATTATGAAGAAAGGTAGAATGTGTTGGTGTAATTACGTACAGTACGCATATTAGGTAATTGTTAAGTAGTACCACGTGACTCTAGTCAAACACACGGATTGAGGGGCTATGAGGTCACGTATGAGATAGCTTGTATCGGTGTATTTGCGAACCTTTTTTTATTTAACCTTTTACAACACACAATATTTCCGCAAGACGAGACGCCATCGTAAAGATAAGAAAAGAAGGGGCATCGCCATCTCATATGTATTTGTATCATATCTACCTAAAGTACACAGTTTCCATCTTCTAAATTCACATTGTTTTTACCATGTCAGCACTTTTACCTAGCACGTTTCTTTTCCCAAGTGAGATTGGTAGTGAGATTGGCGCCTGACAGGAGTCAATCTGTCAATCCTAGCTTATCAAAGTTTACCCCAGATCCTCGGATTCATTCGTCATTTATTGGACTCGGTCAGACGGTGTGACCTTTTAGGTACTACCCCAAGCAGCTCCGAAATTTCAAAAGAAACGCTTAAACGAGCCTTAGAAAAAAGAAGACCTACAATTCTCACCCATAGCATTTATAAACAGCAGCTTTCCATTACCTATCTACCTGTCTAACACAGCATCCCATCGAAATCATTCGACCGTGATAAGAAATCCCGATATAGACGTAACACGGCTTAATACGGCACGGGTGTCTCAGTGCAACACCATCCATCATCGCTCTCAGCCGCTTTCGAGAAGGAGCATGACGATCCAGACCCGCAACCCAAACTTCCAGAGTCCAAGTCATTCATCCTAGCATTTCCCTCCTAGTCTCCCCCAGCTTCCCCAGCACCTGCCATCCTACCATCCAAGTGCCCAGCCATTACTCGCATAGTCCTCCACTGAATGAAACCTTTCCTCAGTGGCTCCATTCTAACATATATTCCCCGACTTGACTCAACTCTAACCTAGGTCGACCCTCCACTACCGTAGCTTGACTACACAACATGTCCTCCCTTGAGGCCAAGATCGTCGTCCTCGGCTCCCAGGGCGTCGGCAAGACATCGCTAGTAACGCGGTATTGTAAAGGCGCCTTCAATCCCGCTCAGAATACTTCTACCGTTGGCGCTAGTTTTATGACCAAGAGGGTCCTCGACGGTGACACTGACACTGTCGTTCGATTACAGATATGGGATACAGGTACTACTTAATTCTCCACTTGTTACTTGTTCTTGTTACTTATATCTCAAATTACTTGAATACGAAAGCTAACCCCATGTAATTATAAAGCTGGACAGGAACGATTCCGTTCGATATCGCGGCTCTACTACCGCGGAGCTAACGCCTGTATCCTCTGCTACAGTATCACCGACGCCCAATCCTTCGCCGAGATGGGCGTGTGGCTGACGGAATTACGCCGTAATCTGCCACCCGATATCGTTCTCCACGTAGTAGGAACCAAGGCCGATATCGTCGCCCGCGACCCCACGCGTCGCGAAGTGCCTTTCGAACGGTGCATAGCATACGTCGCCGAGAACCTTGCCCCAGGCCTCGGATCGACACCACCACCAACCGCAACGCCATCAGGTCTAACTACCCTACCACTGGGACCAGGCGTGAGCCAGTCCAGCATAGTAGTCACGCCCGCCGCGTCGAGCGCCCAGGAACCCCGTAGCCCGAGTAGTAAACGAAGCAGCGGGTTCTGGGGCCAAGAGGTTGGCTGGGACGCTTGCCACGAGATCAGCGCCGAGAGCGGCGAGGGCGTGGAAGAGGTATTCCGGGTCGTGACGCGCAAGCTCGTCGAGCAGAACCGCAAGATGCAGCAGGCTATCCTAGCTGCCACCGCGACGCCCGGTACTCCCGGGTACGAGAGCGGTGTGGATGGGGGGTACTTCGACGGCGCAAACCCCCGCGGTAGCTTCCGCGTCGGCAAAGATCGTCGGAGTTGGCTGTTTTCCTCCCCGAACTTCTCGCCGGCTGTTACGGTGGAAAATCCGAATGCGGGCGGTGCGGAACACCAGGGACAAGGAGAAGAGCAGGGACGGAGGGGGAGACGGTGTTGTTGATGGCCCAGTTATCTTAATGGAACTGCGAGGGACTACGAAAGCATGACCGATTCTTATTTAACAACAGTCGTATTAAAGGTGGCCTTCTACGGGCCTAGGGGGCGGTAGTCTTTTTCAGATCACTGCTTGGTCTAGGTAAAAGAGGTTTCCACGACATTATATAGTCAAGGAAGGGTGATGAAATATCGTCTATCGACATCAAGCACGGCGTTTGGAAATGCATATTTAGGGTCGGCATCCGGGTTCAGGTCCGGTCAGGGTCAGGGTCAGGTCAGGTTAGGTTAGGTTGGTCTCGGATCCTGGAGTTTGTGTATGCATTGCCGTGGTTCCTGGTCACGAGGAGCATATCGATTGGTTCTTTACGCGATACGAATGGATTATGAATTGTTATTATTCCTGGTCACTTGGCTCTTCACTGTTGTTGCATGTTTTGTTCGTTGGGCTGTTGCTTGTGGTGCATTTTGGTTGGTGATTTGCATGTGGTATCTCTGGAAGGGGCACCTATCTATGTAGCTCGAGGAATAATTAGTTATTCTTAGCGGTATGGAGTTATGTATGTGCATGCTTAGTCCTGATTGCAACGAATATAATTCAAAGCTCGTGGAGGAATTGTACACAATTAGCCCCTTCTCAAATTCCAAGCATTGTCGTTAGGATTCAAATTTCGAGTTGAGCAGTAGCTCACATCAACGCTACATAACTCATCTATATACACCATCTATTTCATAGTTTCCGTCACCCTTTTAAACAACGAACCTCTTATGCCGAACTCCCCTGTCCCTGTTCCTGTCCCTGTTCTTGCTCCCGCTCTTGTCTCCCCTTCTTCGACTTATCCACATCATCATCCACCCTCGGCAGCGCCGGTATCTCCACGCCCATAACCCTGTACTCGAGACCTATATACGCGTCGCTCAGGACCAGGATATCGACCTTTCTCGCGTTCCCGTCCTTATCGGGGCTAGGGAGGCGCAGCGTAGTTTTGGCCGTGGGCTTGGAGCCGATTTGCACGGCGTTGGATTTCGCGTTGGTGCTGCTGCTGTTGGTCTTGGATTTACCCTTGGAGCTGGAGCCGGGCCCCTGCTGGCTCCAGGAGACGCGCTTTACGCCTAGGACCTCGTCGCGCGCGGCGTCGCAGACGATGGCGAACCAGCCCTCCGTCTGGGGCTTGGGATACCGCGGGGCGTAGACGCGGGCCTCGCGCTCGACGACGGGGTTAAGGCGCTTGAGCGAGACGCTGAGGGATTGCGCTGTTACGTCCTCGACTTTGACGCTGACGTTGGGTAGGATGGAGGCTGCGCGGACGAAGTGGCTTTGCTGGGAGCTTGGGATGCTGAGTTTCCGAGCGAGGTCCTCGACCTGTGGTCGGGGGAGGCTGCTTAGCTTTTGGAGGGAAGTCTTGTTATCTTTCAAATTATCGTGGCTGGTTCCTGGGAGGATGGATAGGGGCGGGTCTTGTGGCCAACGAGCGGATTTGACGCACTGAAGCAGCTTGATCATTTCGAGACAGCTGGATAGATATCCTAGCTCTGTCAAGACGTCAATCGACGCCTGGATGATACGAATCGCCTGATCCAAAACACTTGTCTGATCACCGACGTAATCCGTAATAGGAAGATCGACACGAGCCATGTGTGCTTGTAGAAGCAGGAAGGCTTTAACGTGAGGGTCCCACATCGGTAGGCCAAAACTACTACCTTCGAACGGTAAATTCTTGGATAATTCCGCATTGATAAGATCTTCGTTGTGTCGAACAGGGAGCTCGTCGTATTCTGTCGCGCGGGACATCCAGGATAAGACATCCAAGAAGCTTGCTTTTGGCTTTGCATTCTTAACCAGATGACGGATCGTCTTATGCGACAGGTAGTAATAACTCATGATCTTACCCAGGGGAGTAGGGTCCACATCGCCATTAGGGTATATTTCAACACACTTCGAAGCGGCGAGTTCATCTAACGATTTGCTGACCATGTCAATCATAAAGTCGTTTGCAAGCTGTTGGGCAGCAATAGTGTTATGCTCCTCGGAGGAGATCTCAAGCCCATAGTACGAAGGGTTCTTATGCAACCGGCGGAAAAAGAAAGTCCAAGTTAGATAGTCGAGTGCGTCTTGCTTAGTTGTAATCGTTTCGGCTGATACTTCAGCACACAAATGGTTGTCAAGGACCGTATGTAACGACGATTCGACGGGGAAACCAGTGTGTAAGAAGTGCTTGTAGAAATCCTTCTTTGAGTCTTGAGTGAAGATGCGCGCGACACCAGAGTTGTCAAATTGCGGACGACCGGCTCGACCTAACATTTGCAATACATCTGTCAGGTCCATATCTTTGTAGCCTTCAATCTTTGCGTCGTAGAACTGTGTGCCCTTGACGACGACCAGATGGGCGGGAAGGTTAACACCCCAGGCCAGCGTACTCGTTGCGACCAGGATCTGTATCTTGTTGTTCAGGAAAAGCTCTTCGGCCAGCTGCCGATCAGATTCGACGAGACCTGCATGATGAAGCCCAATACCAAAGTTAATCGCCTCCTTGAGTGCATCATCCTTAACCCTGCTGAGATTGAGCTGAAGGTCCTCTTCCGACATATTGACGAATCTCCTGGGATTGTCTTCCATCCCACAATAGTTGATCAGGTCTTTCGCAGTCAGTCTAGTCTGCCGTCGTGATGGCACGAAGACGATGACAGGCTTATCAGGACTGTGGGTTTTGATAGCTAAGAAAGTTGGCCGGTTCATAGACTGCATCAGGGGGCAGAATCCTCTTACTTCGGGAAACCCGTCGATGTATAGCTCCAATGGTACCGGTCGTACAGAGTGACGGAAGTTGAATAGACCTTCCTTTACCCCAAGCCAGTTCGCCAGATCTGTTGCGTTTGCGCAGGCAGTGGACATTCCGAGAAGTCTCACGGCATTATTGGTAGATTGGGCGATGTAATTCATACGGGACACGATAATCTCGAGAATCGGGCCTCGGTCGCCGGCAAGCAGGTGGATTTCGTCAATGATTACAAGTGAAACTTGACGAACATACCCTCGAGTTTGCCAACTACGAGAGATACCGTCCCACTTCTCGGGCGTGGTGATAATGACATCGGCGTCCTTGATAGTCCTCGTATCCGGCGTGTTATCACCCGTCAACTCAACCAACTTGAGACCAAGAGGTCCGGCAAGTCGAGCGCCCCAGTCCTTTACTCGCTCGCGGACTAGAGCTTTCATCGGAGCGATGTACACAACCTTGGAACCCGGGCGCTCGCGGAACGCCCACCACATCGCCAACTCTGCTGCGACGGTCTTGCCACTACCAGTAGGCGACCCTAATAGGACATTAGCTGGCGTGTGATAAAGCGTGTGAAATATCTGCGATTGCATTGGATTGAAGTATTGAAACCTCTTCGCATAGATCTCTTCCAAGCCTGCGTTCTTCAGGGCGCTAATGGGTAGCGGCTGCAAGTTGAGTAGATCCGTATACACGCTCTCCGTATCTGGGCGGATAAGATGCTGGAAAGAGACCGGGTTTACTGTCTCTGCTCCAAGCCATTTGTCCGATACTGCCCTGACATATATCTGGTTTGGTAGAGGGTCCGATAGAGGGATTGTGAAATTGAGTTCGTGATCATCGTAAAGCTTTCTCCTATTAAGTATGAAGAACTCGTGGTGGTAGATTTCGGACGTCTCGGAATTCTCGACCCAGATATAGAAAGATTCGGATGTTCCGTGTATCTGGTCGCTCCAGGTGAATTCTGGAGTGACATAAAGCTTGACCCTCAAAACATCTCGGTTTAAAGGGGCAATCTCGGCTTCTACTGATACGGTTGGGAAATGGTCGAGAATCCTCCCTATCTTTTTGCCAGCGTTATGGTTATGGACTAGACTACCAATTTCGGCATTCTCCATATCGCGTAAGACTTCGATAGGGGTATCCTTCTCATCGATTTGGTTGAGTACCGACTTAGGTAGGTCAAATTGATGCAATGGATGCTGGAATGGCCAGACACGCTTCTCGATGGACTTTGCGAGGGTCAGCAAAACCAGACATTGATGACCCCATCGTCGATTCAACGCAATCTGAAACAAGGCGCGACAAATTCTCCCAGACTGCTGGGCCACGTAGTTCAGATCATTGGACAATGCAAAGTCATCCAGCTGTGCCCGAGAGATATAGGACTGCAGCAGGATGTTTGTCTTTGCTTGGGGCGTATCAATTCCACGACCGGGATCGCAAAAGACCACATCCTCATTATGTCTTAGCCTAGTCAATTCGTCGGCTTCGCTGTCTCTGGACTGTATGTTGTCAAACTCTCCACTCTCGCTGATCATCTTCAAGTTGTCTGCTTCTGTTGCCTGAGGTTTCATTAATGTATTGAAGATTTGTATACTTGTCTGCTGAATATAGTATTGGCTGGCAATGCGGCCAATGTCCTTGCTTCTCAGTTCCTCTGTGATCTCGTTGAAAATAATCATTTGACTTTGCTGCAATACTTTAGCTGCCTGGATAGCAAGCTGTCGTCGCCTCTGGACAAGATTTGGGTCGTCTCTAATCTCAGCCCATTCGATCCCGTAAGTCATGGGACTTCTTAGCATTCGAACGAAGAGATATGAGTAGCCGATCCATTGGACTGCTTCCGGGATGGAGGTAACGGTGCCTAGGGCAATCTCGGCATTTAAATTGTCGACTAACTTTGAAGAAAACTTTGATTCGATAGGCTGCTGTGCGGTGACTGACCGCCGGTAATGATCCAACTTATCTTGTGTTGTACAAATCATACCAATACCAGTATCCTCGAACTGGGGTCGTCCAGCACGACCGAATATTTGGAGGACGTCGAGGATACCTAAATCTATGAATTTTCCATCTTGTGCACTGTAGACTTGCGTCCCTTTGATAATAACAGCAGCAGCCGGTAAGTTAACACCCCATGCAAGTGTTGCTGTACAACAGAGCACCTTCATGACACCCTCAGCAAACAGTTTTTCCATGAGGTTCCTATCCGATCGAGTCAGACCGGCGTGGTGTATACCTAGCCCCTTGGGCACTAGGTCCCTAAGTTCACGCGCCTTTGAAGACTTCATGTCTCGGATGGCTTGTTCGTAGTACGGATGTTCCATAGAATCAAAAAGATCCGTACAATTGTCCTCGGTAGCTTTTTTATGAAGCATTTTAGCAGTGAGAAGAGTGTCTCTCCTTGAATGGACAAATACCATAACTTGATGGCCTTCGATTAGCATGTCTTTGACCTTTTCAAAAGCTACTGTGTCAAGATTATCTCTGGACTGCCTCGAGCCAGCTTTGCCTTTAACCCCTATAAAGTGTTGCTCGAGAGGAACTGGGCGAAAGGAGCCGTCGAAGTAGAAAAGACCGGCATATCTGTTAACCTTGAGGAAGTCGGCAACGTCGACATAGTTTGGAAGGGTAGCACTAAGTCCGACAATGCGGATTAACGATTGGGTACTCTCAACTTGACGTTCGGTACGCGCTACTAGGGACTCCAAAACAGCTCCTCGCTCATCGTGAAGCATGTGAACTTCGTCGATGATGAGCAACCGAACCTTTTGGACGAGTTCAGTATCCCCAGTACCCTTTCTCGTGACGACATCCCACTTTTCAGGGGTAGTAACGATGATTTGCGTTTGCACGATCTCGGATTTGGTAAGGTGCATATCTCCCGTAAACTCGCGGCAGCGTATACCGAGCCATGCGAGACGCTTTCCCAGCTTCTCGGTGATTTCCGCAGCAAGGGCTTTCATCGGGGCGACGTACACGATCTTGAAATCTTGGGTATCAACAGCAAAATCTGTTGCTTCCGTGTTCTCAATGGGATTTGGTGTTACGTATTGGCTGATCGTTTGTAATATTGTCAGCATAGCCGCATCTGTCTTACCTGCACCGGTAGGAGCGCAGATCAACATATTTTCGCTGGTCTTGTAGGCTACCGGATGGACTAGACTCTGCATCCTGTTTAGCGTCTTGTAGCCCTTGAATGTTCGCCGGCAAAGACCGTCCATGTCGGATATCTTAACAAGCTTCTGTCCAGGAAGAAGCGTGCCGGTTTTCCCAGCAGGAACTATAAATTCCTCATACTTGTCATGTATTTTCCGCTCGGTACCATCTGGCATACCATACTTGCTTCCGGTATGGCTTAAGGTATTGCCTGCGTTATATGCTTTGTATATGTGCGGATATTGTGTCTCCTTATGCATACTAGGAGCTAGAGCAGCATTCTTATGCTCAAAGTCCTTCTGTCGAAGAGCTTCATCTCTTTCTGCTTTAGTCAAGAGTCGGCCAGTTGGCTTCTGCGTCTCCTGGGTGGCAAAGCTTGAGGTGATTTCGTGCCTGCGAGATAGCACTTCAATGATGAAATCGAAGTCATCAAACCCAACAAGATCAGTGAGCGAGGATTGTAAGTCGTCCTCGGACCGCTGAGATGCTAAGATTTCTAGAATCTGTGTTTGGAAGACATCCGAAGACAAGCCGTTCTTGGTAGCGATAGTGAAACACTGTTCTGTGAACCATGTCAAGCCGGAGCTGCCGCTATCGACCTGACCATTAGATTCCTCGAGAGAATCACTACTGTACAAGTCTTCCTCGCTATCATCTATGAAGTCCCAGACGTCGTCGCCACTATTGCCGGATATGAAGTCTTCATCGTCCAGATCGAGGTCTAAGTCCAGTTCTGCTTCGACGTGATGTTTCTTTTCAGGTAGCTTCAAGTTTTCGATGGCAGTTTTCATGGCGGCAAACTGCTCGCGCCACCTGGCTTCCGCCTCACTCATAGAAGATGACATTTTGAGTGCAATGATCCGTAGTGAACTAGGCTATAAGTTGATCTATAAGTTGTTAGATATTTCTTAGGTAGGTAGTTGTATCAATTTCAAAGCTGTTAGGATGTGGTCTATCCTATTTTTCTTAGAGCCGTGATTACATACAAACGGGTTCTTGATGACTATTACGCCGATGACTACCTGCTGCGGCTAGGTATCTAATAGTTGAATCTCCTCTACATAGTAATATACATGATAACACTTAACGAGGTTTGGGTGTGAAAAGGTGATGCACATACACTAGCCTAGAAATCATGATGCATGTATGATTGGACAAGGAGGGTATCGAAGTACCTAACCCTAAGTGGTACCTACCTCATGCAAATTGTGGGGCTCGAATGTAACACAACGACCTGCCTGCCTGCTTAGAGGGAGGTCAATATGTACAGATTACGATCTAGGTAGCTAATGTTTCTGTTGCCACTGCAACGGAATTTCCACTTCTTCAACTCTTTTTATCAACACGATCAATCCCCCGCTATATTTTTTTCAACCACCGTGCGTGTTCCCAATTTCGTCTACTATCGCTAGACCTGCTGGTGGCGGTTTAATAGCTTTGGTGACGTTCCGAGTTTATTCCATTCTACGTCACCAAGACAGAAATATCTTGGTGTGCCTAGCGGGCATCGCTCAATATTAGGCTTAGGTGTTAAACTGTGCGAAATCACAAAGTCACAAAGGGCCTTTGTTATTCCATATACTCTTTCCATACACTCTTCAAGCTTGTAATATTTAATACAAGATAGTCCGTGACTATCTATAAGCTATCCCGCAATGTCCGACTCAGAGAGCCTCGACTATCTTCAGCCAGGCTTCGATGCGAAGACCCTTACAGTCCCCCGGCTACGATCGATTCTAGTTGCACACAATGTTTCATATGCATCCAGCGCAAAAAAAGCACAATTGATCGAAATTTTTAATGATCAGATTGTGCCCCAGTCAAAGAAAATCTTAGCTGCACGCGCACGAGCAAAGCGCTCAAGCAAGGGCATTGTTGATGCAGAGTCACAAAGCAGCAGCAATCCCTTTGAGGAGCAGGAAGAACTTGCACCACCTCCGCGTACCACTCGTCGATCAAGGTCGCCTAGGAAGGCACCTACCAGAATCAAGACAGAAGAACCCGAAGATCAACCAATGCCGCCGCCGACCCCAAGTCCTACTAAACGAAAGCCTCGCGCTACAAGCCGCCCGGTTCAGACTTCGGATACGGATACCGGCCCGGAGCCTGACAATGGCAGAACGCTCAGTAGAGTCGGACGGCCTGTTCTTGCGCCTCGAATTAAGACTGAGGAATCTAACGAAGGCTTTTTTCAACGAACTTCGGATGCTTTCACCAATGATAACCCCTTCCAAAGTGGCAGTTCTCCATCTGTTGTGGATAACACCCCGAGTGTACGTCGAAGAACAGCCGGACCTGACAAGCCGCGAAGCCTTAGTAGAGGCGCGCGAAGGCGAACGGAGGGCCATACTGCTCCTGCTCCTAAGGAAGAGTCACCCGGCGTGCCTATGAATTTCAACCCTCCCTTGCCTCGGAAATCATATCTAAAGGCCCCAGAGACGCCCGTAGTCGAGGCCGGGGAAGAATTCACCCCAGAAGAGCAACTTGATCTTATCTCAGACGAAGCCGTAAACGGGCGCGATGCTGTCGCTACTCGGCAACCCCGACGTCAGTCAAATAAGACCGGAGGTGGCACAATTTTGTCTATATTCTTTGCCACGCTCCTAAGTGTCTACGCTGGGTGGTATCGTCAGGAAAAGATCGCAGTAGGTTACTGCGGCGTTGGTAAAGTTGGAAGCTCGATTCCTAATGAGATCGAAACACCGGAATGGGCGCAGTCGGTACTGCCACCTCAAATTACGGTCCCGCAGTCTGTCATAGACACCCTAGAGCCCGAGTGCGAGCCATGTCCCCCTCATGCCTATTGCTATGCCGACTTTTCCGTACGGTGTGAGCAGGACTATCTCCTCAAGCCTCACCCTCTATCACTAGGTGGTGTGATCCCTCTTCCTCCCACCTGTGAGCCTGACGGTGTCAAGGTCCGACGGGTACAGGCAGTGGCAGATAAGGCAATCGAAGAGCTTCGCGAACGAACCGCCAAGTACGAATGCGGTGAGCCTATCGACGAAGAAGGTACAAAGCTTGAGACACCGGCGATTGAGGAGCAAGAGCTGAAGGAGATTATCAATAGGAAGAGAAACAAGAAGATGAACAATCAAGAATTTGAGGATCTCTGGGGATCTGCGCTTGGCGAGATTAAAGCCAGAGAGGAAGTGGAAGTCAAGGAGTAAGTAAAATATCTTTGAGTACCTATTACTTTTTGTACTTTCTTAGTATAGTATATCTCATGGAAGATGTTTGTATCACAAGTTAAGAAGTCTGACCATTCGACTAACCAGAGTCCCTCCGGCCACCTTAGAATTCCCGATTCCGGAAGTGTTCCAAACACCTACTTCACGTCCACCTCTCTCGCTCGAATTTCAATCACCTGCGCCGTCCGCAGATCAATCCGACTCGGGCTGGCAAGATATCGATTCCATATTAGCGTCGTGATCGCCCTGATCGTGACAGCGATTTATGCACAGTCTCAATTCAAGGCTAACCGTGCAGCAGCAGCTCAGGTACCGGCCTTAGTCGACCTAGTGCTTGAAAGGTTAGCGAACCAGAAGCAACTGGGAGATGAGGGCATTGATGATCCGTGGCTTTTCCTCCCGAACCTCCGTGACGATGTTCTGAGATCGGTTCATTCGCTCTCGCGACGCGAGAAGATCTGGCGGAGAGTCAAGGCAGTCGTCGAGCAGAACAGCAATGTTCGGACTGGCCAGCGGGAGGGACGCAGCGGCGAGGTCGGCAGGGCATGGGAGTGGATTGGCCCAATGGCTGGAGACCATAGCGCCAGGCGACGGAAGAGCGGACGCACATCATTCGGACCGGACGCGGGTGTGGATTCACCGAGTAACGGAGCGGGAGATAATGCGGCCCACGCACGACACCAGAAGTGGGAGGAACCGAGACCTATCTACTAATGTAAGGGGTTTCAGATGGAGACCATGTGGGATAGACGGACGAGCAGTTATTCAGTTGGCTGGCGTTTTAGGCTTTGCTCATTGGTACCTTGTAACTTGACGCGACGGCTACGTGCAATCAATTTATGGCATTCTCCTTTGTAAACAAGCTAGTTTAGGTACCTAAGGTACTCTATTATGTCTGTCTACCTATCTAATGTAACCTGTGATACGACCGACCTTCCCCCATTCTCTCTGCCTTGCGTCTTACGCTCTACGAGTAAATGGTGGCGTTTCCAACCCGCAATTTATATATATAGAGGCACAGCCGGCACTATCTCGCACCACCTGACCTTAGGTAGATTATATACCTCCATCCATGTGATGTGAACTTGAAACAGCTCACGCTCCGTGCCGCGTAGCACTCGAAGCAGAAATAACTCGGCCAAGATGGCCTAGTGTTTCACGGATACGACGACTCTTATTCGTCTAGGTTATGTGTCTTTGAAGGTTTCTAATTATGGGATTAGGTAGGGGCTGGGGTTTATTGGTTAGGTAGGTGTGTACGAAGTAATGGGCGAGGATGTGCCCAATATGCGTGTCGGTGGATGGATAGACGAGACGCTATACAGACAAGCAGGATGAATGTCAGAAATGATAAATCAAGTGTCGTCTATAGATGCTTGGAGTAGGTAGGAATCTTGACATTTCTAAAATCTATAAGTTACAAAGTCTATTGGATGGAATAATTTACTTAGAAGAGCAGTCTATAAGTGGTATCAGAAACAAGAATCTCAAGGTCAGAATTTATACAATTAATTCCCTCCCGCTACTATCCAAGTACTATACACAGCACGGACCTTGCTCTTTCTTTGCTCTTTGCTCGGAAACCCGTGGGGATAGATCGCGTAAGAGAGATTAGCTGTTAGATACATGGCCTTAGACCTAGATAGATGTGTAGATACAAGCCACCTCCCCTCATTATATCGCACAACTACGACGCAACTACTACACCACGTCACATCTCCTCTCCTCTCCTCTCCTCTTACACCTTTCTCGCTCTCGAGCACGCCACTCGAGCACGATCGACAAAAATAGACAAACAAAAACAGCTAGATCGGAACACGGTGTCGGGAGCAAAGCCAGTCGCCATCGCCTTGGGGACGGAGTCTAGTGGTATCATGCAAAATGAACGGATAACGAAAAGAGGCAGCCGAAAAGAATAAGTATAAAAGTGTAAATGAATATTGCTGATGACGAGTGTCGAGAAAATACCGTGGCGCCGCCGATCTCTAGTAGGACGCACAACGTTGGAGCAATGTACAGCATGCTGTAATTATTGAAAGTCGAATATAAAATTGTATATGTTCAAGGTTTAAAAAAAAAAAATGCCGGCGGCTGCGCCTTTCAAATGCGAAGAAGGGTTTGCAAGTTTGTTGCGGTGATATATCCATAGGTTTATGCTGAGCTGCGTCTGGGCAGCTTTGTGGTAAATGACGTCTGAACGAATGTGCGCTTTTCCGATTGACCCCTTTTTTTCTTCCCTTGGGCGTTGTGAAGACTCGTCTATCTCTGGCCTAGCCTCCGAGCCCGAATCCAGAACTTTTGCTCCTTAAATGAGAATGGGTATAAGCGAAGGTCATGAACGGTTTCGTAAGAGTATCATTAATGTGACGAGCAATTGAAAGAGAACAACAGTCTTGCAGTATGTCGAAGGATTATTTAAACGACTGGTTGTTGTTGTTGTTGTTGTTGTCTCCTAAGTTCAGCCAACTCAAGTCGTTCGAATTAGATGCCGTATCCAATGGCGGCTGTTTAGAAATACCAGTTGGAGGTTTATTTGAATCAGGAGGCCCAAGAACTGTCTGATAGATGCTCTGGCTATAAGTACTACTCGGAGCTCGCACATCACCCCAAGCCTTTTTCGCCGTTGCCGGATCCCAAGTATCATGGACACTGGCCGGGATACCACTAGAATATCCCGAGGACGATGCAGTGGATATGGGTCGTTCTATTTGGCCGGACATTCCCTCGATGTGAAGATTCTGCTGCGAGATCGTTGGGCTGCTTGAGTTGACCTGGTTCAGTTCCGGCCGTCCTTGTGGGACTTGTAAGGCCGGTATGGATAAGGCTGGTACGGTGGCAGAGTCTTGCGTTAGGCGGTTTTTATCTGAGTAGAAAGAACTTGGTCCAGAACCATTTTCACGCTGCGAGTTGCTATTCCCGAGGCCAAGAACGGACAGCGCGCTGCCGTCAGACCAGTATCGATTCCAACCAGAGCTCCTTCTCATAGTATCATCTACATTATCTCCTGCTGCCCGAGGTCGCGGCTTCGGCTCGTTCGCGTCGGCAGCAAAGGACACGCCCTTTTCATCCATTGAGAGGAACTCCGGCTCCGGATTCGTTTGAGGCTGCGGCCGGCTAATAGTACTCTTGAATTGCTTACTAAAGATGCTGTTGACAGAGCTGCGCTTCGTTTCGTTGCTCGTTTTGCGCTGTACAGCAGGCTTCTGCACTTTACCCATCAAGATGGCCATTGATGAGAATGAACCTACAGAATCCTGTGGAACGTGCCCCCGGAAATGTCCACCCGAAGTGTTCGCAACTTCGCGTTCGAATTCAGCCTTCTCATCCGGTATTCCACTGGCTCTTCGCGCTTGTCCTACATCAGCATGATTTTGCCGCTTCCGAAGATGCTTGATCCAGAATAGCAAGCACAGTAAGATAATCGCGAAGCCAAAGATAGTCCCAAGCACTATGCCGAGTAAAGTTGTCGGAGGAAGTATGCTGTCTTCAGCTGCAGGCGCAGTAGAAACAGGAGTAGTAGCGGCCGCAGTAGGAGCTTCAGTTGAGGTGCTAGAGGGCGCAAGAGTGGAGGAAGAGGCCGATGATGAGGTTGAAGATGTCGACTCGATCAAAAACCCTTTTTGCTGCCCAAGCACGGCCGTGGCGTTCTTCCATGTGTTCTGTTTCGCATTGAACATGCACAATATCTCGTCATCATTCCCACCTGAGATTACTACCAAACCATTTGCATCAGTAGCTAAGGAATAGTCGGTTCGTGTGCTTTGCGGCGCTAGAGTTGAGTTATATTTCGGCCAGTTATCCGCAGTAAGGGCTCGCTTCTCTTCCTGTAACGCGCGGCCCGAAACGGTCGTTCCGGCTGGAGCCGCGTCGGCTATAGGGAGACCATTGCTAGTCAACAACATCGTCCTGTTGACCGTGTTCGGCGAGGTGGTCATATCAAACGTATAGAGATGTTTGCTACCATCGTCACCGGCCATGATAGCCGCCTTCATGTACGTGGAATTCTTAGCTAATGGCTCTGCTAAGGTTATTCCTGGATCAACCCATGAGGCAACTGGATCAAAAAGCATCACCCGCGTGTTCGTCGGGTTGCCACCGATCATGACCGCTTGTGTTTCCGACCATGGGAGAATTAATGGCGCGACTCCCGGTGGGGAGAGGGTAGACTGAAATGCCAGCACAGAGTACGGCTCAGATGCCCCGATTGTGAAGGTCTGAGAAGATAACTCCGGTTTTCCGTCGGTCGATCCCGAGTAGACCAAAATCGTATCACTGCCGTTGATGTACGCCGCGCTGTGGTATACCCGATTCTGCGTCACATTTACCTCCGGGACTATATTCTCCCATTTTTTAGTCGAGTATGTAAACTTTTGAAGACCCGGATAGTCGGATGATTTCGATGTTCCACCAACAACAAATAGCGCGGCCTTCGAGGAATCTTTTGGCGTCGATCCAACACAGACGGCACCTTCAACTGACTGTCCACTGGCTAGTTTTTTCCATTCTGCCCCTTCCTCTAGTTTTAACGACTCGAGTCCAGCGGCCGAGTAGGAGTATAAAGTATTATCGAATATAACGCTGCAGGCGCCCGTTAACGGCAACAGCGGTTCTGGAAGTGACATGGTATGATATAAAACTCCAACAAACCCAACGCGATGACTCCGAATAAATGAGCGACAATGAGACCAAATACAGTGGCCTCCAGATTACCGTCGCTTATCAAAAGGTCATGATCATCTGTTAAGTTAAAAGAGCGGAAGGGAGGCTGGTATTGTTGGAGTTGGCTGTCGGTATTATGTCTTAATTAGGGAAGTGTAGCACGATGTCTATAACACCGGTCGGGAGACAAATATGCAACGCTATTAAATCCAAATAGTGATCTCTTGATCGTATTGAAATTGGTGATGAAGAGAGACCAAACTGCTTGACTTAGTTTGAGGAACTACTGGAGTAATCCGATGCCGAAGGGAAGCTTGTCACTGTCGAGATACTGGCTAGAGCTTTGCGATGTATAGCAAAGGCTAACTCGATGCTAGAAGGCCGGCCCACGTAGGACAATATGATCTGCAGAACAAAGTTTGGTGGTTCCCTAAGAAAAGAAAAAGATGTTTCCTTCCCGTAGTCAAATGGAGAAGACAGAGCGAGAGAAGGGTGGAAACGGTCGATCTCTCTCCTGACGGGCGTGGTGTCGCAGGTTGTCAAGGTATCTAAAACCTAGCGGATCAATATACGCCTCCGGCAGGTAGTTGCTTAGTTGCTTTGCCTAAAAGTGCAACCCACTTCCGTAGTAGTAGGATGGATTATTTAGATGTGCCGCAATATCGAAATATTCATGCGCCAGCCTAGATGTAAAAGGGGAGGTTTACAGAAAGATTATGGAAGGCGACGATTAAACGGCTGGTGGATTAAAACGCTGACGAGCGAATCCTGTGGAGTGAAGGATGGATGAAGGAAGACAAGGAGAGGATGCCACAGCGATGGGATGGTCCCGAAAGAGAGGCAAGCTGTAGCAGCAAGAGAGAGAGCAAGGCTTCGGCGAGCTGCTCAAAAGAAAGAGAACGTATGAGAGGGCGAAAGATAGTTACACTCTCTGTTTGCGGTCGAGCACTTTCGATGAGAAGGACGGGAATACGACAGGGGAAGCGGACCAGGACCCCCCGGGCGATTGTGGGCCTTCCATATGCTGATCGAATAGGAAGATAGCAATCGTCAGGGGACAAGCGATTGAAAGGTGAGCTATTGAGATAGCGTCAGGTACCTCCAACGACCAAGATACGTCTAAAATACGTCTCTCAGGGCGGGAATAGGCTGATAAGTTAGGCGCTGCAATGTACCCCAACGGGGCTGCAGTACATGCAATTACCCTGTGGCTGGGCATGTAAAGCGTGCCATACGTAGTGGATTCAGTACTACATGAAGTTCAGTGGTTCAATGTTGCTAGCAGAAAAAGGGGTAGACTTCTCTTTTAACCCCTGCTCATACGACCATCTGGTGGAGAGACTTTCTCGCGTGGTTGTGGGTTCGAGCGAAGGATCCAGCGGGCAATTTGGCCTCGTTTCGCTCAGTCCGAGGTTGTTTGTTTGTTTGTTTCTTGACGAGGTTATTCAGCATGTTTAGTTTAGCGGTATATCTCAGTTTGCAATAGCACCTAGTTATATGTCATTGCTTTCTCTATAGTTATGTATAAAATGATACATTGTAAGATGATACATCTGTCTAGGTCGTGCGGAACATTAAGTTTTGAATGACCTCGCATAAAAGGACGAAAGGTTGGGGGCAGTAAGAAGTGAGAAGTTACTGGATAAAACGAACGATAGAATTGTCCAATGGAACCCAACTTTCATAGCATGATCTTTGGATACGTCGTTTCCTACAAATAAGCTTTACCTATTAGAGTTCAAACACAACGGGCACTAACCTATAAAAGAAGGCGTACATATTGTGAAACTCTAACCCCACCACGTACCGAATTCATAGTGCAATGGTGTGCAGTGCTTTGCAGTACCTGCTGTGCCTGCTGTGCGCCGGGCACCTCGTGTGCGACACTCGATTGGCCACTGAAGAATCCGGTAGTATTCGTCGGAAATCGCTACCGATTAATTTATTATTTTGATCTTGCAGTCTTGCAGTCTTGCTTACTGGGCAATAACTGTTTGAATATGCAGTTACCATCGCTGAATTCTGCTGCTTTTAGCTTAGATACCTATGTTCTCTGTTGCAACTACCTAACCTATAACATTTACATAGGTGCTATACACTAAATTTATAGCGTTCTGACAGACGAAGGGAGTTATGCCTAAAAAGCCGTTTGCTTCAGAATAATTATGTGGTTTTGTCATGTTTGCCCAAGCCCCAAGCCCCAACGACCCTGAACATGCGACGACTTCTATTCTAGGCTAAGACGGCTAAGAAGCCATGTCTCATCTTTAAATTCATGCTGACTTTTATGCACCATTCTATTCATATCGTACTAGTCGAATATCGCATTTACTGTCATACTATGTACCTAGGTAGGTACAACAAAAGAAGTTATCCATTTACTACATGTAATCAGAAACTTCAGCGACGATAATATTTCCACAACTGGTGGTCGCAAATGCTCAAAACTGTTCCCGCGCTTCGGGAATGACGAGTGGTCGAGTGGTCGCAGAGGGGGCCAAATTTAAAAGAAAAGGACAGGCATGTCGTCATCCCGTAATAATTTATTCCAGCAGCATAATGGATCTCTACCGGGGACCACGCAAATCTACAGGGTCTATCGAGATGAGGCATGACTGCTGCAAGCTGCAGGCTGCAGGCCACACCACTGCTATGTATTCGTAAGCGCCGAGCTGCGAAACATCGCCAATTGTCACCCCAAAATGCCTTCTTTCATGCCAATTCCGCTTATTTCTCTCCGGGCGCCAGCCAACTGAAAAAGCGCGCGGTATCAAATCTTATTGAGCACATGGGCATTGGTTGCTTTTTATCCATTGGCTCTGGTATCTTCCTGATAGTTACATTACCGGCAACTGGGTTAGGTATTTATTTACATTTCATTGGTATCAGCGGCCATCTACATCAACGATACTAGTCTACTTCACGAGATAAATAGGGAATATCTATAAGCGCGTCAAATATTTGCTTATTGCCTGATTTATTCTTCACACGCGAAACTTCGCCAAGGCGTAGCTGAACCCGGCGATTTCTGACCTCTAGTCAATAAGAACTCGACATCCACGTGTTTCCGTATAGGAAGTCTCAGTCTGACCGAGGGAGTCGTCTCTAGACTCGAGAATTCCGCTTTGACCTCGCTTTCTTGAGGTCATGACCTGACTCCTTTCTGTATATACATAGCTACGCGCAGACGTAACTTGCCCAGCGAGATCCCATAATCATTGTACAACGTAAAGACTCTTAAACCATGAACTCCTTAGCCTATGCAGCACTTCTGCGAGTGAAAATTCCGAGCCAACCCAATCTGAACCCCGTCATCAGTTCTATTGAGACGCCGTAGCGAAAGCATTGGCTGGTAATTGCGCCTATTACATCGTTAATTAACTCAAATTTCATCAATGCTATACGGGACATACTTACTCTTTTTTCGTTAAACATAAGAAGGGCTTGATCAAAGTTCCAGTTGGCCCCGTCCAAACAGAACTTCGAGTATTCCGGAGTCATACCCGTTCGGTTGCAAAGCTCAATCACCATTTGTTGCTGCAAGTCTACGCTCGGCTGTGCTATCGGCTGCGCTACTGGTTGGACTACCGGTTGGGCCGTCGGTTCCGGCGTTGAACCTGGCGGCGGACTGAATGCTCTGACGGAAAGCATATCGCTGATGACACGTATAGGATTTCTACCTGGAACACCAGGACCTAGGACGAAAGTACGAGAGAAGCTTCGCTTGGCCGTCTTCATAGTACCAGGCTCTTGATCCTCAAATTCTCCATGTATGGTAATGATCATTCCATCTACGCCCACCGGGCTTTGGCCAGCTGGGTCGGAGAGACCATGGACAGGATGGCAATCGACAATGTACTTGTTGAATTCAGCCACTAGATCAGGGTGCCGCGTAGGAGGTAGCTGTTGCCATGCGCTTTGAATAAAATGTGTTCCAACGAATAAACGTTGTATTCTAGTAGAGGTATAGGTAACCTTGTTGTGATTACGGGAGAATTTGATATATGCGCCCCAACCGGGTGTCTGAGTGCTTTGTGGGTGTGGAGAGCTGTTGATGACAGCAATAGAAAAAGTGCTTTCGTTGTCGTAGTACTTAGCCGCCAAATTATGTCGATCAACATCATACATTGACATGAACTCCCTAATGAAGCCTTCGCCAATGCCATTGATATCCCGAAAGTCGGCGCCGTGCTGTGGGATGGGAGTAGGCCGAGACGCGGCTTCCATTGCGGCGATTTGTGCCAGGGTCCTAACCTGGATGCCGCTAAGGTTTTGTAGTCGGGGAAACCAGTTTGTTAGCTCTGCTGCGTAGTTGGGATTCGCCGCCTCGATAGGGTTGTCATTCAGGAGGAGAGTTTCGAGCTTCCTAAGGCGATATCGCCACTTTTGAAGACCCTTTAAATCCTTGAAGTGGTTTCGGCTCAAGTCCAAGTTGACTAAGTCGGGGAAGGTTTCAGTCAAGGACATGATCTGAAAGACGTCGTCGATGTTGTTGCCGGCGAGGCTGACACTAACGACGGCGTCTCGTTTATCCTGAGCCGTCTTAAATAACCCATCACAAACAGCCATTAGTGCGCGAAACAGCTTCTCAGGTTTACTCTCGCCACTGAAGAAGCCCATCTGGTTGAGCCCGGCATCTTCGCCGAGGGCAGATAGATTTAGTAGCTTCGCGCTACCGTCGTATCGGAGGCTAAGGACGTTACGAAGCACTTCTTTTACCTCGAGAGCGGTCGAGGACATATTATTCTGGCTAGCCGGGGGCAATTCGCCCGGTGCTTCTGTGATAGTAAGGGTTGTACCGGCAAATGCGAATCCATTCAGCTTAAGAATTTCTTCCCCGTCTTCCTTGCTTGTGATGATATATACAAAGTCACCATTGATGTGTGACTGCTAGACGTTAGCAAGGTAATGAAACCTTGATAATGCTCTAGGAATCCGGGATAGGTATGCGGCTCGGTTCAAGATTGTCTCTCCTCGTTTTTGCGAGCTATACGGCATGATAACGAATGCGGAGAATTTGTGTCGCTGCGTAACCCCCCAGATTCTCGGACGGAATGCTATCACATACCTTCTTAATCCTTATGCTTCGTGTAGTCTTCGAGACGGCCTGAGCTTTTCGTTCCAGGAAGGTCAACAGCTCTTTGAGGCCGCCTCCTTCGTTACCGGCCGCCTTGCTGGATTTGAGACCCTGAACTTGGAGTGTCATCGTATTCGGCGCGTTGACTTGGCGGATGCCTTTAAAGGCTTTAGCCCCTCCAGACATTCCGGTAGCGATGCGGGAAGAGAGGCTACCGCCAGCAGTTCCGTTGAAGACGCGTTGTATTATTTGTTGTGTCTTCACGTTTGGTCTCGGTGCGCGGGATCCGCTCGGTGCCGATCTTGTGGATCGAGGTGTTGTGGTAGGATCGTGCGCTTCGGTACGCTTCGCCTTCCGAGGGTTACGGTTGGCCGCACCGGGAACATCCATATCAAGGTCGCCATCTTTGTCCACTCTGCCTGAAGTATTGCCACGACGCTTAGATATTCCACCTCTGGAAGCCGCATTCGCACTATTTGTTCCACTTCGAGTGTTGCGTGGGCCAGTAGGGGCAGATCCCTTTCGGGGACCAGAGGGCGCCATCGTTCGTTGTATGAGAAGTGAGCGAAAACCGCGAAAACTCTGCGTAGAGAAACAGATTCGGAGGCGATAAGAGGTGTGGAGGTTGCTACTCTATTAGAGGAGCAAAGAAGTGGCTGTAAATGATCTGGAGATGACGCTTTATGAATGGTTGTAGAAAAGTCGTCAATAATTGACGATCTTCAGGCAAGGCTGGCAAACCATGAATTGCAGATGGACGGATGGCGTTGCCTAGAAAAGGTTGTTGTAGTTGCGAAAGTTGTGAACCCACCCGAGGCAAGTCAAGAGATTGAAGTAAAGGCAAAAAATAATTCCCCTCGCAGTAATTTTTTACGAGAGAAATGGTAGAATAAGCCTTTAGGTTCGTCGCATCCTTTGGGGGGATAAAGAAGGGAAAGATGAAAGATGTAAAACTAAAGGCTGTGACGTCGAAACAAAGGCTGACGAGAAATCAAGACACCAGAGGTTGATACCTAGCGCGCACAGACCATTTATGATGACTGATACGTACCTAGGTATGTTGAGATTGACTCACAGGTACCAGCCTACCTAACTGGAGGTCAGCAGTTGCTTCAGCCACAAATCCAATTTTCTAGAAGTAACGACTGTACGGGCAGTTTGCACCGATAGGGGATAGGTACATATTTGCTTAGGTAATATACACATTAATATACATAACCTAGATAATTGAAGCTGAAGCCACCAGAATTACATTGTAACAGCCACAATATTCACATGACTTCGCGACATTTCAATGCCAATTATTTTATAGTCGCACCTGTTACACCCACATTAACGCGTTTGACGCACATCAGCCCCCAACGCATGTTCAGTGACTTCCAAACAAAGGACCTATAAGAAAGGGCTTATGACAAAAGGCTTATTAAATATTCAATAGTCGCCTCCCAGTCTGTCTATCTAGGTAATTATGTGATAATTACCTAGTTAACCTATTAAAAACAACCTAAACTATGGATTCGGATGAATTCGACGACGATATTGCTGACGAAGATCTTATCATCGCCGCCAGTCAGGTACCAGTTCCAGGTCGTAGTCAACCTGCCAAGATCAACCAAGGCCGATTTCAACCCCACGTCCAACGGCCACCAGTTCAAGGGAATAATACCAATTCAATTCACACAAGCTCATTGGTATGAATATCTTTATTTATATTTACTTGTGACTATGAATAACCTCGAGCTATGGTATTATGACTGTTATGGTTATTGGTGTTGCTCAACAATATCTCAGTTTAGTATTTCGAAGGACCGCACTAATATATATTTCAGCAGCGATCAAATTCTAATGGGCAATCTTTCATTGACCTTGATGACCTGCCTTCAGATGCATTCTCAAGTCCACTAGCAAATCCTCAGTCTGTGTCTCAGAAGGGACCAGCAGGCTTTCTGCAGCCACAACGTATTGGTGACCCAGTGCCTGCCTATCGACAGACCACCTTATTTGGTCAAACAATTCAACGAGATCCTGGCCCCGGATCTTCTCAGTCCAATAGAAATAGAGCGTTCCGTGTGGATTTACCACCTGAGCCGCCAACTCATCATGAACTGGACTTGGATGCCATGAAAACCTGGGTTTATCCTACAAACTTGGGGCCTACTCGAGACTACCAGTTCAGCATCGTTAAGAATGGTCTGTTCAACAACACCCTCGTCGCCCTCCCTACGGGATTGGGCAAAACGTTTATTGCAGCTACTATCATGTTAAATTACTATCGCTGGATGAAATCCGCCAAGATTGTGTTTGTGGCCCCTACCAAACCGCTTGTATCGCAGCAGATCGATGCGTGTTTCCACATCGCCGGTATTCCAAGATCGCAGACAACCTTGCTTACAGGAGAGATAGCGCCAGCTCTTCGAGCAGAAGAGTGGGGGTCTAAAAGGGTCTTCTTTATGACTCCGCAAACGTTGGAGAACGATTTATCTTCAGGGTACGCAGATCCCAAGTCAATTGGCTTACTAGTGGTAGACGAAGCCCACAGGGCTACAGGGCATTATTCCTATGTAAATGTCGTCAACTTTTTAAGACGATTCACTAGTAGCTTTCGCGTACTTGCTCTGACAGCAACTCCTGGATCTAAGGTTGAATCGGTGCAGGAGGTTATCGACAACCTCGCCATTTCACATGTGGAAATTCGCACCGAGGAATCCATGGATATCCGCCAATACGTTCACCAGAGAGATGAAGATATTGTTCTGCTAGATCCGTCAGATGAGATGAATTTTATCAGAGACCTATTTTCGAAAGCCTTAAAGCCGCTTGTGGACAAGTTAAGTCAGCAGAACATTTACTATGGTCGTGACCCGATGAGTCTCACAACGTACGGTCTCCTTCAAGCTAGGAAAGACTGGATGGCTCGTGCTGGACGAAATGTCAACCAAGGGGTAAAATTCATGACCATGGCAATATTCGCTGTTTTAACAAGTCTAGCCCATGGCATCAAACTACTGAATTTCCACGGTATTAAGCCGTTTTATGACAGCTTGGTCCAATTTCGGGACGAAACAGAGGGGAAGGGCGAGAAAGGTTCCAAATATAAGAAGCAGATCATCGAATCTCCCAGTTTTCAGGAAATGATGGATAAAATCGCCAGCTGGTCGAAGAAGGATGGTTTTGTCAGCCACCCAAAACTCACATATCTGTCCGATACAGTCTTGAACCACTTTATGGACGCAGGTGAGGGTCGAGAAGGCGGTTCTACGAATACCAGAATCATAGTCTTCAGTGAATATCGCGACAGCGCCGAGGAAATCGTACGGGTCCTTAATATTCACAAGCCACTTATCCGCGCCGCAGTTTTCGTTGGGCAAGCAGACTCGAAAAGATCAGGAGGCATGAAACAGGCCGAGCAGATCGAACGAATAAAGAAATTCAAGGATGGTGAATTCAATGTCCTTGTCGCCACCTCGATCGGTGAGGAAGGACTAGATATTGGTCAAGTAGATCTAATTGTATGTTACGATGCGTCCGCATCACCGATTCGAATGCTTCAGAGAATGGGACGAACCGGAAGAAAGCGCGCAGGACGTGTTGTTTTACTCCTGATGCGAGGGAAAGAGGAGGATAATTACGCAAAGTCTAAAGACGGTTACGAGAAGATGCAGCTTATGATATGCGACGGAAGCCGCTTCAACTTTCGTCATGACCTCTCCACAAGGATTGTCCCAAGAGATATCCGCCCCGAAGTTGATATGAGAGCTGTAGAGATCCCCGTGGAAAATACCCAGGCTGAAGGTCTCCCTGAGCCAAAGAAAGGAAAGCCGCGAAAGAAGAAGCCACCCAAGAAGTTTCATATGCCTGATGGAGTCGAGACTGGCTTCACGAGTGTTGCTTCGCTACTAGGGAAGAAGTCAGAAACCAAAAAGGCAAAGGAAATCCCCGTACCCGTACCCGTACCAGTTGAAGAGGATGAGGTTGTCGATATACCGGCTCTTGACCGAATATTACTCGACAAAAACCAAATTGAAGAGTTACATAAGAAATACAAGAGTCTCTCATACCACCGAGACTCGATGGAAGACATTGAACAAGTGGATTTGGCCGCAAATCCTACCGCGCAGAGAGCATTACGGAAGACCGTATACGTGAAGCACGGGGCGTACACGAAGCGTTGCGTGAAGTTGTTCAAGACGTTCGCGAGATCACAGTCTCCTTCAGACCGCTTCAATAAACCGTACGATGAAGCAGATGCGCGTCGTTACCGTCGACTGCCACTTCCAAACTACGGACCCAGTTCGGATGGCGACACCGCAGACGAACCAGCGCGTAAAAAGAGAAAGATGACATCTCCCATTCAAGAGGAAGATGTCGAAGTCGAGGAGTTGCCAGCCGCTCCGTCTCGCCCACCGCGGCCGAAGAAAACCTCTCTGCCCGCGAAACGGAAGCCCCGCGCTCGAGCACACTCCCCAGAAGAAGCTGACGACAGCGAAGACGTGGAGGAACTTCCACCGCCCCCCAAGAAACGTACCGCTAAGTCAAAAACAAAGATTTCGGCTCCGGGACAACAACGCGGGCGGCCGAAAAAGACTACACGGGCCCCGGCAGTCTACGACGAGAGTGCCGACGAAGGCGATGATTGCCGCCGCACCAGTGACCTGGATCTAACAGACGATTCGGATGACGGTGCCGACCTAGTAGGGTTCGTCGTCGCAGACGAAATGGCGACATCGAGCAACCCAGCCCCGACCTCCTCTCTGCCACGGAGAAACCGGCGCTCGGCATCGCCCACCTCGCCATCTACGCCATCTACCATCGGCGGCCGTTCTGCAAAGCAGCAGAAGAAATCGTTGTACTATGAGCCTACGCGCTTCGATGCCACGCAGGACAGCGCCGACGACAGCATCCCGTCCATGAGCCAACTCGTCAGGCAGAAACAAACTTCAAAAAACCCTACTACTGCTCGCAAGGAGTCAGGTGGTGGTGGCGACGAGGAGGAGAGCGAGGACGATATCCCCGTTCGGAAACGCGCGCGTGCTGCGAGAAAAGGGACGAATAATAGGAGGGCTGGGCCGTTTATACTCGAAGATGATGACGACGACGACGACGATGATGATGATGAAATAATCGAGGAAAGCGATGGGTATTAATGAATAGTTAGAGAAATGGATCCTCATATTGTTCTTCTTCTTCTTCTTCTCCTCTTGGCTTACACCATCCTATGTAGGAAAGACCTGACTCTCTAAACCACCTAACATCCCGCCTCTCTAGGTTAGCTATTACCATCCCCCTTAATAAAAAAGTGACAATTTCCACTACATCCGTACTTTTCATCGTGCATAACCAATGATATATATAATATATAATCATATACCTACCTACCTACCTACCTATCGCCCGTCAGTCACATTATATTGGCAACCCGATGCCAGATCAAACGCCTAGTTCTTTGCTACGTAGTTCCCACGTACGACGTGATATTAACTGAGCATAACACTACGAAAATTAAACCAAGCCAAGCCGTAACATGGTAAGTACCTAACTAACATAGTATGGGTGCATCGGCGACACTCTCCTCATGCAGCGCGATTATTCAGAACCCCTGTGACTACCTACTATGCTGCCTACCTACCTACCTAAGGTATTTACCACCTATGTCCTCAGACTACTGATTGTGTTTTGACTTACTTAGGTAGTTATACCCAACTCCCACCTCCTTTATACCTATCTATCGGTTATAGCTACCTACCTACCTACCCAACGTTGGCATTCCATCCCCCCTTTCTTCAAAACAGGCAGACTCAACGAGTAGTCGCAGCTCCAATTCAAGTCACGTCTTCGCTTTGCCTATTCTCGCCAGATATCCAAAATCCATGTTGAATATGTTTCCATTTCAATTAAAACTACCCTAATCCTGAACCAGCCAATCCCAGCCATACCTTCAAGATCCCAAACATGAACGAAACAAACATATGTCAACTCGTCCTAGTCTAACTACTACACTACCGTTTCCATCATCATGCCAACGATATACTTACATCTACTCGACTAGCTAGCCGTCATATCGCTCAAAAATATCAATATCAACCCCAACTCCAACCAGGTATAAGAACAATGCTCATGGATGACTTCGGTATATCTTCGTCTTCCCAAGCTTCGGAAACAACCAGCTTTAACAACGCCTATGATATAGACCAGCGTCATACTCTACTCCGGCAGGTGTCAAACTGATGAGGTTGCCGACCACAACATGCACACGGTGTCGTGAACCGCGGGTCATCGATTCGTAACACGTCAATACGCCAATCCATCCCCTCTTCGAATCTCAATGCAAAAGCGATAATATCAGGTCCAGTTTCGTGTTCCGGCTGCGCTTCGCATCTCAAGCAGCCACGCTTCTACCCATTGTAGTGCCCCAGCGAAATCTTCTCAGAGTTCCACTGCCGCTTCTAATCACATCTCTTCCGCAATTGCTTCCGTCGGCTACAGCGCTAGCATTGGTGCCCAGACTGCCGAGGGTTTCCTGGCGACCTACTTCTCTTCCGATAACATAGCCTGCCCCGAATCCTACGACGGAGACAAGAACCACAACGCCGGCACTTACAACCCATGTCAGGAGGGTTGGGCTAATAAGAGTATCCTCGCCCGAAGCCACGCTGATCTTCTTTTTCTTAGTTGCTCGCGGCGATTTTGTAGCGGGAGTGGGTGTGGCCGTTCGCTTAACCTTTTCGCCACCCAATTCGCGAGCCGTAGTCGCTGGGGGATTGGTTCCAGAAGGTTGACCAGATCTTGTCTGGGCCGGCGGCGGCGGTGGGGCCATTAGTTCGCTCTCGGGAACGAAGCGCAGTTCCACAGGTTGGCTACCAGTGGCTGCAGGAGAACGTTCATCCATTTGTTTTTCGCCTTCCTTGGTTCGCTTACCCGCTGCAGCTGCACAGCTAAGCAGGGTTGTCAAACTGGCACGCAGTGCCGCATCGTTATCAGCCTGATAGTGTGGCGATATAAAATTAGGGGAGCGACGGTCGATGCGAGTCTGGGATCGCTGGCCGAAGGATGGCCGGTGATGCTGAGGGATAGTCGAGCTCGCTGAGTGTCGGTGGGTCAAATGCGACGGCGGGTGCGAGAATGCATTTGGCTGAGGTTGAAACGGCTCCGAAGGGCATTGAGCCAGTGCCGTCGCACGATCGTCATCGTCACTAGAGTCGTCCTCAACGGGCTGAGCCGAGTGTCGCAGAGGAGTGGTCCCGGTAGGTCGAGGGGAGGCAATATACTCAGCAGAGCTGGTTAAAACTCGGTCGTCCTCGCTCTCGCTCTCTTCGTACTCCTCTTGACTGCTGCTTGCACCAGCATGGCCAGCCTGGGCGGCAACAAAAGTGGGTTGTCGGGCGTCGGGTCGGGCATAAGACTGCGGATGTAAACGTCGTCGCCTTCGAGCATTGTAAGAGGAGCCCACTTGTAGCCCCGTAACGACGATCTCGTCTCCGATAGACGAGACGGAAGACGAGGAAGGGTGCGAGGCCACCTCAACCCATGATTCTGATATGGTTAGGTTTGGTTCATGGCGGTATAATAGGTTAGACTTACCATCATTTCGTTGGCGCTGTTGGTCGGATGCAGGCCGCATTGCAGCAGCAGCAGAATTAGCGACCCGCTGAGAGTCGTTGCTACGTTGCCAGTTACGCCCCGACATCTTGTTTATAAAACAAAACAAAATGAAATGAAATGAAATAAAATACGACGGCTCAAGAAAAGTTGATAACAAAAAGGTAAAAGACGGCCGGGATAGATGCTTAGATAAACTGATAAACCAAGATAGATGACGGACGTCGACGGTTAGGGTTAGGCAGGTAAGTTCGAGAGTAACAGTTCAGTATTGACAGGTAAGTCAACTAATGACAGGCACTGACAATGAGCGCTGTTTACCGACCCTGCGACCGTCGGCGATTAGGTAGGCTGGAAGGCTTAGGGAGGCTTGAGAGATTTGGGAAGGTTTGGGGGGATTTGGGGGCACCAAGTTGCCGTCCTCCGTCTCCAACAAGAAGCCAGCAAAGGAATGCCCCGCCTGCCCGCGCTCACTGAAGCAGGGATCCGCTGATACGTGTTAGTTCATTCGTGCCAGGTATTATATTGTACAATACATGCATAGAAAGGGTAGAAGGGTTTATGTAATGCATGTATTGTATTGTATTGATTGCACACGTACGCTTCCAAGTTTGAAGATAGGCTCAAGCCGTCAGGGTGTCGAACAAGAAAAACCGGGAGGTCGAATCAACCGGACGATTCAACTCGAAAAGAGCCAAGGGATGAGGAATCTGGGTTCATAATAGGATGGTTGGACGCGTGGGATGTTCCTAAAACGAACGTCGAATGATACTGGCTAGGTACCTAAGGTAAGTAGGTAGGTTAGGTCATATACTAATGGTTGAGGTCACACGCAAAAAGGAGGTACGAGTTGGAACAAGTGACAGAATGGTGGAATGATAAGAAGAGAAAGTCGTCTTTGTTTCTAAAATGTTACAATTCTCCTTATTGCCTTATTGCCTTAGACAGAACAAGACTCCGGGCGTGTCTTAAGTCCGCTATCGCAATCGGCCAGTTTGTGGAAATGAGATTTTGGCGGGGTGCTAACAATACCTCTTGAGTCTTTAATGGTAAGAAAGGGACGTTTATCATTGCTGATGACGATATCCCAACCAACCGTTAGAAGGAAAATAGGTAAGTACCTACCTAAGGTACCTAGGCTAGGTTAGGTTAGCTGGTTAGGTACTTCTCCGAGTACGAAGCGAAGGGGGTAGGGGTTACTATACATATTTGGAATAGCGTCTTGGCAGATCTTGCCAATAACGTGCGCGGACAATACAATATGAGATGGGCCCACTAATTTATTTAAATCATTACTGTTACAGAGGTATGTATCACTTGCACTTGCCCAAACTCTTCCAAGCCTATGTACTGGTGCAACAGAGATCATCCCATATAAACATCTGACTGCTCATATATCTTCATATATCTGTCTATTCGTATACGCATTAGGTAGTAGATAGGCTGATAGGGAGGTAAGTACGTAACGTGCTAAGCATTCCCGAGACATAGAGTCACCACTTATATAGGTTTGATACCAAACTCTATATAGTAGATAATACCATCGGATCACGGGTCGGGCAGTGCAAATGTCACCAGCCCGCTATCACCAGCCCCCTAGAAGAACTGCAGGTGGTCATAGATGTGTCAGGCACATCTACACCACGCCTTATTTGGCACGCTAGCCCATCATGCTTACGCATATCGGTATATCTAAACTTAGTTTGAATCTCCAAGACATTCGCTCTACCTACCTAGTTGCCTTCGTATAATAAGGAACAGATAAAAGTCACAGCAAAGACATAATAAAACATAAACGAGTAGGACAACTTACTCTCAATAAGACTATAACCATACGATAAACATGCGAGAAAAAGGCAATACGTTACTAATGCCCAGTCACGTCACCAAAACTAAATATCAATCATTCCCATCAACGTCAGCTTGGATCTCACCTCTCGCATATATAGCGTATTTTCTGATAAGCTGAGGTTAATAATCCCAGCATAAAAGTAAACTGTAACAATACGCCAATGACAACACTTATGTAATCAAGAAGCTACCAGATATCATGTTTTAAGTCAGTTTCCTATGAATAGGGGCCTAGCTAATAACCCAGTATACTAGTATACTAGTGCTTTCATTAACCCATGCCCTCTCAAGAATAGGGGATAGGCATACCCTCCTCGAATAGACCTAACATCTAACGGGTTGCTATACAGGATAGCTATATCGTATCCTGACGAGTACATCGTAAATCTTGAGTCGGCTGGACTAATGGGTAGACTTTATTAGAGACGCTCGAATTAGCTGCCGTAATAGTATAATAGTGCATAATCTACTGGAATCCTCGATAGAGAATAACTTTGTTGACCTCCTCAGTGATAAGGTATAAATAATACCACTATAAATTTCTATCCTCCTACGTAAATATGGACTGCTTTTCGTGCCACACTAAACCTTACCGCGGGTAAATACTCCTAATATTTTCAGAGCGAATCTCTAAGTTCTAGCCCTTAACTAAGCCTACTAGTTACAAATACCTGCCTATTATATTACAAATAAGTGTAAATACTATGCCGTTGCATGGATTATGTGTCAAGAGTTCAAGCAAGAAGCATGGAAATAACTTCATTACTTTGTAGGGAGCTAAGAACCTAACTATAAAAGCTTGAGCTATACATACAACGTATCCTTTGTTCTAGATGCCTCATCAAGAATTCTAACCCTATAACCCTCGCTGGCCAATGCGGTTACGAGTTTGCTATCAAGCCATAAGCAAAATACAGCTTATGTTTACAAATACCTAGCCTCTTACATACCCCTTATTGAGGCATGTACGTAGACCTTCTTTAATTGCTTCTCTGCCCAGAAGCTGGCGTAAGTCCGGACGTATCGCTTCATGTCCCAATGAAACCTAGATTGAGACGGCGACTAATATATCTCGGTCATCGATACCCATCATCAAAGCAGCCATGATCCATCTCGGTAATCAAAAGTGGAGCTACCAGATAGTCGACTCAAAATTGAAGATCTATGAGAACTTGATTGATCAAGATTGTCATATACGACGATGAGCTCCGCCATAGTAATGGTTGACCCAAGCCGCACACACCATGAGGCTGCCCTACAGGTGAACGTGCAGCTGGTAACGCGAAGCCGAAAAATTCGCTACAACCGATTGATGACTTGTAATTCCCATTTAGTCTCTGTATGACTCGAAATGGTTCACCCAGTCGGTGTATATGAACAATAGGGTTATCGTCACCTCTTCTGTCTTCGGTATATCTATCCAGCCGATAGGGTTTCTCCTTTTTTTCCTAACAGCCTCGGTTATTATTTACGTCAGTATGGTTAAGGGTTCATACGTACATCTAGTGGATTCCATTGGTAGGAAATGTTTTTTATGTTCAAGTAGTTAATGCCACTTTTAGAACCTGCTGTGTAGAGGGAAGAATTCGAAGTTGATCTTGTAATTGCAATGACCGAGTCCCCGAAGGAGTTATAGATTTCGAACACTTGGCCATTCCTTTCGTATTTGTTGTCCTTCTGTGTAGATAAAGTCACCAAGAAGGCAGTAGTGACGACCAAAGCTAACACCAAGCAAAAACAATGGCCACCACGGCTACCGCACCAGTAAAGAGTTGCCAAGGAGGCGGCGAAGGAGACATTGAATAGCGAACATTAGCCAAATAGCTTATAAGGTGTGGTTTTCCATTGGGGGGTGCGTGCAGAGCCAGTGCGCGTCGAGGAAGGTTAGGCCCATGCTTATGTAGTACCAGCGTCGGTAAACCGGGATGGAGGAGATTGTGTTCCTCGTAGAAGGCAATGGATGAGTTGCTGATATTATGACAACCGCCCAAGTTTATGGTCGAGTAAGTCTGGACAAGGACCGGTATGGGTAGTTGAGCATGAAGAATCGGGAATCCTGTGAAACATCGACCCGGAACCAATGTGCTGATGACTTCCTTCAACTGAGCCCTGGCTTCTGCGTTGAACCGTCGCAGGTCTTCCCAGAGACATTCGTCTGGCCCAAGACTGCGTAGGTATGATAGTGAAGTTTAATATAGGTGTTGCTTCAAGGACGGAGTTGCGAACAATAGATAGTCCAAGGGAATTTGCATGTTGACTCCCGAGAATAAAGATGTAGGATTTACTTTGGGCTTTGCTGATTCGCGCATTGTTATTCTTGATAATGCGGTTGAAGACTAGAAAAGGGAAGACTGGGTGAGTAGCAGCGACCCCTCCGTGCTGCTTAAGTTTGATAGATGCCCAAGTTCTCAAGCTGAAATTCTTTTCGTTATCTTCGTCTTGATCTTGATTCTGATCAGCGGCTGATGGTCCTCCCCATCTATATGGTAAAATCTTGACAAACATCGAGGTAAAGTAATGAGGGTCCTTGTTGTTCATAAATTTATTCCCAAAGGACACTTTTAGATATGGTTGTCTTTTCGAGGTACGCTATTTTATAATGCCTCTCCCATTCGTTGTTGCGTTAATATTTTGTTCACCACTATCGTTATCGTTTTGTTGCACGTTGTGCATATGATGATCATTGCCATTGTGAATCGAGTCCGAATTAGGGCCAATATTATTGGCAATATTTGAGTTGATCTTTGATTCGACGCTTCCTGCTTGCATTTTAGCTTGAAGGGATTGTTGGACGAACAATGTTTTATGGATGTCGTCAGCTTGATTATTGGCGAAAGAGAAAAAACCTGAAGATGTAATCATTGATAGTGTTTCGAGTTGCTTTTCTAAGTAGAGTATTAAGTGTTGAAGAAAGTAAACCTCTCAATAGGTAAAGTTGGTGTTGAAATATGTTTGGAGGATGGAGAGTTGAAAGTTAGGAAGGCAAATGCCAAACTGTCGAAGATTAAATAGAATGTAATGGATCGGCACTTGGAAGGAACGAAGGGTACCAACTCAATTTGAACACTTTTACATGAGCCTGACTTATCACCTTAGGACAGGAACCTAAGGAAGGAGCTACGAGTGTACCAGGGTACATATGAAGGTGCGAGTTTAGAGATGCGCGTAGGCAACTACGTCCTACTTAAGGTACTCAACGTACCTGTCTACTAAGGGTGAGGCACATGAGGCAATCATGGTTTGAAAAGCCCGAGCGCCAGGTTGTCAAATAAATACCACCTATCAGGTAATGATGCCAACTTGGCCTCTGTATAAACGGTGGGCGTATATTTGCATAGCTTTTCTATACGAACTCTTATGGTACGTACCTAGATAGCTGTGAGGGAGCATCGGCCTTACAAGAGAGTATTTTAATAGCCCTAACATCTGAACTATCAACAACAATTTGTTTCATAAAGAAGTAAAGTACAGCGCGAAGGGTATATACAAGTGTACCTATAAGTTCGTAAACACATCAACCTTATTAATCCTTTTCGCTCTTGCTAATATTGAAACAAGAAACTAGTTGTAACCTTCCTTTTAAGACTCGAGTCTCTTTAAACCTCATGAATAAATAGGGCTATCGCGTCTAATAGTGCTACTGGTATAAATAGGGGATTACGAATCATCAAGGGGTTATGGCCTTCGAGCAATAGGTTGAGGTCACAAGGCTTTGCGACCTAAAGCTTTATAGATAGGCACTACTATAGCTGGTTAATGACTAGGTAGAGTCTTGAATAGACTCCTGTAGTTATTAAACGACTCAACGTCGACATATTGGATTAGTCTTAATTGAACCGACTGTCACAAGGTATTGGGCACGTTTCACATTTACCGAGTTAGAGACTACGCTTTTCATGAACTGGTCTAATGATTTCACTTCTAACCTAATGAAGCTGTAGGGGTAGTGACTATTAAGCTTGCGGGGTGTACAAGGCAGAGTATACTCACCGAGATCCGACTGACTAGAGTGTCAGACTAATCGTAAAGAAACCGTAAGTCATTCGCATTTGCAAGAGAAGAACTTTTTGATGCCCTCGAACGCCGTCATAAAGCCCTCGTAGTCTAGAAGCTTGATCCGCCTCCAGATGCTAGGAACGTGCCCCGAGCATAAGGAAGCTTATACCAACTTCGTTGACTGAAAAGCCCTCAGAGCCCACAGAAGGAAAAGCCGACTTGATAAAAACCGACATACGTGGATGCATATAGCACCAGCACAGATGACCGTGCTGTCGGTTTAAAGCCCTCGAACCCTCAAGCCCTCAGAACCCACATGGAGGTTACCCTCCGATCAAGCCCACAGGTCAAATCACAGCTTCTAATAGAAGCCTAGCCCTCAAAGCCCACAACTCCAGAGGAGTTTATAGTTTCGGAGAAGCCGACGAACCCACAAAGCCAACCGTCATGTGTGTCAAAGAAACCTCAGAATAGAGTCTAGTGCGGCTATGCCACTTTAAAAAGTGGTCTTCTTGCCTTGGAACGACGCGCCACCTCGTCCACCGCCACGACCACCCCCGAAGCCGCCACCACCACCGCGGCCGAAACCACCACCGCCGCGGCCGCCGCCGAAACCACCACGTCCACGGCCACCACCGCGGCCACCTCCGCCACGACCTCCAAAGCCACCGCCACCACGGCCGCCCGAGTTACCATCACGGGGCGGTCGCTGGCTGGCGAAGTCAAGACGGACAGCGCGAGAGTTTCGGCCCTCGCCGATGTAAGCGCCGTTCTTGGCGTCATATACGGTCTTGGCATCCTCAACTGACTGGAAGGATACGTAACCGAAACCCTTGCGGTTGCCGGAGTCACTACTCTAATATTAGTATCTAGACACAGATATGGAAGATCGATAGAGGTACGTACGGGTCGGTGGGAAGTCGAACACTCTTGACTTCGCTGACCTCGCCAAAGAATGCAGTAACCATCTCCTCATCAACATCCCACGGGAGGTTACCAACAAATAAGGTATCGCTCTCCGGACTCACGACATCGCCGTGTTGGCGGGCACGGTCGGCGGCACGAGCATTGGGGGTAGCATCCTCAGCGGGACGGGGCTTAGAAGGGTCTAGTCTCATGGGACGGTTGTCAAGTTCAACACCGTTCATCTTCTCGAAGGCAGCCTGAGCAGCCTCGGGGTTTGCAAAGTCGACGTATCCGAAGCCACGAGAGCGTTGCATGGCCTTGTCAGTGACGACACGAGCGTTGGTAAGGTCGGCGCAATCCTTGAATGCGTCGTATAGCTTCTCGTCATCCACAGCCCAGCCGAGGTTTCCGACGAAGAGGGTAGAGCTCTTCTCCTCAGACTCCTCGTCTGTCTTGGTCTTCTTGAAGGGTGTAGAGACCTCATCTTCGGCCTTGCGCTTCTTCGGCTGCTCAGGCTTCTTTTCAGCCTCGGACTCAGCATCGCTAGAATCATCAGAATCTTCCTCTGCATCAGAAGAGTCGGAAGAATCAGAGTCGTCGGAGTCTTTAGCCTTGGACTTGAATTCACGTTAGCTAGAGTCACAATGGAATATATCTTGAGAATTGGCATACCTCTTTCTTAGCCTTAGTCTTGTCTGTAGTAGGCTTAGCGTCAGCAGCATCACTGCTGTCGTCGCTGTCCTCGTCGGAATCGGATGAGTCTTCTGACTCGGCCTTGGCAGCCTTAGCTTTGGCGTCGCCGTTGGTCTTGCCATTGGCTACAGGCTTAGCAGCCTTGCCGTTGGCCTTGGCCTTTGCAGCAGGCTTCTCCTCCTCAGACTCAGAAGCAGAGTCGTCAGAATCATCCGAAGAGCCGGAAGCATCAGACTCGGACTCAGAGTCGGAGTCGTTGGAGTCAGAGTCTTCCTCAGAGTCTTCGGACTCGGACTCGGATTCGACCTTCTTCTTCTTCTTAAGGTCCTTGGCCTTTACAGCCTTTGAAGCGACATCCTTTGCAATCTGCTTGGACTTGGCCTTGGGGCTGTCGGTAGCCTTGGTAACACCAGCATTCTTGACAGCACTGAGGGGCTTGGAACCCTTCGCGGCTTTGCCGTTTGCTTGCTTAACCTTGCCCATTGTCAAATATAAGTAAAGGGATCGAAGTACTGTTTAAGGTAATTGTCTTCGACGTGTGAAATGTTGAAGCTGGGAAGAAAGGATTGTTGGAAGAAATGGATTGAAGAGCGCGGGGAGCTGTATTTTATCCTGCAGAGGTTGGTAGCTCTAAAAAAAATTCGAGGGACTAGAGGAAAATTTCATTCTGCCGGTGGGGCATATGCAGGCGGTAAGCCCTAGCTTGCCAGAATAGCGCCAAACTAAGTGCCTTTTTTTATTCTTGCAATAAGTCACACTCCAAATTGTATCTCATACAACTTCGCCATTCCTAATAGAAATTTCTCATTTCTTTTAAGGATTAAAATTTAATGACTTTATTTTCTTAATCTAATTTTTGAGAACTTTTTACTATTTTGGTTGCTAAGAAATAAGTTTACGAAAAGAAGGATATTATTTGCTTAAGACTTAAAATCGGCACTTATTTTGACGCCTTTCTGCTTGCGTGATAGCTTGATTCAAGTTTTGTGATAGCACGGCCCAACAAACCACATTTGTTCACGCTAGTGTAGTTCATTTAATTCGCGGAAGTCGCGCTGCACCTTCAATTGTACATGTACCTAGATACCTAGGTACGTACCATCTTTATTCTCAAATCACGTGACAACTTTGTAGCATGTTGGAATTGCTTGATTGCTGACTTGGTGGAAGCTCCATTACGAAATAACGGAGACTAGAGGTTCAACAATCGCACGCGACAGTGTTGAACCATCGCAACATAGAGCTCTCTTCCTAGCGACAAACCAATCACGGATTGAATTGTCTGAGCGTCTTCGTAACCAAAATGCCGACCCCCGAATCCGAAGCTTTCCTGGCGAAGAAGCCGACCGTCCCTCCTACCTTCGACGGCGTTGACTACGACGACAACAGGCGACTGAAGCAGGCGCAAGATGCCATCGTCCGAGAGCAGTGGGTGCAGGTCATGATGGGACGGCTGGTCCGAGAGGAGCTGGGCAAATGCTATTACCGAGAGGGTGTTAACCACCTGGAGAAGTGCGGTGCTCTACGAGGTTAGTTTAGATCCGTCGCTGTCTGTTCTTAAGGGCTCTATAGGTTTTGGATGGGCATTCCGATATATCAGCACGAGATACTAGGGGAGGGGATGTTTATTTTGAAAGGAGAGCACCGGGTTTGCTTATAGCTACGAGACTAACAAGACAATAGAGAAATACCTCCAGATGCTCAAGGACCACCGGGTACGGGGTTACTTATTCGAACAACAGAACTATATCTCAAAGACCTCGTAGAAGGAGAAAAAGAAAGGCAAGGTTAGCTCTACGGTTGTCAATGGCATACATTATATTGCGATGAGGATGCATGCATGGGGTACGGGGACTGCTTTGGACAGAGCTCTTTACACGAGGGTGTATCCGGTGCGATGCGGACACTTACACTTGTTCATCCGCGGTAACCCGTGTACTGTACATATTCAACAGCAATCTCAATGTGAAAACGACATAAATCCCGCCTAATGACTTGAAAAGCAAATAATTCGGTTATACTCGCCCCTAAGATTTCTAATTAGCTCATACCTGTAAAGCGGTTGTTAATTGAGGCTCTTATCCACTGCTCTTATCCCTATCATAACCGGGTCCGTTAGCCAGCCGCTCCAATTGCCATCGGCGAAAACCAACCTAAAGCTCCGACCCTGACAAAATTTCTGGAGCTTCGATAATTCGATAATTCGTACTTCTAAAATCCCATACCTCATCCCACCAGCGCCCACGCAAGTAGCAGCCAAAAAAGCATTCGGCATTCGCCATGATCTGCCAACGGTGTCTCCGGCGAGCCTCAGCGCTCAGCTCACACATACCTCCTATTAGAACCACGGCCCCGTTCCTAATAAGGCCCTTCTCCAGCACGATTGCGCGCCGCACGTCTTCTCCCGCTCCCGAACCAACACCCTCCTCGTCTACGAGCGAATCGCCCGTGTTCAGCACGCCGCTAGCCGACGCCGCCACCGAGGAAAAGCCTGCGCTGTCGGCGTGCCCAGAGGGAACCGTGCTGACGGGCCTTAATTACTTCAAAAACCGGACAGACCCCGTTGCGCTGGCCGACGATGCCTATCCAGCCTGGCTGTGGAAGTGTCTAGAGGTGCAAAAGAAGGCGGACGAAGAAGCTGACGATGATGCCGGTGATGAATTCTGTAAGCACCCCCTTCTCATTTCCCCCTCCCCCTCCCCCAATTCCCTTTCTCGTTGCCCATGCTTCCCTTTCCTTACCATACCTCAATCTATACATACATACATACATACCATATATATCCAGACACCCCACTAACCCCCCTCCCCTCCCCTTCTAGCAAAATCCAAGAAACAGCGACGTCTAGCCGCCAAGCGACAACGAGCCATGGAAGCCCGCCTCCTAGCCGAGGGCAACCTCGAAGCCCTAGCGCCCAAGATCCCACTACAGAACCAGAGCATTAACTTGCCCGCCAACGAGGAGGGCACGACGGAGGGCGCCATCGCGGCGCAGCAAGCGAGAGAGGATCTGCGCAAGGCTATGCGCAAAGAGCGCAGGGCCAAGATCAAGGAGAGCAATTACCTCAGGAGCATGTAATTTATATGGCTTATGGTGGGTGGTCTGGACTGTAACCTACGAACTTCACTCCGAAGTGCCTTTATGATATAAAAAAAAAAACTTTGGGCGAGGAGGGAGGAAATAACGGACAAGCGAGTTCATGCGGATAGAGGAACTGGACGCTACGTCGCTTTTCTACCCGAGATGTATTATACGCCACTGGACATGTATACAAATCAAAATATACCAAAGGACAGACAGTTTAACGTCATGTATATCGAATACTCGCCGTCGCAAAATATAGGACAATAAGTAAAGAGTATTTAACTGATTAATTGAGTATTCAAGCTACTTTGCCTATGTTAGGTAGCACTAAGGGGTATCGTTTTGAGCCATATTCTAGTCTTCCAATGCCATCTTCCTTTTCATCAAATCGACATCAACGCCTGAGAAAGCACCAAGTGAAATTGGGACCACTATTCTCCAGCACACGGGTTCTATATTATGCGCTCTAGCCCTTAATCCTCGTCTGTCAAGCCCAGCGCAGCTTTCTTGACGGCAATCTCCTTTTCGAGGTTGGCTTTTGTGAGAAGGACACGCTTCTTCAAGATTGGCGCCGTGACTTCAGAAAGTTGGCGTATGGTCTCGTCGAGTGACTTCTTTAGATGCTCGATTTCGTCGAGCTTCTCCTTGCGTTCTCGTTCCGCCACTAACTGTTCCTCGTCGACGTCGTCGTCTTCGTCGTCGTCACCATCCTCAACATCTTCATCGTCATCGTCATCTTCATCTTCATCCTCTTCTGATAGGATTTCCGGCATGGCCGCGGGAGTATTTCCTTCGACTGTCATAGGAGTTTGCGCCTCTAGTTGCATGGCTGGCGTGGCCGCTGCAGGCTCTTCATGATGCATTCCGCTCTCTGCGAGCTCGGCTTCCATGGCTGCCAACATTTCATCGTCTTCAGCATCCTCTTCCATATCGTCCTGGACACCAGCATGATCTCCAAAATAGTCCTGCTCAGCTTCGCCTTCAGCATCTTCTTCGTCGTCGGAATCCTCAGAGAAGTCATCCTCGTTCCAGATGAGTTCACTGTGAGATTCTAAGGCGTTTGCGTCATCCTCGAGCAGCTTGGCTACTTGGTCAGCAGTACTCTGCCACTGCTTCTCTGATACGGTCTTTCTGAATCGTCGATGGTAGGCATCGTGCATGGGGGGAGTAAGACCGTGAGGCCACCTATAGTCATTCTTAGTAGCTATAGATGGAAGCGCGATCGTCTTGGCTTCGGTTTCGCTGTTAACAGTTGCAAAACATAAAAGCATCTCAACAATATCCGAGTTCTTCATCATGTTTTTACGGTCCCAAGACTTCATCGCCTCCGTAATAGTTGGTAGCTGGACAAGAACTGCGGCGTAGTGGGTTCCGTCAATGGTGACCATAGCTCGTCGCTGCTTAGCATCGAGGAACTGTACACCGAAATCCGCGCCTCCGTTCTGCTTGGGCACGCCGATAGTGCCCTCAGCCAACGCCTTTTTCAAGTACTCTGTCGCGGCTCCTGGCATGACGCGAAGAATGAATGTAGTTTCCCGGACAGGATCAGCTTCACGGTCGCTAGCTTCGGAGTCGTAAGCATCTCCAGGGTGATGTTCAACAGGTTCACCTCTAGGCTTGAACTTGATGGTGCTAATAGGCGTTGACGCCGTATTTGATGCGCGATCTGGCTTGAATATGGTTGGTTTGATCTTGATTGTTTTGCTGGGCCGGCTTTCGTGTCGAGTGACAGACAATGGCCGATCTTCATCGCTATCGTATGGGCGCTTCTTCGATTCAACAAGTTTCTGCGTTGGCTTGGATGTTCTACCGGCTTTGGATTTGGTTATGGTTGGTGTTTGGGCGAGGGGTGTAGCAGCTGGTGTAGTTGGTTGACTACTGATCTTGATCTTAATTTTCCGACTCTCTGCAGATGGCGTAGGGGTGCCAACATCGCCGCTGAATGATGGTTGTCGAGATGCTGTATTGAGCTTTAGGATAGGTCTCGGGTTTTCAGGGTTCGACGGAGGGGGCATCTGCTGCGACGTGTCGAGCTTGAGGGTCGGCTTTACGTTGATAGACGACATGATGAAATGATGAAAAGTGTACTTAGATGGGCAAAAGGAATGACTATGCCGCATTAGACTCTCGAGTGACGAGATTTAACCCTCTATGTTATAGACCAAACCAGCATCCAGAAGGTAGTCGATAGATGGATGCTTTGTTACATAGTACCGTAGGTAAGAGTGTAATGAAGAGGTGACATTGAATCGGGACTTGCGCCGCGCACATACAGATGGTGGGGCCGTGAGTTGGAAGTACGTACCTTAGGTACCTAACCTACACCGTACCTACCGGAAACAACAAAGGTTCAGTTACACTAGTGCCCGCCTCAGTACGTGTGGGTTAAAGTGGACCCTCTTTAGCTTTGCTCTTGCAGGTTGCTTTCCCTAACCTTTAAACATTTCTCTCTCGGTTTTCTAAATAATGTGCAACTTGTACCTAGGTAGATAGCACGGATGTTGGTTGATATGGCGCAACAGGTCGGCAACTACTGCTAGGACTTGCTGATCAGATGGAGAATCAGTTAATATCGTTTGAATACGGCTAGTAACAAGTTACTCGATATATTCTCTATATTCTCTCGGCTTTCCTCCAACTAGCATCCATTCAACTTCCAAGCTCCCAAGCTCCAAGCTCCAAGCTCCAAACTCGACTGTCCGTTACTTCTCGAGAACAACCACTCAAACGCCACCTTCGATCTTGAACTCTCCCGTTGTGTACCTTCTACAATACGTCCAGTTAGATGAGCCTTTCTATAATTCGACCTTAGTAGACGAATCGGCGAAAATCACAAGCCCAACTCGGTCACACTATTGTTACTTTGAGATCAAGTACCAGTACCGCATCATTAGCCAGTCATACCAAACCAGACCTCCCTACAATTGACAAATCAATCCAAGTTAAGGTACGAAGTCCACGATTCAGCCTTCCCCATGGTTGTCGATCTGAAAGAAAGCTTACATCCTGTAAAGATCTTCGATAGGAAATATTCACAATGTCGTCATACGCTCAGCAAGTCCACCGCGCGCCTACCGCCTCCGAGATCCATCATGCTTTGCTACGTCCAGCTATCCTACAGATCCTCCGCGCACAAGGCTACTACTCATCAACGCCTAGCACGGTTGACGCGCTGACCGAACTCGCTGCAAACTACCTTATTGCCATCTCGCGACGCACTGCGCAGCACGCGGCACTTAACAACGAAGCGGGCGTGCCAGGCCTTCCCGACGTAGTCGATGTGCGCCTCGCTCTCGAAGACTGCGGCGCCCTGTGGCCAGAACGCGACTTCACGGCCCAAGAAGTGAGCGGAGAGGAGGACATGAGAGGCGTTGACGAATTCATACGCTGGGTAAAGGGGAGCAAAAACCGGAGGATTCGCATGGTCGCGGCTCTGGACAAACCAGCTGCCGGCGATGTCGGCGTTGAAGGAGTAGAGGAACAGCGCGGGACGGACTATTTGAGTTGTATGTTCTACATACTCTATATATATCGTACTTTATACTGACGAATACGAACTACAGCGCTCAAGAGGAAGCACAACAAAACGGACCAGGACTCCAAGTACGCGGGTACAATCCTAGGCCGGGGCATCGTCGAAGGCGAGGTCGTCCCAGAAAGCGGATGTGAGAGCAGCATACACGCCTGGGCGCGCAAGATGCACGAGACGTCGCAGCGCCCCCCCGAGCCCGAAACCGTCGACGTCGAGTCAAGGCCGCCTAGCTCGGGCCTGAGCTCGCTTGCTGACGAGGACGTGGCTATGATAGATATGGAATTTTGAGCTACTCGGATCGCTACCGGTCCAGATAAAATTCCAAACCCGAGAGATGCGGGGGGATATCAGCTCTAAGCCCGAAATATGATCTTCGTCTTATTATTTCTATAATAACACACCAAGCTATATTTTAGCTCCAAGACACGATAGAAGGGTTTATCTATAGATAAGCTACCTAGGTACCTTACGCATGTGCTCTGCATGGCCTACGGCGTTGGCGTGGACGGTTTTGAGGGGGAGTACGGTTTGGCGTTGCTATTGGTATATGAAGCATATACTCTCTGCTTTGGTGTGCGTTTTTGCCACAATGGAATACCCCTTAATCCAATCTTACTCTAAAACCCACCTACTTCTCTGTCTATTGTGACTATCCTAACGATGGAGGTAGGTAGGTAACATAGGACCTAGGCAGTGATACGGTTTCTATATCACACTACCTAGTTCTTGACTTCAAGACCGCCGAAGGAGGAATCGGCGCTCTCGTGCTTAGAGCATAAAGCTTATCGAGATAGACTAAGCTGCCCGGCGGTCGAGGGATGCGATGGATGGTATTTAGGTATTTAAAATACGTGGGTTGGGTACATATACTATATCAAGTCATGTGTCTTATCTTATAATCCACCTCGCTTCAAGGCTATTATCAGGGTCTTGTCCAGTCAAATCGAACGCTTCATAAATAGAAAGAGCCGCGGAAGGCTAACCAGCCAGTTCAGGGGAAAGGCAGAAAGCCGAAAGAGCTTAACATACGAAGTAACTAGATAGATCGTTAGAACTATATGCGTTTTGAAAGTACGCATCTCATATATTAGCAATGATATCGTTATCAGTCATTGGCGAGTATGACGAATGCTCTCGTAAACGCGGCTCCAAATGTATGACCGTCCGAACACGTGTAGCCCAAGATAGTACGGGATTGTTTATACTTGCATCCGGAATATACTTAAAAAAAAAAAAAATCTATCAGACGTAGGTCGACACATATATACCTACCTCTTTAGGTAGGTACCTAAGGTAGATAGTACGTTTGATTGATGGATTTTTGGTATCATACACACGTATCGCTCTTTATATCCCCAAAATTCAACCCAAGTTCGAGCGAGTGAAATTCATACGCACGTCGTTCATCCTAAAGACGAACCGATATATTCGTCCGAAATGAGATAGTTCCTTCTCTCTTTAGCCCACATGGGCATTGGGACTGGTAGTAAGATTTTCAGTTGCCCAAAACTAAGAGCCGACCGAGTGGGCTCTGGCGCTAAATCCAACGTCTGGTATGTTATGATATTCTTATAATATCCTGTCGCATGTCCAATTCTTTTTTTTTTTTTCTCCTACATCACCATACACTTTTTATCTTTACCCTGACCTCTCGGGATAGCAGTTGCCCAAGTCACATCCATCCAACCATCAGTATCGTCCTTTTTCTTATTCTTCTTTCGTCCTGTCCATCCTCGGAGCTTAGCATCCTGTATATTCTTTAATGCTCCTCTCCTAGCCCGACTTTGTCGGCGATTTAAGCTGGTATGATGGCGTAGTGACGTTGAGGTAAGCTGTGAAGATGGAGGTGGTGGTGGAAGTACTTGTGGTTCTCCATTGGCAACGCTAGAGATTGTTTCTAGACGCTCGACAGTGGGACGCAGTAGATGTGCTCCTGATATCGGTCGGGGATGGCGAGGAACTGGCGCATGCAAAACTGGTCCGGCCTGTTGTCTACCTACATCTAGCTGGCCAGGAGCATCAAATGCACCAGTTACACCTGTGGGCGTGCTAATTATAAGCGGCTGGGCCGGCTCCGATGCTGGTTGTATTGTAGGTTCACTACCTCGTCGAAGTTCCCGAGATTGGCCACCCCGACTACCTACAGGTATGCGCGGTAGATGGAAACCACTCGACATAGGGCGGGATATATTAGAACTATTTTGCCTACTATGCAAACGTGTCGTTCGTTCCGAATATGGCGTTGGAGGCAGAGCTGCAGCTATAATATCCTCGTTGGTCCGATCTGTTGCTGGAGCAGAGCGAGGATATCCTGTAAAAGAAGCCGAAGAAGCTGTATCGGGCCGTGGCGGGGCCCTTGGCCAAGTACGAGCACTTGGAAGGTTACCCACGACTGGGCTGTTACTAGCCTGCTCGGTATTCCATCCCGGTACGTTTGTCGTAGATGACGGGGTGGTGGGACCGAGGGGATGGGGAATTGCCGACCCTGGACGGGAGCCTGTTATGACTTGATGCGACCCAGACGATGCAGGTGTGTTGTATTCAGTAGCTGAGGACTGCGCTGCAGCTGACATTTGGTAGGGACTACGCCGCTCCGGTGTTACGTTTACCGTGACTGGACCATCAGATACGTGGGAGCTTGTAGCCCTGGAAGGAGATCCAACGGGAGATACATCGTAGATATCGTCATATTCATCATCAACGTGGGGCCCGCGTTCTTGCGTGAAAGAATGAGCTGACACGGGTCTATAAGAATGCACCCCAGCAGGCCCAGCAGATCGACTGGAATTTATAGAGTTATCTACGACTCTTTGCTGCGAAGCGTGAGGATGCCAAGACATGTGGGACAGCCTGTCCCGCAGAGGAGTTGTCTGGAGACGAGGTAACTCCGGACGACTAAAATTAGGTGTCATTGACATTCGCGGGGGTAGATTAGACGGAGCGGACGGGATGGGTGGAATTGGTGGGATAGAAGATGGAAGGGGAGGAACAGGGGGTATAGAGTCTCTCCTGCTACCTGGTAGGATCCCAATACCGGGAATGACAGGGTGGTGTACGGAGTGGCGCATGAAGTCAGGTAGATCACCAGGGTCCTCCTTGGTATATGGTGGTGGAGGAGGTACCCAGTTATCAGCATCACTTTCGTGAGGATGCTCTGCCCTTCCATCAGCTCGCCGATACTCAACTCGACCAGCCACAGGCTGTGGGTTCCGTCGTCGATTCACTGCTGCCGCAGTTGCAGCGCGGCGTAGCGTCGTTCCGGACCGTGGATTCGCATGAGCATACGGAGCATCGAGTGCTTCCTGGGCCTCCTCAAGAGAGACATCTTCCGTCTCTTCAATCGCCGCCGCGTGAGAATGCGTACGTGCCGTGGCCATAGGTCGCGGTACTAGCGGATCCTCCAAATCATCATTATGAGCGGTCGACGGACGTAATAATACGTCAACTTGACGGGACGTAGGCGTTGCCATAGTCATTACACTGGCCCGGTTCCCTCTCCGCTGCGCCACCGTCCTCCGCCTAACGATAGCTACTTCCGTATCGATGTCACGATGCTCTTCTTCTAATGCTTCCGGCTCGTTTGCGCCAACCTCGATGGTGATTTCCTTTTCTTCGCCATCTACCAAACTGTAGTCGAAATCAAGGATAGTGATTCTACCTCCATCCACGAAATCGATGCCATCTTCTTCAGTTACAAGTTTAGGGGGCA